TGTGATTTGGGAGGAAACCACAACTTCCTGCGACACACTGCCGACAATTAACGTATCTCAGCGAGGCGAAGCTGAAACAAAAAAAAAACGCACTTGCGCTTTAAACTTACTCAATCACTGCTGCTTCACAATGGCAACAGGAACAGGCTGGTTGTGTTCAGCAGGGCTACAAAACTTATATAACCTTGGATGCATCTCTTGCGTCGCTCGAATCTTGGAAGCAACGGTCGGGTTCAACTTGCTCGTTAAGCTGCGTGCGTTGCATTTCTCTTTCCTCTTTCCCTATGGGAGCGCTTTAACCATCCTTACTTCTTGCTCTTACTGAGTCGGAATGTGGTCAGGCAAGTGTGTTTTAAAAGCCGCGCGCGCATACGAGACTTGAGCGCAATGAATACACAGCGCACCCTCATCTCATACGCGTTTATTATTTGAGACTAACACGTATATTATGACTCTACAAACATATGTTGATTATTTGTGGAAGAGATTTCTTACGAGAAGAGTTACAAGTTGAAATCTTGAATGTATGATGAAATACTGGGTCAAAATATATTTTCACACTAAGTTTACCCTTGGTACAAATACGGATATTCATCCGATTCGACGAATATTGGCTATTATTGAAATGGATTTAGAATTTTTCATTTTGTGGACAGCTGATGACCACACCGCATGAACTAAGGGTTTACCAAATTCTCACGATAATTCTCTTCTCGTGCAACCGATTTTATCTTAAATTTAGAGCGCAAAGTCTTCATTTATTTCAGTTGAAATTTTTAAGCTTTTGTAAATCTAGTGTAATTAGATTGTTTACTTTTATATTTATTTTCTTCACGAAAAGAAAGCTCTCAGTAGTTGGATTTTTGGATTATTTCACAGGTATTGAGATAATTTCTATAATCATCGTCTACGTCGGGTAAATTTTGCTTAACGAGGTTGTGATGCATTCATAAAAACAAAATCTTCAGTCTCAACTTTTGCCTTTTTTCCCTTTTACCTTGAAGGCAAAAATTATAGTGAAATGGGTTGTTATCACGCAAGAAGGTAACACCACACCTTAATCTTGGCTACTACCAGTATAATTATCATATCGGTATTATTTTGAGATATTCTCGAATGAAAGTATTCAGAAAAACATGAAAAAGTACTTTCACAACACTTTCATTTAATTTTTTTTCTTCATAATTTTCAATATTTTAATTTTTTTCTTTCCTACGTTAAATTTTATGTTTAAAATAGCAGTGGTACCTACCTGTTCCTGTTAATTGCACTTGTTGCTTTGTTGTTAATTAAACCATTACAAGTTATTTCCCTCGCATGATCCCTTAACGAACACTCTTGATTGCGCATTGTGAATGTGTGAATTTTTGGCGGTTAGAAAATCTTACAAGATTGCATTGCATTTCACCCCGCGCATTGCAAAGGGGAAGCAAGCAAAAAGTGGCTGTTGCAGCAGCTTCACTTTCGCTTCGCGCGTCTTTCGGAGAGCCGGAACTACCTGGAATACGGAAGTTTTTGGCGGGCGAATCGGATACGTTAGGGATCACCCTCTCGGGGTGTTGCAGCACCGCACATATGATAACGACACGCACTCTTGTAAGAAATTGGGGTTGTGAGTTGAAAGTAGGTACATCTGCTGGACCAGCAAAGACGCTGTGCGTAAGTGTGCATATATGTAGTATATAGGCCTGAGGGGTGTAAATGTTTATCACAATGGAGCACGAGCCCGCGCTCCTTTGTCATTCACCCGAGTTTATATTTATATTCTCGGTGGATATAATATCCAATTTGAATTTGAATTTTTCGGTGCGCTTCATTGAGGGCGCCGCACAAATTACGTTTTCCAACCGAATTTATCTCATTCGCGCGCTTTTTCCACCCGAAAATCACCCAAAACGTTCGTTATCAACATTTACATAAAGGTGTAATGACTTTATAAGTTATTCAGAAGGTACCTACCGTAAATCTCCACATGTTTAAGGGTTGAAACAACAAGTGTGCTAAATTGTTATTCATTAATAATATTTTCTCCACATTTTTTACACACGTGCAGAAAATGTACGTTTTCCACACTAACGGAGCAAAAAATATGAATTACGCTTACTTATCGATGATAATTGTTTTAATTACCTATGGGGTAGTTGTACCCAAACAGTCTGAGCGTCATGTGCGCCATGGCGCAGATGTCGACGCGCTCCGCTGGACGACAAAGTCGCGGACCGCGACACCCTCGACGAGTGCGCTACTTACTTAATAGACAAGTAAACACTTGTTACCCGCCGGTTGCATATTTTACTCGCGCGAGTAACTTAACTGCGCACATGTTGGTACATATTGCGCGGGCAAAACCCCCGAGAAATGATAAAAGCAACATTTTAAGACAATTTTATTATTTATTTATACAATAGCTAATTAGAGCGTTGTGAGATTACGCGCGCGGTAACAAGCCACCAATCGAGAGGGGGTAGCAATTTTTTTTTGCATGCGTATGACCTCGCAAACGCAACGGCGCGGCCTTGCAGCTGTCTGGTGGTGAAACGACTGGTTAGGGGTGAGTGTGCCCTATATATCCAACATAAATGTGATATCAATTTATACAAAGTGATAACGAAATTTTATTTTCTAAAAAAAGGTTTTTTTCATAAATTTCTATTTTTTTACCGATTAATTCAGATATGTAAAGAATTAATTTATTTTTATTTAATTTAATTTGTTTCTGAACACCCTGTATAACTGCAATTGTAGTGTACGTTAGATTCTACGTGCTCTATGTACTCCTATTTACATGTGTTTGACGTGGTGCACCTTATGCCTGAAAAAACCGAAACTAGTATAGAACTTCTTCAGGTCAGAGTTGACGCGCAACGGAATTACCTGTCCGTTTCTCTTACGGGCCGTTTTTTGATATCGCACCTCGACGTGAGAATAGCGGTTATCGGCGGCCGGGTTCTAACCCGTTCCAGAAGGTCCAAAAACCGCCGCGATCGTCCCGTCGTGGGATATCAACGTGTTTTTATCAAATGTCTCGTCCGAAAAGTTTGATTAATCAAAACGCATCTGTCTGTCTATCTGGCTAACTGTTGAATTACTCGTGGAGACTTTCACCGTTTCTTGTTCTTCGAGGCGCATCTCGCGCGCGTATTTGAATGAGAAATTAGAATTTACCGTTTGTAACGCGCGCGCTTGGGCGTTAGACACGTGCTATGCAACGGGGTTGTTTACCCCCATGCGAGGGCCGAGCATGTGCATGATTACTTTTACTCGCGCGCGAATATCAACGTTTATTAAACGGAAAAATAACTGACATTCGAAGATAATTGTTGAATATATCTGGATTAAAATGATTCAATTGTTGGATTCTGTTTGGTTGACAGGCAGGGTTCAGAATTCAGACACGTTTGAGTTTTGCGAGTGCAATTGCAGTGTAAGAATGCACGAAACGGTCGAATAAAAGACGCTATCAGAGTGTGAATGCACTACTCTCACTTTCACTCGCTGTGCTGTCTCGACAATCGATTTAGGGTGCATTTTTTCATCGGCGCATTTCTCTTCCTTGATATGGTTCCGCACCTTTTTGGGATTCGGAAGCTGGAAGTGCACCTTCAGCCGAATATCTGTATCAGTCCGCGAGGGATGGGATGGGCCCGTGAGAATGTGAGCGCTATGGGAATTTGTTCCGCAAAGAGTGTGCGAAATCTTCTTCCTCGTCGGATGACCAGTTCCGCACAACAATCGTTCCTTATTAGAGCATAGAAGAGAATAGATGTGGAGTAGGTTTTGCATTTTCTTTGCACACAACCCTCGTATGTCGCCTGAGGAAGGTAATTAGATGCAAGGGATTTTAAACCCCCGCAAGGTTTCTTAGAATTTGTATGAATATGAAACACGTCTTGAAGGATAATTAGGTGTTTTGCTAGTTATTATTGCTTGGAGCATGAAAATTGCATCTTTTCTTCTAAAACTCAATTTTTTTTTTCGTTATTTGTGTTTAAACTCAGAAAAATTAGTCTAAATCGATTATTTAACAGTTTTGCTGTGGTAATAAATCAATCGATCATTTTTGACGTTTATACTCAATGACCTACAACCCTTATATTATTTAAATTATAAGGGTTTTGTGTAAAATTACTAAATCTACCTGAATCTGTGACTCTTTTTCTATTTATCAATGACATTTGATCTGATCTCTACTTCTACGCCCCAATAAAACCTGTTAATATAAAATTTACCTCTTTTGAATTAGTGCTCAAATCTGACCATAGCAACAATGTCTTAATCCCTTGAATGAAAGGCTTCAATGTTTCAATAACAGACAACAACACTTACACCTGATTATCTCAAAATTTCCCAATATTAAACCACCTTTGCTCCACAAAGATTATGCTGTAATGAGGTTCCATTCAAAAATTTCAACTATAAATAATCCTTTTATGGCCTTGTAATTTTTTCGTTAGAAGCTGTTATACATTACATCGAATGTTAGCAATTTGTTTGTTGTAAATGATAAGATTTGACTTTATTTGCAAATACAGTTGAGTGCAAAATGCAAAATTTCGAAAATGCACAACGTTATTCATAGATACATGACAGTTGACCTATATAATCGATTTATTTTTTCAAAAATTACAAATTATTATGTCTCGATAACACATTAAAATAAATCTGTGTAACACAAATTTCTGGTATTATGTTTTGGGAAGATAAAATATTTTTATTGATTTACAAGTTTTCTGTTTGAAATCTACCGCCTTTTTACAATAAAATAAAACGCTTTTTTGCTGGTCATTCTGGTCATTCTAACGATTTCTTTTCGGACGATTCGCTAAACAACCATCCCTAGTTTTTATTTTCTATTCTCATCTAGTAGTTCAAGTAGTCTGCAACATTTTTGGCGCCCAGCGACGTGCTCGCGCAGGCATGTTCAAGCCCTATACCCCTACCCTTGCGCTATTCGACGCTTGGTATAAATCGTACCCGACTGGCGGTTGAGCGTCAGTGTTCAGCGATCGTCGCTCGGCGCAGCTTGCATTCCGCAGCAGTTGTAGGTTGTGTAGTGCGCGCGCTATTTCTTGCTTTGCATAAAGTTGTTATATTTCGAGTGTGCATCGTTTTACAATTAACTCTATGCTCTTTGGATATATCTCGCCTATCAAAACAGCTACTAGTTCAGTGCAACGTGCAAATAACTCGCTATGTTTTGGGATTCTATGACCGATATGGAAACTTATCAATTACCAAGGTAAGTGTTGGTGGTTGGATGTTGCGAGCCGGCCGGCAGTTCGGTTCGCGCGGTTTGTTGTTGGTGCAGTTTCAATGTTAACCTTGATTTTACAACACGTGGGATTAAATCTTTCTGTTTGTAATTATCTTAGTGATTGTGGATTAGTTTATTCGTGTCTAATATTACGTTTTTCTTCATCAGGCCCGTTGCAATGGAGACCAAAGAGTGCAGTCCTGAAAGGATGTGTGAACCTAGAATGTATGACAACAGCCCGTCGAGGATGTCTTACGATGGTTCGCCGAACTGCTCATTCACCCTGCGCCGCATTAGCTCAGACATCCTTCAGGATAATAGCACCCAGGATTCCGGATACAGCCCCAGTGAGCCTAAAGTTTCCCCACGTCGCCATTTGTCTTTCGGATCCATGAGCGAGGAGTTCATCGATCTTTCTGATATTGAAAATGACACAGAGAACCAGCCCCCGAATAAACAATTAACCGGCGAGTTCTCCAAGTTGATTACTGGGTCGATCAGCGACGCGCTCAACACCAGCTCACCGAAATGCTCCTTCAATCGCCCGCCGTTGAGGAGGCCCTTCTCTGTCATTGGCACTATCAATACTCCTGGTAAATCTCGTGCCAGGAGTCTTTTTGGTGATCTGGAAAAGGCCGAATCACGCAGTTTCAAACGACCTGAGCCACCCACCGGTTTGGTTAGCCCGTTGTCTGCAAAGCGCTTCAAGGTTTTCGACAGGCCGGTGCGACGTGTGGAAGCTACAACAATTTTCAAACGCAGCGTCTCCACACAGGAGATGATCAAAACCGCCATTCATCGATCAAGCACCGAACCAGATCTCATCGGCGATTACACCAAGGCTTTCAGCCTTCCACTCATTCCCGGACGCCATCAGGATTTGAAATCCATCACTCCCACAACTGTCGCGAAGTTGATTAATGGCGAATACGCCGATATCGCATCTTTTAAAATTATTGACTGCCGTTATCCCTATGAATACGAAGGTGGACATATTGTGGGTGCCAAGAATCTCTACACTAAGGAGCAGATCTTGACGGAGCTTTTGCAACTCAACAAACCTGAAGATTTAGTCCAGGAGGAAAACAAGCGACACATTTTGATTTTCCACTGCGAATTCTCCAGCGAACGTGCTCCTAATTTGTAAGTATTGACACTTGACACAAAATAATAATTTTTTTGCTGTAAAATTTACATTTTACGATGATTACTAATAATTTTTGTTTATTCTAGATCCCGTTTCTTGCGAAACAGTGACAGACGTGAGAACAAAGACTTCTTCCCCTACCTGACCTTCCCGGAGGTGTATCTGCTGGATGGCGGCTACAAGAATTTCTTCGAAACGCACGGTGAACTGTGCTCACCACATGGTTACCTGCCAATGTTACATCCCGACCACGAGCAGAATCTGAAGCACTTCCGCGCCAAGTCGAAAACCTTCAATTCGGACATCAAGGCGTCCAAATCGAAGCGCATGGACTCCTAGGCACAAAACAACAAACCGACGAATCCCAGTGTAATCATTGAGTACAAATCGACTCGGGTGTACATATAATTTTAGCAAGCCTGAGCAAATTTCCAAGCACGAAAGCTGTACAAATTTGAATGCGCTTTGAATGGAAATTGGGGGAAGCGAATTTTCGCGGACATAGTCCGTACGCAATCGACGGGCTTGCAGACGAAAGAGCAACGTGAGGGAAATTGATTGATTTCGCAATGCTTGTTACGCCAAAGTTTATATTTTAATTTTGTTATCCACCCGCTGGCGCATCTGTAAACCAGCAACCAGTGCAATTTATCGAAAATACGCGAACATGATCTGGGCGGCTCATTTTAAATACTGTACAAATAATCCGAGCCGCCCCAGATAGCAATTTTTGAGCGCGCAAAACGTTTTAGTTTTATTTTTTATTTTTTTTTGTTACGTTGTTCGAAACTCAGTATTTCACTGCTAGCTAATAATACTACCTAATGATGATATAATTAGTGGTGTCTTCATTTAAATTTGCAAACACGAGTGCAGTAGCGCACCGGCGATTAAAGTTGGGTGCGAAACAACGAAAACACAAACAAAAAAAAACATTGACAGAAAGGCATGAAATTGTAGACGCGTATTGTTGCAACGATTTAAATTTTATTACTTTTATATTTTCAACAAACTTTATTGTACATACTTTTTTGTGATTTTTTACTTATTAGACTGATACGCGCGCGCCTCGATCTTTGCAATAAATATTTATAATTATTATATACACAAATATTTGATTTTCAATGTAAGCGTTCGATTTTAAGCATAAACTATATTTGTGAGTGATAATAACTATAGGAATAACTTATATTTGCTGCGTTTTAATGGAACTAGTATGAAAAATGTAAATAGAATAAGAAGAAAATTATTACAACATTTATGAATATATATTTTACATACTGAAATGTAAGTTCTGTGCCTGTATTGCAAATGAATTGCTAAAAGCAATGCTTTTGTTTGGACATTTGTCGTGTATGGTATGGTGTGGTGCACAGAATTACAAGTTATGTATTTTGATTTAAAAATAACGGGGGCCTTTTGATAGTATAGTTTTCTGCGAAACTTCGTGCGTGCAGTCTCTCAATTTTAGATGGCGCTGCACTACAAATAAAATTTTTAACCATTTTAATTATTCGCGGCCAACAATCTTTGCTGTTGATTTGCGATACACTGGTTATTTTGACGAGGTTTTAACCAGAGATGAGACATCTGCAACTATTCTGTTCGCTTGTTTTTTTTATAATTGTATTATCAAAAAATTGAATTGTATTGTTTATTTCTTTATTTATCGGCAAATTTCGGCGAATTTCGTGCACAATACGCACACAAGGTCGCTTGCCATCAACGCGCCGGCTATGCGCATCTATTGCTTTTATCTGCGCGGTTCATGCAGCTGTTACAGAGTCTTATTGTGTACAGTCTAGTTTAGTGTAGATCGCGGGTCTCGTGCCTATTGCAATTCGCGCACAAGGTCACATTCCATCGACGCGCCGGCTATGCGCATCTATTGCTTTCTTATCACAAACTGCCGCATCGTTGCTTGCACAGTTTGCAGCCAGTTTTGTGCCGGTCTCTGGTTGGTCCGGACGTATTTTACGGGACACGTATTGTTTGTTCGGTCTTCTATGTTCCAAATTTGCATTATATTCGATCATCAATTGACTATTTAATTTTAACTTGCGCGTTTATTGTCCGACCGGTTTTGATCGCGCGAAAGTGTATATTGCAACTCGCATGGTCTCGGGTTGCTAGGTGAATCGCCCCCATATAGATTAATTCATCATTAGGATGACCCATCGTGCTGGTGTAAGTAATGTTTAACTAAACAGGACAGATTGTTTGTGTTTCGCCGCGGTGTGATTATAATATTACTAAATTGTATTAAATGTTGTTGTTTTAACTTATGTTTTCTTTGTTTATTTACAGTATTTGCCGTGTCTACCGGAGTCCATGAGTTGTGCATTGGTAAGTTTATAATTCAATTATATTTTTCATTTTAATTTCTGCGTCCTCCATTAGTTTGTATTTACGTTGTTTTGGTTTATCGCGTTCCATTGCGTGTTGCAAATATATAAGATAGTCGCGTACTCGGCTGATACATATCGAAATTAACTGTTTAGTTTTTCCTTCACTTATAATAGCGCAAGAGTTGTACTTGAAGATGCAATTCTTCGGAATTCCGCCTTAACCATTTTTATCCCAATTTTGTCTCGTTTTTTTTAATTCCAATTATTTCGGATTGAAGATTCTAAATCTTTGGAAAATTTCCTATAAGATAAGGTATTCAAATTGGGAAAATAAGAGAGGTCGAGAATAATTCATTAATAAAAATTTGCTAAGGACAATTCTTGTTTCATCTCACTGAGAGGTTTTTCATTTTCATTTTTAGGATTATTTTGAAATTTTGTTTCTTTTTATTTACAGTATAATTCATAGATGAGACTAGCATTAACCAAAAATTGCCGATTGATCAACGTGTGTAAACAACAATTTTTGTGTCGCGTTGCCATCTGCGACTTTTCACTGTAGGAAATATAATTATTTCATATTTTTATCTGATAGAGAAGTTTTTAATCTTTCATAATCAACAATTCGTTGGTAGCTGTCGCTTTTAGTTTAAGAGATATTAATTATCAAAAAATCGTCGAAAAAAATATCAAGCACCCCCCCTGGGCAATTTTTTCTTAAGAATTAAAATTTCATCTCTCAGATTTCCGTTTTAACCATCCTATCTGATAGAGAATAGTCCTTAGATTAAGACGCTGCGATCAGATCCTATTTATCTCTTTTAGTTTACGAGATATTCGCGATTGAATAAAATGGGCAAAAATTGAAAAATGTCACTTTTTAGCACTTTTAGTCGCATTTTTCGACCTTTTACTGTAGGAAATATAATTATTTTATATTTTTATCTGATAGAGAATTTTTCAATCTTTCGTAATCAACAATTCGTTGGTAGCTATCGCTTTTAGTTTAAGAGATATTAATTATCAAAAATCGTCGAAAAAAAGTATCAAGCACCCCCCCTTGGCAATTTTTTTCTTAAGACTTAAAATTTTGTCTCTCATATTTCCCTTTTAACTATCCTATCTGATAGAAAATAGTCCGTAGATTAAGACGCTGCGATCAGATCTTATTTATCTCTTTTAGTTTACGAGATATTCGCGATTGAATAAAATAGGCAAAAATTGATAAATGCCACTTTTTAGCACTTTTAGTCGCATTTTTCGACCTTTTACTGTAGGAAATATAATTATTTTATATTTTTATCTGATAGAGAATTTTTCAATCTTTCGTAATCAACAATTCGTTGGTAGCTATCGCTTTTAGTTTAAGAGATATTAATTATCAAAAATCGTCGAAAAAAAGTATCAAGCACCCCTTGGCAATTTTTTTCTTAAGACTTAAAATTTTCTCTCTCATATTTCCCTTTTAACTATCCTATCTGATAGAAAATAGTCCGTAGATTAAGACGCTGCGATCAGATCTTATTTATCTCTTTTAGTTTACGAGATATTCGCGATTGAATAAAATAGGCAAAAATTGATAAATGCCACTTTTTAGCACTTTTAGTCGCATTTTTCGACCTTTTACTGTAGGAAATATAATTATTTTATATTTTTATCTGATAGAGAATTTTTCAATCTTTCGTAATCAACAATTCGTTGGTAGCTATCGCTTTTAGTTTAAGAGATATTAATTATCAAAAATCGTCGAAAAAAAGTATCAAGCACCCCTTGGCAATTTTTTTCTTAAGACTTAAAATTTTCTCTCTCATATTTCCCTTTTAACTATCCTAGCTGATAGAAAATAGTCTGCAGATTAAGGCGCTGCGATCAGATCTTATTTATCTCTTTTAGTTTACGAGATATTCGCGATTGAATAAAATGGGCAAAAATTGATAAATGTCACTTTTTAGCACTTTTAGTCGCATTTTTCGACCTTTTACTGTAGGAAATATAATTATTATATATTTTTATCTGATAGACAATTTTCCAATCTTTCATAATCAACAATTCGTGGGTTGCTATCTCGTTTAGTTTAAGAGATATTAATTATCAAAAATCGTCGAAAAAAAGTATCAAGCACCCCCCCTTGGCAATTTTTTTCTTAAGACTTAAAATTTTGTCTCTCATATTTCCTTTTAACTATCCTATCTGATAGAAAATAGTCCGTAGATTAAGACGCTGCGATCAGATCTTATTTATCTCTTTTAGTTTACGAGATATTCGCGATTGAATAAAATGGGCAAAAATTGATAAATGTCACTTTTTAGCACTTTTAGTCGCATTTTTCGACCTTTTACTGTAGGAAATATAATTATTTTATATTTTTATCTGATAGACAATTTTCCAATCTTTCATAATCAACAATTCGTGGGTTGCTATCTAGTTTAGTTTAAGAGATATTAATTATTAAAAATCGTCGAAAAAAAGTATCAAGCACCCCCCCTTGGCAATTTTTTTCTTAAGACTTAAAATTTTGTCTCTCATATTTCCCTTTTAACTATCCTATCTGATAGAAAATAGTCCGTAGATTAAGACGCTGCGATCAGATCTTATTTATCTCTTTTAGTTTACGAGATATTCGCGATTGAATAAAATGGGCAAAAATTGATAAATGTCACTTTTTAGCACTTTTAGTCGCATTTTTCGACCTTTTACTGTAGGAAATATAATTATTTTATATTTTTATCTGATAGACAATTTTCCAATGTTTCATAATCAACAATTTGTGGGTTGCTATCTCGTTTAGTTTAAGAGATATTAATTATTAAAAATCGTCGAAAAAAAGTATCAAGCACCCCCCCTTGGCAATTTTTTTCTTAAGACTTAAAATTTTCTCTCTCATATTTCACTTTTAACTATCCTACCTGATAGAAAATAGTCCGTAGATTAAGACGCTGCGATCAGATCTTATTTATCTCTTTTAGTTTACGAGATATTCGCGATTGAATAAAATGGGCAAAAATTGATAAATGTCACTTTTTAGCACTTTTAGTCGCATTTTTCGACCTTTTACTGTAGGAAATATAATTATTTTATATTTTTATCTGATAGACAATTTTCCAATGTTTCATAATCAACAATTTGTGGGTTGCTATCTCGTTTAGTTTAAGAGATATTAATTATTAAAAATCGTCGAAAAAAAGTATCAAGCACCCCCCCTTGGCAATTTTTTTCTTAAGACTAAAAATTTTGTCTCTCATATTTCCCTTTCAACTGTCCTATCTGATAGAAAATAGTCCGTAGATTAAGACGCTGCGATCAGATCTTATTTATCTCTTTTAGTTTACGAGATATTCGCGATTGAATAAAATGGGCAAAAATTGATAAATGTCACTTTTTAGCACTTTTAGTCGCATTTTTCGACCTTTTACTGTAGGAAATATAATTATTTTATATTTTTATCTGATAGAGAATTTTTCAATCTTTCGTAATCAACAATTCGTTGGTAGCTATCGCTTTTAGTTTAAGAGATATTAATTATCAAAAATCGTCGAAAAAAAGTATCAAGCACCCCCCCTTGGCAATTTTTTTCTTAAGACTTAAAATTTTCTCTCTCATATTTCCCTTTTAACTATCCTATCTGATAGAAAATAGTCCGTAGATTAAGACGCTGCGATCAGATCTTATTTATCTCTTTTAGTTTACGAGATATTCGCGATTGAATAAAATGGGCAAAAATTGATAAATGTCACTTTTTAGCACTTTTAGTCGCATTTTTCGACCTTTTACTGTAGGAAATATAATTATTTTATATTTTTATCTGATAGACAATTTTCCAATCTTTCATAATCAACAATTCGTGGGTTGCTATCTCGTTTAGTTTAAGAGATATTAATTATTAAAAATCGTCGAAAAAAAGTATCAAGCACCCCCCCTTGGCAATTTTTTTCTTAAGACTTAAAATTTTGTCTCTCATATTTCCCTTTTAACTATCCTATCTGATAGAAAATAGTCCGTAGATTAAGACGCTGCGATCAGATCTTATTTATCTCTTTTAGTTTACGAGATATTCGCGATTGAATAAAATGGGCAAAAATTGATAAATGTCACTTTTTAGCACTTTTAGTTGCATTTTTCGACCTTTTACTGTAGGAAATATAATTATTTTATGTTTTTATCTGATAGACAATTTTCCAATCTTTCATAATCAACAATTCGTGGGTTGCTATCTAGTTTAGTTTAAGAGATATTAATTATTAAAAATCGTCGAAAAAAAGTATCAAGCACCCCCCCTTGGCAATTTTTTTCTTAAGACTTAAAATTTTCTCTCTCATATTTCACTTTTAACTATCCTACCTGCTAGAAAGTAGTCCGTAGATTAAGACGCTGCGATCAGATCTTATTTATCTCTTTTAGTTTACGAGATATTCGCGATTGAATAAAATGGGCAAAAATAGATAAATGTCACTTTTTAGCACTTTTAGTCGCATTTTTCGACCTTTTACTGTAGGAAATATAATTATTTTATATTTTTATCTGATAGAGAATTTTTCAATCTTTCGTAATCAACAATTCGTTGGTAGCTATCGCTTTTAGTTTAAGAGATATTAATTATCAAAAATCGTCGAAAAAAAGTATCAAGCACCCCCCCTTGGCAATTTTTTTCTTAAGACTTAAAATTTTGTCTCTCATATTTCCCTTTTAACTATCCTATCTGATAGAAAATAGTCCGTAGATTAAGACGCTGCGATCAGATCTTATTTATCTCTTTTAGTTTACGAGATATTCGCGATTGAATAAAATGGGCAAAAATTGATAAATGTCACTTTTTAGCACTTTTAGTCGCGTTTTTCGACCTTTTACTGTAGGAAATATAATTATTTTATATTTTTATCTGATAGACAATTTTCCAATCTTTCATAATCAACAATTCGTGGGTTGCTATCTCTTTTAGTTTAAGAGATATTAATTATTAAAAATCGTCGAAAAAAAGTATCAAGCACCCCCCCTTGGCAATTTTTTTCTTAAGACTTAAAATTTTGTCTCTCATATTTCCCTTTTAACTATCCTATCTGATAGAAAATAGTCCGTAGATTAAGACGCTGCGATCAGATCTTATTTATCTCTTTTAGTTTACGAGATATTCGCGATTGAATAAAATGGGCAAAAATTGATAAATGTCACTTTTTAGCACTTTTAGTCGCGTTTTTCGACCTTTTACTGTAGGAAATATAATTATTTTATATTTTTATCTGATAGACAATTTTCCAATCTTTCATAATCAACAATTCGTGGGTTGCTATCTAGTTTAGTTTAAGAGATATTAATTATTAAAAATCGTCGAAAAAAAGTATCAAGCACCCCCCCTTGGCAATTTTTTTCTTAAGACTAAAAATTTTGTCTCTCATATTTCCCTTTTAACTATCCTATCTGATAGAAAATAGTCCGTAGATTAAGACGCTGCGATCAGATCTTATTTATCTCTTTTAGTTTACGAGATATTCGCGATTGAATAAAATGGGCAAAAATTGATAAATGTCACTTTTTAGCACTTTTAGTCGCATTTTTCGACCTTTTACTGTAGGAAATATAATTATTTTATATTTTTATCTGATAGAGAATTTTTCAATCTTTCGTAATCAACAATTCGTTGGTAGCTATCGCTTTTAGTTTAAGAGATATTAATTATCAAAAATCGTCGAAAAAAAGTATCAAGCACCCCCCCTTGGCAATTTTTTTCTTAAGACTTAAAATTTTGTCTCTCATATTTCCCTTTTAACTATCCTATCTGATAGAAATTAGTCCGTAGATTAAGACGCTGCGATCAGATCTTCTTTATCTCTTTTAGTTTCCGAGATATTCGCGATTGAATAAAATGGGCAAAAATTGATAAATGTCACTTTTTAGCACTTTTAGTCGCATTTTTCGACCTTTTACTGTAGGAAATATAATTATTTTATATTTTTATCTGATAGACAATTTTCCAATGTTTCATAATCAACAATTTGTGGGTTGCTATCTCGTTTAGTTTAAGAGATATTAATTATAAAAAATCGTCGAAAAAAAGTATCAAGCACCCCCCCTTGGCAATTTTTTTCTTAAGACTTAAAATTTTCTCTCTCATATTTCCCTTTTAACTATCCTATCTGATAGAAAATAGTCCGTAGATTAAGACGCTGCGATCAGATCTTATTTATCTCTTTTAGTTTACGAGATATTCGCGATTGAATAAAATGGGCAAAAATTGATAAATGTCACTTTTTAGCACTTTTAGTCGCATTTTTCGACCTTTTACTGTAGGAAATATAATTATTATATATTTTTATCTGATAGACAATTTTCCAATCTTTCATAATCAGCAATTTGTTGGTTGCTATCTAGTTTAAGAGATATTAATTATCGAAAATCGTCTATAAAAATTATCAAGGGGGGGGTGCTTGATTGACAATTTTTTCTTAAGAATTTACATTTCATCTCTCAGATTTCCGTCTTAACTATTCTATCTTATAGAGAATAGTCCGTAGATTAAGACGCTGCCATACGTCCCGCGCGCTGTCTCCTAGCGCCGCATCAACTTGCTGCATGCAACGAAGTCTAGTTTAGTTTACATTACAGGTAATGTGCCTATTGCAAATTTGCGTACAAGGTCGCGTGCTTTCGACGCGCCGTCTTTGCGCACCTCTTGCTTTCTTATCATTTGTCCCGTTGTTGTTTACGCAGTTTCGGCATGCACTATCGGTGTATTGCAGCCAGTTTCGTGCCGGTCGCTGGTTAATCCAGTCGCGTTTTGAGAGACTTATATCGTTTATTCGGACTTCAATATACTAAATTTGTGTTATACTTGAAGATCAATCGACTATTTATTTGTACATTGCGCTATTGTACTATAGTAATTTGTTTAATGTTCGGATATGTCAGTTTTTTGATCGCGTTTGTTATGTATATTACAAGTCACGTGATAGTGGATGTCAAAACATTCTTCACTCGGCCTTGAGTTTGGTGTCGGTTACTAAATTAATCGAATATATATCGCCCCCATGTTGATTCTCATCATTAAGATAGATCCATCAGGCTCGTGTTAGTATTATTTAACGAAACTTTGTGCGGTTTATTTGTTTATTTCGGGTTGATCGTTAATTATAACATAATTCAATTGTATGAAATATTTTTGTTTTAATTTATGTTTTCGTTTGGTTACAGCACTCGTTGTGCCTGTTAGTCCGATAAGCTGTACACTGGTAAGTTCATAATTCAATTATATTTTTTGGTCCAATTTACATTTGCTGTTTATAAACAACGAACTACCTACCTGCAGGGCCGATGAGACTGGGATAAATTCCCCGGGGCCCGGCTGATCGCTCTTAAATCGCAATCACAAAAAAATAGCAAAAATTGACGATTGCCGGAGCCCGCGGCTTTTTCCCGGGGCCCGCGCTGGTTCTCGACGGCCATGTCTGTATCTCCCTGTATTGAAATTTATTGCAAGAAAATTCCGTAACGCGAGTTATATTGAAAGTTGTGTGTGTGCGCCGTAGTAGGTACTCGTTGCTCTCGGAATTATAGTTTTTTTAGAGTAACACGCGAACGCGGTGTCAGAGTTAGTACGGAATAATTTTCACTGATGCATAATTTAATTCTGCATTCCTCTGTATCAAAAATTATTGCGAAGAAATTCCGTAACGCGAGTTATATTGAAAGTTGTGTGTGTGCGCCGTAGTAATCGTTGCGCTAGGAATTGTAGTTTTTTTTAGTGTAACACGCGAACGCGGTGTCAGAGTTAGTTCTGAATAATTTTCCCAGATGCGGAATTGAATCCTGTATCACCCTGTATTAAAATTTAATCCAAAGAAATTCCGTAACGCGAGTTATATTGAATGTTGTGTGTGTGCGCCGTAGTAGTCATTGCGCTAGGAATTGTAGTTTTTTTTAGTGTAACACTCGAACGCGGTGTTAGAGTTAGTTCGGAATACTTTTCCCAGATGCGGAATTGAATTCTGTATTTCTCTGTATTGAAAATTATTGCGAAGAAATTCCGTAACGCGAGTTATATTGAATGTTGTGTGTGTGCGCCGTAGTACTCGTTGCGCTTGGAATTGTAGTTTTTTTTTAGTAGAACACGCGAACACAGTGTTAGAGTTAGCTCTAAATAATTTTCCCAGATGCGTAATTGTGACTCGTGTTTAGCGCACCTTACGAAGGTAGCGGTAGAAGTGACTCGTGTTCAGGGCACCGTACGAAGGTAGCGGTAGAAGTGACTCGTGTTCAGGGCACCCTACGAAGGTATACATATTTTGCCTATTTTAATACTTTATCTTATAAGGAATATTTAAATTAGTCGCGGTGTTGTAAACATCAATTATTGAATTAACTAAGGTATACAGTAAACTTATACGAAGACAATTGAAAACAATAAATTATTTATTTGTATTGGTAAATTACAAATTCCTGTTTATCTTCATCCTTATTGCATCTCAAAACCAATATATTCTATTCTTATGCCTAGAAATATTGAAAGTAAAAGTAGATTTCGGGTATGTGTGTTATTTCAATATTGTGAATTTTTACTTTCGTCTTCTCAACTACGTGTTTACCACTACGTTTGTGTATAAACAACTTTTTTTGTTCAACTGACGCTACGTACGCTATCGCACAACCTGGTTTCGCACACCGCACACGGCAGTAGTTTCACCGCGTGGTCCGCGAACGCGTGTCTCTAACCGCCACGCGTTTTCAGACTTCAATTATTCAATTAATCGTCGTGCATTCTTTTCGTTATCAGCAAAATATTCGTATCGAGCATGTGTGCTTGTTTTGTTTGTTTGTTTGTTATGGCGGTTAGAGTGTTCTTAAGTGAGAAATAAGTGTCCGATAATCTCTGCGCGAGTTTTCAGTTGATAAGATATATGCCTGGATCTAAAATTTCTTTTTCAATGCACTGGTAGGTGTTTAATCACTTTTTTACGCGGAAAGTTAAGACGGTTTAACTTAAATTGATTATTCCATTTGAGGGATATTAATTTTGCAGATTACAAACACATGGTAGCATTTTTATCAGAATTCTTAGTCCTGTTTCCGAACATAACATGCATAATTTAATTATTACAAACACTGTGTTAAAAAATATCTGAGGATTATTAAAATGACAATATTCATGTGGTCGACCACGCTCACTTTGCCGTCGACCGTCGGCTCGTTCCTCTTTTCGCTGAACGTTTTTAATCGAATTTCACTCCTTATCATCATTAAATTAAAAAGTTTCTTGTTGATCTAATAAAATCTTATACCATGAATAGTTTTTCGTTATTTTTATCGTATTTACCTACTGTACTCGTATAACCACGCGTCGTTGCTTGCCGTCTGCTGATTTGGATGTTTTCCGCCTGATGTTCTATCAATTTATGATGATGCTTCACCCGTCGGTTACTTTATGCAGTTGATGCTATCAACTGATAAATATATACACAATATATTAAAATGTAAGTGTTTTATTCTTGTTGCAACTTTTTTACTTAACTTTTCCGATCGTTTTCGGGTAAAATCTTTGAATTTATGTTAAAATATAGTTGTTTCGGTATAAATTTCTCTTGTCACGATGTGAATGTTGATCATATTTGTAGTTTTTAAAACTTTCCTTTTGTAACACTTATATATTTGTTTTCCTAACAGTACTTTAGTAAATCGTCTTTATTTGTGAGTTTTGAGTGTTCTTTGTTTTAAACTTAGAATTTTCCTTTTGGAACACCCTGTATATTTGCTTTTCTTTGTGTCCGTGAAAACTTTCCTTCAGTTGTGGTTTTAGAGATTTTTTTGCATTTTAAGTTTTTTTGTAACACCCTGTTTATTAGTTTCCCGGAGCATCGGGTGAAAACAAGCAATATTTGTAGTGTTTAGATGTTTTCCTCTTTGATGGTTGAATTTTCTATTTGTGACACCTTGTATAATCGTTTTTCTTCACATCCCTGAAAATTTTGCTTTGAGTGTTATTAGAATTTAACTTCTTGCACTTTGAATTTTCTTTTTGTAACGCCCTGTATATTTGTTTCCCAGGGTAACCGTGGAAAACTAGCGATATTTGAATGTTTAGATGTTTTCCTGTCTGCACTTAATTTTCTGTAACCCCCCGGTATATTTGTTTCCATTTTCAATCACGATGAAAATTGACTTTGCTAATTGCTTTATCCTGCTAGAACTTCACTTAGTGATACGCGATTGTTTGCGCGGCTAAGCAGGTCGTAATTCCAATTTCAATATGGCGGCATGAATTCAGTTGACTTGTATTATTTTACATTGTATTTATTAATAAAGAAATGTAAAGAAATATTATGTTTTCTGCTTTCAATGTACCCGTTCTATCATTTCAGGTACAGGTCTCTAAGAGAGTTCCCTCTCTCAGGGGATGATCCCCACTATAAAAATTGTTAAGGTATCCTGTATGATTTGTGTACTCCATCTTTCATTTCAGCTACAGGTGAGAACTTGTAAGAATATTTTTAAGAGTCCCCTCTCTTGAGGCGACTTAAAAATTAGAAATATTTTTACAAGTCCTTAAAAGGATGTCCTTATAAGGAGTTCCCTCTCTCTGGGGATGATCCCCCACCATAAAAATTGTTGATATGCCTGATAATTCCGGGGATGAAGCGCAGAGACATCGTAGCTGTAGGATGGGCCGGGAGCAATGGACGCATCGAAGCAGTGGGCGATCGACCAGAGCGCCGGAGGCGCTCTGGGAGATCGACCTGTGACTGTCTTATAACGACACGTGCCAAAAAATTTAAAAATTCCGTCACCCTATTCTCTTTTCTTCCTGTACTCTCTCTCTCTCTTCTCTTCTTACTTCTCCGATTCTCTCCTGCTACTTCTCTTCTCGGCTATTCCCTTCTTCTACTTCTCCTATTTCTCTACTTACTTACTTCTCTCTCTTATTGCCTTCACTTATATTTCAATTTCTCTTATATTTCGTTGCAGTTCATATATGCAACCCATATTTCACCTGTTATTTTTATATTTGAGAAAAATGCCTTCTATACCTGGGGTTCGATCCGTGCCTACTAGCATGCCAGCAGGTGCACGTCTCCACTCGACCACCGAGTGTTTTTATCATTTATATTTGATTCTTTTATTTATGTTTCTACTTTATGCAACTTTTTAAAAACAACAACACAAGTCTCAGATATGTTACACTCGCTCCACGCGTATAATATCTATATTGAATGTGTGAAACGCTCATATACTGAAAACGGCAAGGAGGATACCAAAAACAAATATGAATGAGATATTAATTCATATTAATTTTTTTTATTGAGAACATTTACAAATACAAACATTCTTTATATAGAAAAATATCGACAACTATTAAATGCCGCGGAAGACTTGCCTTAAAACATGTGCACATTTGCAACTCTTCTGCGATGAATATTCGGAACTCCAGGGTCCTTGTAAGCGTAAACTTCTTCTCCAGGCACATCCGTTGTATTCTTATTTGAATTAAACATAAATCCAAGTTATTCTGGGCAATAACCGACAGCCGACGGACACGCACGCCGTGCACATGCAGGCCAACACAAGTGCAGTATAATCCACATGCGAAAAATATTCCCGACGACCGGCAGTAGTTCACTCGTGTTTAATATCTGGGGAAATTCCGAACACGCGCAATTCTAATAAATGTCGTCGATTTTTTATTGAATATACATCGATTTACGTTCAATTTATAATAAGGAGAGATAAAACTAGTCGCGATGAACACGCATGTTTCGCTCGGCAACCGGAATGGAACTGAATGCGCGCTCTGAAACGACCACGCGGTCACGCGGTGTGGCTATTGCGATAGGCTCAACAAAAAATTGTTTACATACAAATATTCGTGTATCTAAACTATACCTGGATATCACAACTCGCACACTAGGCAGTATATTTACGGCGCTCCCAACTACAGCTAATTAATTGCAAGCTGGAGACCATTTTCTGAAGCAAATAAAATTACAAAAAAAAAACAATACAGTTTACTATTAGTGCAACTCACGGACAGCAATTCATATTTATATAGATAATACATATTTATAAATGTACATATTTCAATTATTTTTCAAATTCTGATGGTATGTAGATAATATTTACCAGGTTTTCGGCAAGGTTTTCCAAACAGGATTGTACATGTTTATCTTCAGTTATTGATTCATATTTTTTGAGCGATGCCAAATGAATCGTTTTTTATGTGGTGTAACATCTAAATTTTTCATTTTCTATCGATTTCTCCCAAAATGAAAGAAGTGGAATAAATTGTTCTCGGATCCATGAAATGCGACAAACCAGAACCGTAGCCAAGGATACCTGAAGTTAATAAATACAAAATAATTACCAAAAAATAAAGAACAACTTCTGTGTTAAATAGCTATAACCGGTCGCGAGATAGAGCCCATTTTCCAACGCGTGATTTAAACAAATTGAAAAAATGTCAAACTTTAAAGGCGTTTTTGAGGTACTTCCCAAAAGTTTTTTGGGGGCAGCGATAGTGCAATATAAACAGGAACTCTTGGGCTAACGAAATATTAACAGATCATAAAAATATCTATAACCGTTCGCGAGTTATAGCCCATTTTCCACCGCGTGTTTAAAAAAAAATGATAAAATGTCAAACTTTAAATACGTTTTTGAGGCACTTCCCGTAAGATTTTTGAGGGCAGCGATAGTGCAACATAAACAGAAACTCTTCTTCTAACAAAATATCAACAGATCATAAAAATATCTCTAACCGTTCCGAGATAACACGCAAAATTTACAATTTCGAAGATTACACAGGCGATAAATAGCTGATAAAAGATCAAACAAGTTTATTAGCACTAATTATCACCGGTGATCAGGAAATATAACACGATTTACCGAACTTACATCAAAGAATAACACAAGTCGAAATTGTGGAATGTGCGCTCGTCTTTATCGCACCGATTGAAGAAAACAAAATTCTCTCGCTGGAATATTTCCAGGTAAACCTACATCGTTACGCCATCTGAGAACACTTTATAGTACCTCACAAAACAACAAAGTGTTTCAAACAGTGTGGCTTGCATGTGTGTCAGTGCGAAATTGTCTATGAGGCAGTGAGTGGTCACGCTTTAAATAGCAGCGTACGTGTGAAACACGTACAAGAAAGTGCGCATGCATCACCATGTCTAAATGACTAGCAAATTTACACAAAAATACAATAAATCAAATCTAGAGGACGCACGATGTTCAAATTTAATCTATCAAATAACAAACATAAGTCACCGACTGTTACGACTGTCACCATAAGTCACCGAAATGATGATGATGATGATGACAACACACATATCAAGTGTAAATAGATTAATTGTAGTTAAGATAGTGATAATAGTCTTTGTCGAATTCCTGCAACAAATAATAACACCCCGGCGGAGAATTTAATTCCGCAACTCTAGATGCCACGCTGAAGTTACTGAGCTGCCAAGATCGCGTGCAAACCCGAAATAATACAAACATTTCACGATAAAGGTTGAAAAAATTACCTTTTAATGCAAATTTTCGCAAGTTGCAGGTCGAATTCCTGAACACGAGTCACTTCTACCGCTATCCTCGTACGATGCGCTAAACCGAGTTACTTCTACCGCTACCCTTATACGGTGCCCTGAACACGAGTCACTTCTACCGCTACCCTCGTACGAGGCTCTGAACCGAGTCACTTCTACCGCTACCCTTATACGGTGCCCTGAATCGAGTCACTTCTACCGCTACCCTTATACGGTGCCCTGAACACGAGTCACTTCTACCGCTACCCTCGTACGATGCCCTGAACCGAGTCACTTCTACCGCTACCCGTACACGACAAACAAATACCACCCGACAGAGAATTTACTTCCGCATCTCTAGACGCCACGCTGTAGTTACTGAGCCGCTAAGATCGCGTGCAAACCCGAAATAATAAAAACATTTCACAATAAAAAGTGTAAAAATTACCTTTTAATGCAAATTTTAGCCAATTGCAGGTCGAATTCCTGCAACAAACAAATACCACCCGACGGAGAATTTAATTCCGCATCTCTAGAGCAAACACTGAACTTACTGGGCCGCCAAGATCGCATGCAAACCCGAAATAATACAAACATTTCACGATAAAGGGTAAAAAAATTGCTTTTAATGCAAATTTTCGCAAGTTGCAGGTCGAATTTCTGAAACAAACAAATACCACCCGACGGAGAATTTAATTCCGCATCTCTTCACGAAGTTACCGAGCCGCCAAGATCGCGTGCAAACCCGAAATTATTCAAACCTTTCACGATAAAGGGTAAAAAAAATTAATGCAAATTTTCGCAAGTTGTAGGAGCAATTCATACCAGATACAAATACAATCAGACGGAGAATTTAATTCCGCATCTCTTGACACCCCTTTAGAGTATTTGTGTCGGCCCGTTCGCATACAATGACAAGACGTACATATTACGAGCACGAGTACAAACCACTTAATCATACCTTACCAGTATTTTACGCGTTGCAACACTCAGACTAATGGTGAAGATGAAGATGATATAAATCGGGAGTCGACAGATGAAGCGAATCAAATTTGCATTCAAATTTAGCTCGTGATTTGGAACTCAAATGCGATTGCTAAAACCGAGAAGAGAACGATGGTTACAACATTGCGTACAAGTCGAGATAAAATAAGGCAGAGGCGAAACATGCAATAAAACTTCTCTGCGAAGTGTAAAATATGATACAAATGCGACTCGAAAACTTGTTTATACACAAACAAATACTGGTAGGCAATAATAGAATTGCGCGTGCAAAATCGTATTAAAAAGTTTCAAAACAATCGGCGAAAAACATCGCTTGCGACGGTAGGTACGACGGTAAATGTATTATAATATAATATAAAATCTAAGAAATACCATGAGTATTGTCACATACGCCTATTGAAACCATAAGACCACATGCTCCAATACGAATTATATGCAAATAAATTATGTTTATTATAATAAACAAACGATAAATAAATGACAATTCATGCTACAATTATAAATAACTGACACAACCACTGATCCGTATACAGATAAGTACAGGTGCAGAAATAAACATTGATACTCTATAAAACATGTCCTGATTAGAAGCTAAATGTTAGAGGCAAAGGTGCAGAAATAAAAATGGATAAAGTAAACTATCATGAAGGATTCCCGAGATACGACCCGTTTTCCATCGAAAGTTTTGAAAAATGAAAAAAAGGTAAGGTTGGCGGCCATTTTAAGACACTTAGGACAGAATTTCGCTAACAGAATCCGAAGAAAAAATGAAAATATCACGAAGGGGTCCCGAGATATGACCAGTTTTCTACAGCAACTTTTGGAAAATGCAAAAAAAAGGGCTAATTATCGCGGCCATTTTAGACAGTTACAGCGGAATTACGCGAAGGACGAAGAGTGCATCATCTAAAACCACTATTGTGTAATCTGAATAAAAAACCAAAATATGACGAAGGGTTCCCGAGATATGACTCGTTTACCACAACATGTTATGGAAAATGCGAAAAAAAGGCTAATATTCGCGGCTATTTTGAGGCATTTAGGACGGAATTTAGCAATGGTGGAAAATTGCATCTTCAATATCAAAACTCGATATAATTATATGAATGACAATAATTACCAGGTCCGTGTTCTGCAGTTAATAAAAAATACTTGGCACAAGCGAATTAATTATTGGTGTTCACAAACTATCACCGGCCGCCATTCAACGCAATCCACTCGCAGTTTGTTTGTACACAAAATTCACAAAATTTAGATTTACGAAGATTATACACGCGATAAATTATTATTAAAATACCATACACGACTATAAACACAAATTATCACCCGTGATCAATCATATATGCAGCGACTATGGACAATAAACGCGCAAATAGTAATGATAATATTAAATAGTCGACTGCGGACCGAATATAAGGCAAATTTAGAAAGCAGAAGACCGAACAAACAATACGAATCGCGAGAAATAAGTCTGTATCAACCAGAGGCCGGCACGGAACTGGCCGCATTCTGCACAAGCAACAACGCGACAGTTTACTCGTATGATAAGAAAGCAATGGATGCGCAAAGCCGGTGCGTCGATGGCGCCCGACCATGAACGCGAATTGAACAATACGAGTCGCGAGAAATACGCTTGGATCAATCAGAGGCCGGCACGAAACGGGCCGCAATCCGCGGATAGTGCATATCGTAGCCGATCAAGACGCCGCGATAGTTTATGATAAGAAAGCAAAAGACGCGCAAAACCGGCGTGTCGACAGCCCGAGACCATGTGCGCGACTTGTATTTGGCATGTTACCTGCTACTAAACTAAACTAAGATGTGGCAACGTGCGGCGTGAGAAGATAATAACAACGAAACGCAGGAATGCGATAAGAAAGTGTAAGTTGTGTTCAAAACAAACACAATTCTCGTGCCGAATGCTCACGTTTGCCGATAAATATAGAAATAAACACAATTCTATTTTATGAATTTTAGTACATGCTAGTGCCATCTCTGAATGATGCAAGTAGGAGTCTCGAAATTCATATTACATTTATCTTATGACAAAAAACTTTCACAATGAATACGAATGATACAGGAAGTTTTTCACATTTTCACATTAGGGCCCTTAGGGCCCTGAAATATTAAGAAATAGAGTACTTACCAGGGGAGCATTTTATGATACATAAAATATTACAAAATTAAATGAAAACAAGTCAGTTTGACATTCAAAATGCTGTATATAGTTGTAGATACGACAAGGAAACTACAAGTAATTGGGGTTTCCAGTAATACATGATTTTCTCTTCACATTTTTAAAATTAAATTAAATTAAAATACTTCTCTATAAAATTGACAATTGTCTAGATATATTAGATAGTGGGCCGTAAAGCCCAAGTCTAAGGCTCTGAAGTAAAAAGGGAACTAGCGTGGAACTAGATGGAAATAAATCACTTAAGAAAAATTGCTAAAGTCTGTCTTCAGTTTTATAGACGGTGCTTGTGCCGCCTGCGGTTTGATGCTGGCTTCTGTTCGTGTTTTCTGCTGCACGCTCTGACTCGATCGCACAGCGGCTTCCAATCGTGTGCGAAGATTCGGCGATTGACTCATCAATTTTTTAAACTCCTGTGTATGTGAAAAAATACTATTTTAGCAAACGTGCACTTTTCAATCGAGATGCTTGTACCTGTGGATATTTCGGTCCAATCTTCATCAACCACTGCAAACTGGATTCATGCAACTTTAAGGAGTACTTTCCGGATGACCGAAGGACCTGCCCATCTAGCAGGTAACTGATCAAAATGGGCACGATGAGAGTCAACATTTGTATTCCTATGAATTAAACAATTCAGTTAAGAACCTGGTATAACATATATTTTAGTAGTTTACCTTGCATCAAATCTCCTAATAATTAATGAAAGCAGCAAAATAGCAATGAAGCAAATATTAACACAACAAGCATCAAATATAATAAAATTGTACTTACGACTGGGGGGCTCAGCCAAACCAATCAGTGTCTCTACGGTGACGATGGTCTCCAGTGTGATAGCAAGCTCACCATCCGACATACAATTCCTCGCTCCGTCTGTATATAAAAACTCCACCAATCTAGGAGCCAACGCGTGAATGTAGGGAGTTGAAACCAATCGCTCACTATGCACGAAGATCGACTTCAAGGTTTGAATACATTTAAATCGAATCTGCAAAAAATGGTAACTTTAAAATAAAGCCATAAAACAATCTAGACTTAAGACATACCGTAGTATTAGAGCTCTGAAGACACTGTCTAAAGTGATTAATGCAGGGATATAACAAATTAGGCGCTGAGACCACTTTTGATGGCGCATGCAGAACGAATACAGCAATCGCCAACATGGTGGTAACTTCATCCAGTTTTGTATCCTCGCTGCCAGTCTTAGTTAAATCGATAATCTTCGCTAGGGAGCTCTGTAGCAATTTATGCCATTCATCAGAACTTCGTTCATCGTTACAATACGCATCCGTAGTGATAGCCTTCATGCAATGTAGAGCCGCTTGAACCGCTTTATTATTCGCGAGAATGGTGGAATCGTTGATATTTTTCGTAGATAATTCCTTAATCACACCAGTAGTCAAATACAGAATTGTAGGTAAAATGGCAACAGCTCCCTTTGGTGAGCACAATTTGTGCAGGCCTTCCAAGCAAGCCAAAGATGCAGCAATCAAATTCTCAGAGTCCCTTTCCTTCTGCTGCATATTGTGATTATAGACAGATCGATGGGAAGACGCTGACAACATGGTTGAGTTTGGAGCAGGACTTAACGCTGGTAATTGTCGTACCAGTAGACAAAAGCACACCTCCATGAGAGCATATGACAAAGATTGTCCTGGAATAATTTCGCCTTGTTCCCCACCTTCGCCCAGAAGAACATCGTCACTGGAAGCTTCTTCAGCTGCAGTGATTACCCGTTTTAACACCTCCATACACAACAATTGCGCGCTGGGATCATCACGAGTTAGTAACAGCCGATGTAAGACATTGCACAATTCTATAGCAAGTGTCCTATCCACCATTAGGGAAGCCCTAGCCCATTTTGAGTCCAATAAAGTCCTCAGCGCTCGAAGACAAGTCACTATACTCGTAAGCGGTTCAGTTGACCGAGGACTGCATAAAGCTTCCATGCAGATACCAAACAATAAATGAAACTTGTCACTTATTTTATTTGCACCCCCGGAATTGTCCACTGAATTATTGTTCTTTGATTCATCATGAACACTCTCATATCCACCAGCGTTCAACCACAATGCAGCCGCGTGCAAAATGGGCGGCCAGGAAGCACCGTAATGACATCTTGACGATTCCATTGTGTCGTTTGTATAAAATGCGCCGCCATCATGTGGCAACTGACTAGCAAATTCAGCCGGCAATGATAACAATGCGTGGTCCTTAAGCGCAGCTAACCAATGCGCTGCTAAACTAACCAATTCTGGTTGTACCAGTGTTAAGAGACTTTCACCCTTATATTCAAAGTCGCCAAAATCATCAGTCTCCGGTGTATTGGTAGGTTCTGCTAGGAATGTAGAGGAAGTTTCCTGCATTGCCACAATGTAGATCTCAGCCCAGGCTTTCAAAATGGCAAGTTTTTCTAACGTCGCTAGACTTTCGTTGTATAACTGAGTTGTGTTCGTTTTTATCTGCAACTTTCCAAGAGAAGAAACGAGTAATTGATGTACTCGTCTCAAATCGTTGAGATTCCGTGCAACTCCTGATCCTATCCACGTTGAACAGACATCACACGCGGCAGCCGTAACATGTGAAGGGGTTTCTGCAGAAAAAGCGGGCCGTAATGCAGCACCCACTTGTGCTTGAAACTGTTCTAATAAGAGATGCCCGGGAAATTCTGGTTCTGGCACCTTAGCAAATTTATCAATCACATCTTGAAGGGTTTTCAGTCCTTCTAAACGTAAAGCATCCGAATCGCTTGTGGCAGCCATGAAAGCCATTCGAATGAGATCAGATAGATGAAGAACTAAGAAATCATTGCTCTGCATCTCTTTGGCTTGAGAAAGGTCAAAATGTGCCGTAACGTTGTTCTCACAAGTGGCAATTATCTTACGAACACATTCCGCAGCAAAAACCCTCGTGGGCCATCGGGGTTGTACCAGTGGATGGGTCCCAGCGGAATCTTCAGCGTGAAACTCCATTTGGTCATCGTCGGGTTCATCATCATCCCCGTCTACATCGCCTACTTCATTGGTACTGGCCAATGTGGCCTCATCATTGGAATCGGTTGCTATTGTAAGCACATCTTTGCAAAGACTCAACCATTGGGATAGATTATCACAAGCCATCATTTGTAACATGCTCGTTAGCGTATCATGGATATTTTTGATCAGTCCTAGATCCGATTCAGTGTCCAACATGCTAAACAAAGCGCCAGGGAGACCTGTTTCGGTGATGACAATACCACTACCTCCAATATTTAGACACATTGTACCAGAAGCACCATTGCCAAATTCGCTGTCTTTATTTTCAGCCGCAGTAGTCAAAGCATGCTCGCACACTTCCTTTGCTTCTCGTTGTGCCAATTGCCTCAAACATGAAATTGCCGCTTTCCGTAGTAATAAATGGTTACTAAGCAAGGTCCTACATAAAGTTGGAACCATTGATGATAGATTGACATGCCTCGGTGTAAATAAATGCAACTGTTGTAAACATGCGATCGCCTCCGCTTGAACCAACGGATCATGATGATCCTGCATAATGGCGCATGCACACAGGAAAGACGAACGCATCATACTGATGCTATTGGTATTCGCTTGTAATTCAGGCCCAATTGTGGTAATCAACGCGGAGAGAACCTTGCCGATGCATTGATGAACGTCAACATATGATTGTGGAACGTTTAATAAAAGTTTCAAACCCAGTGAAAGAGTTGGCTCCACATAGCCACGGAACATCGGTCCACCAGAATCTGCAATCAGTGCTAGCGCATGTAGCGACCATACCTGTACTACTGGAGACGTTTGATCCTGCGCTAGGGCCAATAGAATCGAAACACTGGTATTTAAATGTTGCGAACTACAAATTCCTCCGACGTATCGATGCAAACAACCCAACGCTAACGAATGTCCTGTTCTACTAGGCACGTCTCTAGCACTCTTCAAGCGATCGAAACTAGTTTGTGCTAGTTCCGCGGTAAATCGTGAATCAGACACCACCTGTGCCATTCGTCCAACAGCTTCACCCGTAGCGCAACGTAAAATTGGATTTGGAGATGTTAGCGCTCCAATTATAAGATTTGTCGCGGCTTTCTTGACGTCTTCTTGCCCAAAGGACATTTTCGCTTCAGTCAAGCCTTTCAGGCCGCTGAGTAACGCAGTGAAGACATTCGTTTGAATTGCTTCCTGCCTAATACTCTTCGCATGCTTGATACAATCGGTAAAATGTTCCAACATTTGCAGGCGGTGTTTGTTAGCGACGCGTGGGAATATCTGACCGAAGAGTAACACCGACATATCGATGACGGCCACGCCAAGTGGAAGAGGGCCAGGGACCGCTTCCCATGCGGCTAACTGGCGGTACAAGGAACAGATATCGTGCTCCAATGCGCCTGAACCAGCAGCACTGTTTGGCTGCAACTATTTTCAATAAATTAGTATTTAGAATTACCTCTAGTACAAAATAAAAAAAACACGTGCCCACACAAAAGTAACAATTGCGCTAAAACCTTTGTGACTTACGTGTTCACTATCAGCCTTTCGATTGGGTTCCATCTTAGGTAGCATTAACAATAATATATGATTTTTATACGAAAAATGAAAATATAAAAGACACTTACTTGATCTTCAATTGTTCGATGATCTGTTTCTTGCAACCAAGTCCCCAGGATAACCGAATCGTCCGCGTGGCACACCGTCCGCAATTGCGACGTTGTGGTATTTGCTGGATTTTCTGTAAGTGTAAACTCTGCAACCAACATCCTTAGTAGGTGAGTGTACGATCCTTCAAAGGAATGCGCGGGAAGTAGCAGAAGTGTTTCGTACAATCGCAGACGAACCATCGCCCCAGGTGCTTTTAATTGCTGGCCATAATTTTTCATCACATTTGAAATACTAACACAACAACAATTAGTATAAAACAATTGCATATTTTTAATTTGGAATAACTTACTTTGTTAACATTGCTAATGCAGATTCAATCGGAGTTAGCAATCGCCTGATGATGTCATCATTTACTAACTCAGGACAATTCTGTAGAAAGCTATGCATCGCTGATAAGGCTCCTGCTCGTCCTTCGAGAGTTACCTGCCAGGTAAACGCATCGCCACGTGCTTTCTCCGAATCTAACTCTTTGGAAGATCTTGGGAATGAATTCCTCCAGAGCAACAACATGCGAGGCAGTAATCCACGCACAACTGGTACCCCCAAAGTCATAATTGCTCCAATTAGTACCCAACCAGCCTGGGTCCTATGCAGAGACAACCGACTGTTTTGACTGGCGCTGCGCAAAAGTTCCTCTGCTGTGTTGAAAATAATCTTTCCTTTCGTATGCGGTACACCCAATGGTGACAAACGCACACCACCTAAAACCGCGGCAAGGGCTCCACTGTAACCAGAAATGGCTTCCGGGGATGTCCTGCGTTCTTCAATTCCATTAACACATCGGTCAATTAATGGCGTGATTTGACTGGGAACTGCTACACAAATACAACGCAAACACCACGCGGCTGCAAGCCGTGCAGCTTGACACGGGTGTATTAAAACCGAAACAGTTGCCTCGATTAAATCTAAAGAAACAAAATTAATTAAGTCAGTTTTGTACGAATTTGATGGGCTTACTTAATGATTGGTCTGATACTAAGTCATATGCGGTTGTTCCAAGTCCGTGTACCAAACTTCCGATTTCCTGTAGAGAGCAGACCAGTAAATGCTGACTGAAGAGGGTTTCCTGGTTGAGATCTTTAGCATTTTCAGGATTGAAATCTATCGAATTCATTTCTTTCACAATTATTTGTGCAATCTCTTTGGATGCGGATGCTTGCGCTTTTTCGCCCAACATTTTACCCAAAACGCTGCGCAAGATAAAGTTTATACATTTCCGTGAGTAGACAGCGTCCACATGAGAATTTGCCACTTTGGTATTGGCTACCAAGTAGAGAACATGGCCCAGAAAAGCTTTCATGTTGCGTTCGAGCCAGACGGGTCCCAATATTTGCACAAAAATTACATACGCCTTTGAAAGGAAATTAAATCAATAAGTTTGAAAATTGCCATTTTTAATTTCAGTACTTACATGAGTCACCCCCACTCGCACTTCTCTATTCACGCCACTGCTTCCTTTGATAATCTCCCCTGTCCCCTTAAGAAACCCAACTCCCCCACGCAGGAATCCCGACATTAAAATACCCAGAGCCTCTTCCAGGGACACAGTCTTAGTTCCCTTCGCCCCCGAGGCGGCTTTTGCTTGCGCCGCTTGCAACTGCTGCATCTGAGGCAGTTGTTGACCCTGTTGTGTCATTGCCATTAGGGCCCCCAACAACTTAGCAACAGTACACCGTACTTCGTAGTTGGAGCCATCAAAAGCTCGAAAGCACAATGTAGCTAAACTCTCCAGTTCACTGGTGTACATGAACTGAGCGTGGTTTAGCATCTCTAGGAGGCAGCGGGTTGCTGCGCATCTTACCGCCATTGCACGATCCACAAGACAATGCCTTGCGGCTTTATAAATGTCTTTGTGGACATTGCTGATTGCAGAACCCATTCCGGCGCAAACTTTTTCTAAAGTAAGCATGATTTCAATACGGGTTTGGGATTCTGCGCTGCGAAGAGATCTGATAAGGATATGCACGGTTTCTTCGTAGGAGCGACCCATCATTCTACCCAGTTTTTCATACATGGTCCCCACACAACAAATAGCACCTCTGAAAATTGTATTTTTTAAGTTTATTTCTTTAATATCATGTAAATTAAGAAGTTTCTTATAAAAATGCCCAAGTTAGTAAGCCCAATGCGTCAGAAAACGTTAAAAACATGCACAGACAGAAACATAAGACAGCAAAAAATATAAGTAAAGCAACACACACAACTTTATTAATAAAAACAGAAACACACATTAGTTATGATTCACTTACTTAACAGTCACCAATTTAATAAAAATCAAATCAACAAAACAATACTATTAAAATGATATCTTTAAAACAATGACAAGAACACAACAATCACAACAATCATGAAACTATGAATAATACTTACAGTCTGGTAGGTAGAAAACTTGGTGAATCATCCTTATTCTTCAAGATATCATTGCACTTATTTACCGTATCAAAAAGCAAAAAAGTATCACCAACAGAAAATAGTGTAGCCAAACATCTGGCAATTAATCTTCTGGTTGGTGGTCCTGGTGCCTCCTGAATGTGAGCCATCAACTGCTCCACTAGTTTCTTCTGACATTCTTTTATATCACTCTTTTGGGCAGCAACTAATACCTTATCCAGGAATCTCAACCACTCAAAGACAAACAGTGGTTTCTTTGCAGCTGGCAGCTGTGCCAGAGCCTCTTCATTTAAAGTTAAACTATGTGACAACTCCATTATGCTGTCTTGGAATAAGCCTTCCTCATTTATTGGCTAGTACTTTCCCATCAGAATATATACTGCAAAGTATTGTTAAAGGTTCTTAAATGCCACTGAAATGCCAAAAAGAGAATGACCTACTTGCACTAACCTATTGGATGCGGTTAATTTGTAAATGCGACTTCGTTGAATCACCAAACTGCGTGGGTTGTACGCACGTCGGAAGTTATACGACACGTGTACATCCGCAAATTGCAGAAACACTTTAATTAATCCTTTTATTTTGCTCCCGGTTGTAATGATGCGAAAAACAACTGACGAGCTAATGCCACACGCCACACGCGCTCCAGTGGCGCAGCTGGGAACATGTACATATCAGGGGGGGCTGCTGCTGCGCTGCAACCCAAAAAACACATATGTACTATGTACTACGTGCTATGTACTACATATATAAAATATTATAAACTACGCCACTGAATCACAGCAAACTTGCAAAGTGAATTTATTAATATTTTGTTAGACTATTTACATAGATTATTATATTTCGCATAACATGTTTACAGATTGTGGCCTTCACACTTGAAAATTTCTGCCTCAACAAAAATATCCACTGCGTTGATTGCTTTCAAAGTAGACGCATTTAAAAACACAGCCTTCTTCGATTCTTTCACATCATTCCAAGAGACAGAATTCAGAGAATAAATCGGGCTACGAGTACTAAGTATTGGATTATTATCATTGTCAAATAAATTTACAAGGAGTTGATATTCTGATGATAATTTCTTACTTCCAAAGAGCCATGCCCATATCCTTACGTTATTGTAATCAGAAATACTGAAATTTAAAAGAAAAACACTTAGAAAAACACAATTTAACGTAGGTAATGTATAATTTACCTTTGATTTGCTTCCTGAATGATTTTCAACACAAAATATTTCTCATCTAAAGTGATAAGGTACGTAGATTGACCTTCAAAACCAAGTTTCGTTGTCAATTTAGGTTTAAAGTATTGAATCAAAGGTCCATCATGTAGAGATTGAAAGTGTTGATAAATCTGCGACGCTAAAAAGTAAAAATTTAAATAGTAAAAGTTCAAAAGAAGAAAAATTCTGAGTACCTTTGAATAAAACACTGCATTCGGTATTAAATGGACACACAAACAACACACCGTCATCACTATTTGTATGATCAATTATAGAATCAACCGAACTACACCTTGTACAATTATTTATAGCGTTAATTGAACTTGTCCTTGATATACCTGGACTTGCAGGTGGGCGAAATATTTCACTTGAAGACAAACTTTTTGCTTTCAAAGTTGTAGAAAACTCAGAATCAACAGATAAATGATTAACAATCCTATTATTATTATTATTACTCTTCGTGCTGAGGTTCTCTACAGATGATGATTTACCAATTAAACGCGCCAAGAACTTGTTATGAGCGTGGTGTTGAGTAATTTTGATGTCAGGCATTGCAGGACTAGTTTTGTTCAATGTTTTATCTTTAGGTTTGAAGATATCGTTGATTTTCACTGTGCGAATGTCCTGCGAAATGTTTCTCATCTCAAACGCGTCCATTATTGAATTATAGACGTTGTCAGCAATGAGGGAACGGCCCCGAGCAAAACGTATCCTACAAACCGGACATCTTTCTGATTTTGCCCGACATCGCATGCAGATGATGTGCCCATTATCACATTGATACACTGGGGGTTGTGTAGTATCCAAACAAACCGGACATTCTAGATGATTAAGGATTGTTGATGTAGCTGCAGATAGACGTTGGAAGTTGTTGGGCATTGGTCCACAGCAAAGTGTCTAGATAAAAACAAATTTAAATAAAAGTAACAATGATTTTTATAAATAACTCACTTCTGGGGAACATTGTGCGTCACTTCCGGCATTCCAAAGTAACAAGGTCACGTGTTGATGTACCTTCACAATCTGGGCAATCTCCGAGATCCGTCTTCCGACGACATCTTCACTGTTCACTTCCAATAAACAGTCCCCAGCTTTCATTCCAGCTTCTTCTGCGCCAGATCCCCCATCGATTTTGCTTACCCACGGATACGGGTCCCATTTGCCTCTGGTAAGATGAAACCCAAATGTGGTATTATCCGTGCGTTCGACTTCAACCAAACGCACCGACGGGTTGAAGTGATCTTCGAATTCCGCTTCGCTCAACATTACGCCGTCGACTGAATGACTCTGATACGACTGCTACTTTCATCATCTTTCTGTTGCACGAAAGAGGAAAGAAGGCCATCTCATGATGTATAATAAGGAAGGTCATTGCAAGGTCATCAATGGACCATCACTAGAAATACAAGGAAGTGGTACCCGTACCGTCCCCAAGCAAGGTCCCGTCTATGAGGTAAGTTGTGAATTAAATCAAATTAAGGTGCCGCTAATTGCAGAGATGTTATGTACGCAAACACACATGCGACGGCATTTTGTGACGGCGCGTAAATTCGTGTCCCGTGCCTGGATTACCTTCACCTACATTTTGGAGGCGCGCCGCGAAGGTTATTAAATCAACGGTTTTCAAACGCAAATCACCACGAACAGCACTGCTTTAAAACTTGAATAATAAAGTTTCACAAAGTTCAAAAATTTCGTACCACAGTGCACTTTTTTCTCGGTCATACTTTCACCTTTCTTTATATTTATCGAACAGTCGCGCTGACTTCTTTTAATGTTGACAAGTTTTCTTTTTACTGGCCAACGCTTTCACAAACGTATTTTTCGACAAATCGCACACCACTCAAAATATTTCCTTATTAGAGTTTATAACACATTATAAAGCGATAAGAAGTAAACTTATAAATTTTTACACATGTTAAACAAAGGAGGCACATATTTATTCTTTGATTAAGGTTTAATTATATAAATATATACATCGCGTGTCAGAATAATATCAATAAATTTTAAGTTGTACGCAACCCAAAGTACAAATTGATGGGAATTGCGTTGCATAAATCTCAGCTACCAATGACCAGATGCAACCATCATAACTAAAACTAATATAACCAATTTTTAATATGTTTTTGCTTCATCTTAACAAGTGTATGTTATGCGTGTGTGTGTTTGTGTGTGTGATGTTGGTTATTGTATATACAAATTGTTCGACGGTTTCGAGTATTCCGTTATCACTATATCACTATAATGATTAATTAACTTGTATTCGAATAATTCACGTTTTGATAACGCGCCAACACTCGTTGATGATAATGTAATGATTCTATGCGTCTAGAATGTTGCTTGCAACGGAATGCAAAGTGAACGAAGGTCATCTATCAAGCACGGATTCCTTTTTTCTCTCGCTGTTGTTTGTTGTTATTGTTGTTATTATTGTTGAGGTGTGATTTATAATAAAATTAGAATACAATCATCTTCTACATCGTGTTATTTACATCTTCTGAATCATGTCGAACTTCTTTTTAAAGTCGAGCGTTGTTTCCTTCTTGGGGTCAAACTTCTTTTTCGCGGCGAGACGCGCACGTAGCTCAGCTGCAGTCATATTAAGATTTAATCCACCTCCCTGGGACATTGGCGGTATAATCGTGCCATTTCCGTTCTCCTGGGGATGATCGTTGTGGTTGTTATGATTATCCGATTTTTCTGATCCGTTGGTGTTGATGGTATTGATGCTGTTGGTGCTATTGGTGCCATTAGTACTGATTCCACTTAGATTACTCGTTCCGTTGGTTTTATTGTTGTTGCTGGTGTGATTCTCAATTATTTGTTTCTGTTTGGATTCAGACCCACCATCCGTGGAGGAGTTATCTTCTGAAATTACCAAAAGTTTGGTCTCTTTTGGAATCGCCTTGATCAGTTCCACAACGTCACGATGGGTTTTCCCATTGATGTTTGCTCCGTTCACTTCAATAATACGATCTCCCTGGCGAAGGCCCGCCGCTTGCGCTGGTGAACCATCGTCGACTTTACCAATAAACTGTCCCGGTTTACCTTTTTCGGCGTGCAGATCAAATCCGTAGCCGTCGAAATGGTCCCACTTGGCGATGTGACACAGACGTGACATTTTTACGCACTCACTACTCAACGATTTCAGTCTTCAGTGCGTCGCACAGATGCACAACGAATAAACAACGATGCAGGCCAACGCGTGAGAAGAAAAACGAACTGCTCGCGGGCGAGAACAACCGGCGAATGCGCGCGGTGTATGATGCTCAGGTAGCCGACGGCGGGGCCCGCTTTTTCTCACTCGCTTGCTTGCACCGAAAACAACAAGTGCGCTCGCACAGGTGAGCACGTCGCGCACGTTCCACTGCTGCGCAAACAAACAACGCTCTCGCCCTCGCCGCAGCCGATGCAGGTTCAGCAGGTTTTTTTTTCGGACGATAACGTCACAGCGTTGGTATCTCCTTACGAAGATGACGCGCGATGATCAAGCTGCTGCGAGGAACTATGACGCATTTTTATTAATAAAAAGCGAACATAAAATGAAACGGCGCGACGAATTGACCATCCGCTAGAACCAAACCACGCTCCATCCGGATATCCTTTTACTCCTGATTAGTTTTTATCTAAATTTAACCACAGTTTAACACTCAAACCATAAACTTCCAAGTAAAATCGACGTAACTTTTGTTTCTAAGTTATACAGTACTTGAGTATATTTTCAATTGAATTAAATATCATAAAATAATAATTTATGGGCAAATAAACCAATATTTTACGTTTTTTTCACAATAATTATATTGTTATGGTTGTTATTCTAGGGTTAACATTGCGCATGCTATTAATATTACCTATTTAAGAAGTTTTGATGACTTTGACGGTGACACCAGTCGGCGATTGTTCATATTAGTCGAACAAACAATTTACCCACAATTAGTTGTTGTTTTTAACAGCGTTACACGCTCGGTTTTTTGCTTGTTGACGGGTTTACGTAACGTGGGAATGGTGGGAATTGTTCGATCGCTGCATGTTTAACTCATTAACTCCAGCATTAGTCATCTCCATCGCATCGTCGAAGATTATGTTGTTATAATTATCACTAGCGATCACAATGTGAGCACGCGCGTTATTACGTGCAAACCTGTTAAATGCATTTTATGCGCGTCCACGTCGTACACAGCGCACGAACGTGACCAATTTTTTTCCGCGCTTGCAGCACGAACATGATACTTGACAATGTTTTTTTCTACATTTCCATCATAATACCTATGAATGCATATGACGAATCGCGTAAGTAGGTACAAAAGTTACAAACGTCCAAGGTCAGCCATCTTGTTAGCTCTACGAACGGAAAAGCAAGCACAAAACATACGTAACAGCGTGTAACAATCAAAAAATGCACACGGAAATTTTGCTAAACGATTTTCCAGCCCATTGTTCGATAATTGACGGTTAATTTGGTTGCATAACAGTTGTCGACATAATCGGCCATCTTGTTAATAGTCTATGCATTCGCAGTTAGAAACACACATCATTTTGGTAAATGTTCATATAATTTAACCATATATAGAAATAATACAACAAGTAGGTACAGTACACAGCCTATATCCAAATATGTAACATCAAAGTGTACGTCATATACAAATGAACGATATATCACGGCAGAATAATCGTCTAATATATATATTAGATATATATCTAGTCACGCAACATGGCTACCGCTCGCCACGTGGTGTTTTATCTTTAAATTATCAGTGCAAACACAACAACAACAACAACAACACAACAGCGGAAGAAACAAAACAAAGTTAGTTCAAATTAAAAAATTAAAAAACAAAACGTAAATGCACAACCACCAATGAACAAGAGCAAGAAGAAAATTGTTTATTGCTTCTGCTCGCGTTTGAACTCTGTCAGCGCCGTGTGTATTCTAAAATGCAGGCGTGACTCCAAGGAATAACCAGAGTAATTCCTCCTGGAAAACATGCAGAAATAGTATTCAAGTTTGGTTATGTTGTTGGGTATTTTGAGGTTACTTACTTAGCGTCTTCTAGAGATAATATCGCTTTTTCTCTGTTACCAGCGTCCCATTCTAACAACGCTAGCTCAACAATAGCGTACGGTACGATATAGTTGTCCTCAATGATTTCTTTTTGTAGAGAGATAGCTGTTTCTAGACATTCAAGAGCTTGCAATGGACTCGCCATCTGTCGGAGACAAGCTCCTTTCAACAGGAGCAGCATAGCGCGGTTGTCATTGTCGTATTTATTCAACGGCACAGAATAGGTTAAGTTACGCAGTGCCTTCTCGATTAACTTGAGCACTTTTTCGGCCATATTGAAGCTTTTACGCAAGAGCTTGAATAGGTTCCAAAGGAACATCAATTCAATTACAGGCAGAATCAAAGTTTCGCTTTGATTGAAGAAGCGTTCAGCTTTACGAATCGCAAACTTTTCCATTGGGAGTGATTTTCCAGCAATGCGTTGTTTATACTTCGGCACATCTCTGCATAAATAAATAAAAAATATTAATGTTTATAACATTTTTTAGGAAAATTTTTGTTGAAATATTACTTCATGAGATTATGAACAACAACTCGATCCGTATTGCTCAATTCCTCGTCCTGCATGATCATGAGAGCTGCTTTCTGATAAGAGTACATTGTCCTTGACCATCTGCTACCTTCCAGAAGGTAATTAGAGTAAACCAGTGCCTCTTTCCAGTCTGTTTTCACACTGTTTGTGCACAAAGTAATTGTTTTATTAATTATAAAAGATAATGACTTTTTAATGTAAATAACACTTACCTGTTTACCCACAACAGTTCCCAGAAGCAAAAGTGATGGAATTGTGGCCAGATATCCTGACTTTTCCACGACTTCACATACCATTCTTGGCTGACATTCAAATTACCTTTCATAAACTCGAGACGTGCCTTGAAAAACAAGAACCACGCTCCTTTGGGGTATTTTTTCAGCTGGACTGCTAGAATCTCTTCAGCCAGCTTGAGATCACCTTCTTGATGACTCAAAACGTAAAGCACGATGAGGTGGTAACCCAAAAGGGTCATACAGCAGAGAATTTGACGTAGGCCATCCATACTGTATCCACTTAGAAGATCATTCATACCCACATTCTGTATAAATTAATATTTACAATTAAATTTGTTAATATTTAGTCAGATTTGGTTTACCTTGTTGCCTGAGAACCCAATGAACTCCAAAAGTTTGATAACACGACTTGGGAGCATTGATATCATCAGGTTGAAAGTGCCGATGCCCATTTTTACACCACTTTCAAAATGGCCGACGGTTGGAGAGTTACCCCACTTCTGTTTCTTCAGGATTTGTTGACAATCCCTTCAAAAAATACAAAAATTAAACATTTTATTTCATTATTATGAATAAAACATACTTGTATGAATTATAACAGGATCGAATCTTGATGCCAGCTTTGATAAAACTGCTAAGCGTCTCATCCTCCAAAAACGTGAGCATTGCTTTCAGAAGCAAACATTCAGCATGACACAATTCAGCATGCGCCTCCATTTCGGTGTACTTTTCAAAATTCGGATTCTTCACCATTTTACCCAGAGACTCACCAATTGTGTTCTTTCTGCGGTAACGGTTACAAACAGCAATTGAATGCTTCAAAGCGTTTCCGGCGTTTACCAACTGCCGATGCTCGAAGGTAAGCATAGCTTCCAAGAAAGTAAACACAGCGTTACCCAATGCGTGATACATACTCACATTTGCCCTGAAGGAAACAAAAATTAAAGAAATTACACAATTACTCGCAAATAAAACAATTTCCTTACCAAGGAGTCATTAAATCCTTGGCATCATCAATTTTATTATTAAAGAAGAGATTAATCGCATGTTGGGCTTCCTCCACGGCCTTTTCCAGAGTCATATCGGCAGGCATTTCAATTGCATCCTGAAACTATTAAAACCAACAAGTAAAACATTGTTTAATCAAATAATGTATAAAATTACATCGTCGTAATCATCATCATCGTTATCCATGTCAGGCTCCACGTTGTTGAGCATGGTTGGCGTGGTAGGCATGGTGTTGTTGTACAACTTGTGAACGCTAGAAGTGGAACTAGAGCTCGACGCGGTTGACTTAGCAATCGTCGCTGTAGAAACACCAGTGCTTTTCAACGCTGTGAGATTACTAGCGCTGTTTCTGTTTGAATGCAGTGTTTTTCCAGGAGTTGTGGGTGTTGTCGCGAGAGAGGAACAAGCGCTAGAGTTTTTACTGATGGTTAAACTCTGGGTGGTTATAAGAGGAGCTAGGGTTGTCTTTTGAGTTGCAGGAGTACTAGTCACAACCTTAGTATTTGTAGTTTCCGTCGATGAATCTTTATCTTTAAGTTTATCTGTTGTTTTGGATGATTTAACCGGAAATGGAGGAATGGGTGAAATAGATGGTTTTCGTTCAGTGGGTTTCTTCACCGTTGATGTTGTAAGTGTTGTAGAAGTTGTCACAGCAGTGGTTTTACTTTCCTTTACAGGATTCACAACAGTTGTGGGGGTTTTCTTCGTAGAATTGTCTTTTGTTGCTGCTGGAGTTGCAGTTGCGGGTATTTTCGACTCAGACTTGACGCCAATCGCCGCCGACGACAGCACTTTGTGTACTGCACGGAAACCACAAACAAAACAAAAAATACAATCGTTAGGCGCATAATAAAAGCGCAATTACGATGATTGCACATGTGCAGTCAACTTTCTAATGATGCAGACTCTCTTCAACGTCAACTGTGTGCAACGGAAGTGCATACATTTGGAAATCGCCAGCAATCTAGTATGAAATATGAAAGGTACGTGCTACATACACAAGCGTGATATAGAAAGTGCCGTTTGCTCACTATATATCTCAAGATAACGAGAACAATGCACCACAGAGAACTAGCACACCATCATTATCGTCGCAATAAAACTATTTTTAAATGAATACTAAATAATGCAGCCTGTTTATATGTTTTTATGCAACCAAGTCATCGCAATGGAGCAATTAACGTAACAAACAAGTTGCAGACATTGCAATTATGACAATTGCGCGCACAATTAAAGTAAATTTTAAAAAATTATGTGACTTACGTCTGGAACAATTAATAAATGCAGTCAATAAATTGGTTACCGACTGGCTTTAACCGTACTAAACGACTGATTGAATAAATCGACGCACTTGAACAACGCGGACGATAAAAATTCAATCAAATCAATCAATTGCAGATAACGCGTATTTTTGGTCACAAATACTTACAGTAATAGCCACCGATAAATAATCCAACAAGTGTTTTGTGATATTTGATTGTAGGTAAAAGTTGTTGACTGTTGAAATGTGGCACGTATCGTTCCGATGGTCAGTCAAAAATGGAAAAATTATGAATTTTGTGAACGGCAGCAGTTTTGGTAACGCACCAAAAATTCGATACGCGCAACAATCACCATCAAAATCGCACCGTTTCGTACAAAACGCGGCTGGCGACTAAAACATAATTCTGTGACGATGAGCGGCGTACGGCGGCTAGTTTCGAATGGCACTCAAATTATGATATTCGCGCTCGCTTTCTTTTCCCGATGACGGTCAATTTCTGCAACACGGTGACATACACACCGCGCATTGACTAATCTCATCGCCCACATGCAGACATTGTTTTATCACAGCTGCTTGGAGCAATATAAAAATAAAAACTTTATTATCCTCATAAATGTACTTACTTATTGCAGATAACGTCATCAAATTTAATATTTACTTTTCTATGAAGATTACAACCGAAAAACGGTGATAACTTTATCTAATTTTCATGTGTTTACATAATACACCTGCATTTATTGATAAAATATAAATATTTAAAGAAATTATTCATTCTTAATTCTGTGCTCGTTGAAAAATACGTTTTTTGTCGTTTTTTCCTCTAAAATCGTAAAAATTACGACGTTTTTTGATAATATTTAATACACGCGTACTCAAATTCAACTTCTATGAATAATTCATCAGTTAATAGCTTATTTTTATGTCGTTGTATGTCGTTTATAGGCAATTAAAACCCATAGCAAAGTGGAAATCATCCAAAAGTACAAAACATTCCAATTAAATCTCACGCCCAGACGGGAATATAACGACAAATATGCGACGCAAAACAAACAGAAAACGTATGCGACCTTGCTAACCAATTCGGACATTCGGTGATTACGTCCAACAACAAACCAGAAACTTGCAGCATGCATCCGAACACATAAGAAATTCAACTATTCGGAGAGAAACTAAAAAAGATAAAAAGTTTTCGTGCTTGCCGTTTGACCAAGCTTAAATTTTTAATCGAGATCGATTAATGTTGAGTCAAAGGATGCCACAGTCACAGAAAAGGATATAAATCAAGCCATCCAAAAAATTGAATTGAATGATTTATGAATCGTGCGGAAATAATGGGATTATTTTATTGAGTTGCAAGGGCAAGCAATAAACGTTGAGCATCAAAGCGGCAGCATGTGATTGATAACAGCAATCAGCATCATAATTAGCCTAATTATGATAGCTTCTAACGCTACTAACCTTCAGCCATATCGACACGGTGAGAGTTGACCGTGATATATGCGAATCTGACCCGCTTTTTATCACAGATAAACGCGCTTTGTTTCTCGTCGGTGTCTCCTGCGAGAAACTTTACATGTTTGTTAGTCTGTTAGTCGTTGGAGCAACGTCAAGGGAGTTGGTTAGTTGAAGAGTTTAAGACACGCTCATTGTTGCAGTTGCAGGGATGCGACGCACAAAAACCGCACACAGCAGGATTTGATTTAGTTGTTTTTATTTATTTGTGTGTTATTTGAGTTAGATAGCGATTGCGGTTGGGTTAGTTTTGCAGGGCCAGCAGGGTTGTTAAGTCTGAACGTAGACAACGGTTCCAAAATGATAAACTAACTCGGGGGTTGACGGTGGAGTGACGGTAAAGTGTGACGGTGGGTGAAAGCCCAAAGAAAGCGCCCAAAATAAATGTGCTGCGATGACATTGACATTGACAGGTCGCCTGCGCGAACAAGCGCAGCAGGAAGCTTTTGCAGGAGCACGAACTGTACCGAATTCAGACGAGAATAACAGTTTGATTTGAAATGTTTTGGAGATTCTCTTTCTTACCCCCACCACATTTTGCTGGTGAGTCGCAAGAAAAAAAGGAAGATTGGAATTGAACTACCGGAGGTCCCACATGAAGAGATGGATTAATGTGTAATATTTAATACTGATGTCTAACCACCTACAATCAAATAAATATACAACAATTTAAACCCCATTAATTTAATTTTAAATATTAATATCTATAAGTTTATATCTAATCAGCAAAGTGTTTAGTACTGCATGCTTCACAAATATCCCTTTCACTGTATAGCCCACACACTCTGCAAGTAATCAAATTTTCCACAATGGCGTCCATTTCATCCTGAATATAAGCCTCATAATCACTGACTTCTTCATTAGCTAACTGCTCAAGTATTTCTTGCTGTATCTCTTTAAGAGTCTTGAAGACATCATCAGGTTGTACAAAGTCAAATTTGTTTAGTTGACTATTGAGTGTTGAAACTAATTCATTGTACCCTTCATTTACCTCAAGTTTTAACGTTGCTAAATCTCTGCAGGCGTCGAAAGATTTGCTTCGCATATCACGCAGGCGGCTCTTAAATTGCTGCACATTACAGAGAAAATAAGAGGTTCACCTGTACATTTTTTGGTTAGCAATTTTATTTTACCTTTCGTAGTTCAAATTTGAGATCGCCAACGGTTGATCCTTTATGGGTGACACTGTTCTTTGCTTTTTGGTAAGAACTTTGTTTATTAGCCATGTTTTAATGAAAATATAACGTAAAATATTAAAAAGCACACAGAATTTCACTTCATACCGGTATTTTTTATCTTTTTTGGTTACAAGATGACCCCTCTGGTTTGAATTTACGGAGAGTGGGTAAACTTTATCAGTAAACGTCAAATTTAAAACTTAAATATTAATAAAGTTAAATGTAAGCAAGGTGCCTTTAAACTAAGCTATGTTTATTATCAAGTTATTTTAAGGGTAGATTCTAATTTATTTTAATAAAAATGGTAAAAATGTGGCTTCCGGTACCCAAAATCCAAAAATGTATACCTGTGTGTGTAATTTACGATGAAATAACCTCAAATGTTTACTGTGCTAATGATTTCTTGTGATTCTGGCTTTTAAACAGAATATACAAGCTTAAATAAAGTTAAATATTGTTAATTTAAAAATATTGCAATGGCTGGCCCAACCCATCGCTTCCTCCCCAATTTAGGCCAACAAAACTGCAATCAATTTGCTGGGGCAATGCAGAATCAAATGAACAATTCAATGCAAAACCAAATGCAGGGGCAAATGGCTGGGCAATTGTCCCAAATGGGCATGCAGATGAATTCTGGGATGGGTAATCAACTAAACAATCAAATGAATCATGCTATGGGTGGGCAATTAAACAATGCACTTGCAAATCAGATGAATAATATGAGCAGTGCAAGCAATCAAATCATGGGACAAATGAATGCCCAGTATAATATGGGCTCTACACAGATGCCACAAGGAAATAATCAAATGCAAATGGTACAACAACAATCAATGGGCATGCAACACCTGAATCAAATGCAACAACAAAGCCCACAGGTTTCCCAAGCTGTGCAACAACCCACAGTTGCACCAACACCAACCCCCACACCTCCAGCACAACAACAACCACAGCCAGCAAAGGAATTCAACACTGCTTCACTATGCAGAATTGGCCAGGAAACAGTCCAGGATATTGTCAGTAGAACACAGGAAGTCTTCCAAACTCTGAAACAGATACAACCACCCAATGGTACACCACAGGGTGCAAGTCAGAGTAATGATAAGAAGGTGAAAGTCCAGGAACAATTGAGAACTATTAGGGTACTCTTTAAAAGACTCCGGCTCATTTATGAGAAGTGCAATGAGAATTGTCAGATTCAGGGCATGGAGTACACACATATTGAGAGTTTGATACCACATAAAGATGAGATTGATCCAAAACATGATGAAAAGAAGAACACAGAGGCATATAGATCCTCATGTGAGGAAATGAAAGAGATTATGGAGCAAGTTGTTGCTAAAAATAAACAGTTAAAAGATGTTGTTGATATTCTACGTCGTATTATCTGGGAAATTAATACGATGTTAACTATGCGCAGGTCATGATCTTAATTTTTTTTAAAGAATTCGCTATTCGTCTAGGCTAAAATATTTGTATGTATGCTAAGAATCATGTAGACCTATGTAATCAGTAATATTTTTAACCTCTTCTTGTGGGCTATCAAACGCTAGTCGTCCAATCATATATATTATCAATTTACGCGCCTCAAAATAAGTAATTTTTCCTATTGTACTTTAAAAAATTATGAAACATTTGATTATGAACTTGTTTTTTTTTGAAATATACCGACTTTATATGACCACTGAGACAAAGTGCAAAATTTTATTACACATTGATTCGCTTTCAGTTCTAATATAATAAACATGACGCAAAATGAACGCACTGCATCGCTTGTAGTACTCCACCTAACAAACTAAACGAATTAAGAGTAAATGAAGTATTTATAACCATTATCCGCACAAAAATAAAAAACGGACGCTTAACTCTGATCCATCAGGTAATCATGATGCGAGCCGTTCGAATCCTTCTGAATTGATTCGAAAATCGGCTGCAGATCCGGCGATGTCTTGATTTGCGTGACAAACTCGTGCAAATGTGGATTTTTATCTGAAAACACACACATAACAATAACAAAATAATACCTAAAATTATATTTGTAATTACCAGCATCGGGAATTGTCAACAATGCGGCAACCGCACGCATCGCCGACCGTTTCAACTCATCTTGTTTTTCATATTCCTGTTTCACCGAGTTTGCCTTAACTTTCATCGTGCAAGTCACTCTTAATGGTTCCACTAGTCTATCCAAACGCTGCAAAACCGCTCCAGGGCAAATCTGTGATAATCTAGCCGCCATTAAGTACGTCAACATTTTAATATCGTAGTGATCCTTCAGGCCGCTCTCCACTTGGTTCAAGAACTCGAAAATATCAATGCGATCCACGCACGAATCAAGGAGAGTGTACATACACTCAAAAGCTGCTTTACGAATGTCTAAACCATCATCAACGACGTGTTTAAACGGACCCATCTCCACTTCACGGATTAAATCTTTCTAAACTCACAAATAAGGTTATAAATGTAAGATTTTAAGGTTATGATGTATACTATTACCTTGACTTTGGTTTCACTGTATAATTGCGGCAGGATTGTATCAAGCAGGTCACGAATCAAAGAAGGTTTATTATGCGCCGCTGAATTGAACGCAATGAGGGCAACGCGACGCACATTCACGTCCGGATCTTGTAGCGTGTTCAAAAATTGACCTATGCATTGCCTGAGCAAAGGATCAATCGTCTGCGGCTGGTCGGAAATGGTGAATTTAACAGCCGTCACGACAGTGGTGCGCATTAACGGCGATGGGGAGCTGAGACTTTCTTGTAGTTTGATGAGTAGATTCGCAGGATCAATAAGTGTCAACTTGCCAAGGCATTCGGCGACTACATTACGAGTTCCTTCCTCGGCGCATTCGCAATGACGGAATAATTGCTTCCAAATGGCAGGGACATATGGGAGTAACTGTTGGGTGCCATCAGCAGATGCTGACAAACAAGTTATTATCTAAAAACAAGAGATTTATCAATTATTTTCTGTTAAAATAGAGAAATGTGTTGTTTTGTTTACCTCCTTCAATGAATGAAGTAATAAGTATTGTCTTTTGGGTTGATTCTCGATTTCCTTTAATATAATAGGTAGATATTGTCGTAAGTTACCGATGGCAATGCTTCCAAGTGCATAACTCGCAGCAGATTTGATTTCTTCCGAAATATGCGAGAATGACTCGATTATATCAGACTCTAAATTACCAGCAGCTGTCAAATCACTGAAAAAATACAAATTATTACTATATATTCATAAAAATTCAACAAAAAAACTTTAAAAACTTACATATTACGCCCGATTTCACCAATAATCAAAAGTCCAAAGATATGATGACTATCATTATTAGCATTCTTAATATCATAGATAAACTTCTGCACAACTGGCAGCGCTTTGTTCGAGCAAACCGTGGTAATGGCGGCCACACACTTCGCAAGCGAATAGTACGCTTGTTTGTGAATAATCTGATTACCATTCAAAAGCACCGGTTGCAATAACAAGTGCAGCAACTCATCGTAACCACATCCAGGTATCTTACACTTAACCAACGCTTTGAAGAAATCAAGCATTGATGCAAGCGCTGCGCCTTGCAGCAGTGGTGATCGCACCAAATTCATTACGTCCGGTAGAATAGTTTTCGAGATATTATGAAGCGCTTTCGGGTAGTACTCGGCGATGGATTTGAGTATAACCAGCGTCCACTGCGCAATATGAAGATCAGATTCGTCGAGAAGAGGCGGTAGTTCCACTGTCACATGCTGTAGCAGGACAAAATTGAAACTGGCGTTGTAGTTTTTGATCAAACAGTCGAGTAGAGAGAGTGTGCTGAGTTTCAGCGCTCTTTGATTTTTACGCAAGAATGAACCCAAAATCGGTATAGCATCATCCTAAAAAGATTTACAATGTTTTAAAAAATAAATAAATGTTGTATTGTTTAATTTACTTACAATTATTGGTAGTGAAATACTCAACGGCGAACCAGCAATATTCGTCAACGCTTTGACAGTCGTAAGTCTTGTAATCTCATTCCTCAATCTATCCAAAAACAGCGGGAAACACATATCCAACTCCTTGCGTAAATAATCACCCAGATTACAAATAATCTGCCCCATTGTGGAGATCGCCCTCTCCTTCACCTCCTGATCAATATCCGTTGCTTTCAACCGTACCAATGTACAGCTGTAAATCTGATTAGTAAACGGCGTGAAATCAAAACTGCACGGAGCATTTAACGGCCGAATAACCTTCACCATCTCTTGCAAAACATTCAAAGCCTCTGCAGTGATCTTGTAGAAATTATCACCCACCGCGTTTATGACTGGCGGCAGTAGAACATCGATATACGGATGGAAAACAGGCGGGCGATGTGTGGTTAACAGACAGTAAATAAACGACAACGCGTCGATTTTCATATTACTACTGGAGTTCTTCTCGCCCAAAGAATATTGAATGCCCGGAATAAGTTCCCCGATGTGTGCTGTGAGTGATCCAGGCAGAACTGTGCAGAGTTCTTTGAGAAGTGAGAAACAATCTTGGCGTGTTTTGATGCTTTTCTCACGCATTTGCACGCTGACTGCTTTCACAATACCAGGAACCTGTTGTTGTAGAAGATACACTGGTGTTTCTTGTTCCATGGAGTCCGGATCAATGCTGACACTCACTGAAGATTTTGTTTGCTTCAAAAGTGCAATGTAAGCGTGAAAAATGTCGGATTTTACATTTTCCTCGCGTTCTTTAAATCTGGCGATCAACGCAGGTGACAGCACCTTATAAAACTCCGGGAGCATTTCATGTCGTGATGTTATAATGGATTCCAGACACTTTGCAGCTGACCGGCGTACTTTCCAGCTCATATCGTCGTCATCGCTGTATTCGTCGTTTTCATCTTCGTCTTCATCGTCATCCCCATCGATTGTATCCATAACACCGTCGTTTTCATAATCTTCATCGTAGTTATAATTGGGATCGTGTGTGATATATTTGAGGCATAATTCAGTGACCATTGCGATGTGCGGCGTGATTTCTTTCGGGCATCGGTTGACAAACGATTCAAACGCTTGCAGACAAAACTCTCGTAGTTCATCATCATCGGTTTGTATGTACTGTTGAATATGCGGGATGAAGGTTTCGATGTGTTCGCCAAAACGATGACCAGATTGTCTGCACACAGCAGCGACGCAGTGAATATAAGTGCGCGTTTGCATACTATTGTTGTTCGGATTACAGAGGCCAATCTTCAGGTGATCGATGAGTTTGGCATACAGAAGTGAGTTACAAGAGAGGACAAGATTACTTAACGCGGCGATTGAGCGCTTGCGGACTGCTTGACGTGGTGATTCAAGTTGTGGAAAGAGAGCCGTTAGGATTGAACCGTGAAATGAAGAGAGTACATTGCCGAAACGCGCGAGAAGATCAGCCACGATGTCTAGGGCCTCCAATTGGACTGATACATCTTCTTGCTGTTAAATAAAACATTTAAACAATAAAAATCGACTTTTTAATGTAAAAAACTAACCCTCTCAATAGCTGTAGTTAACCTTGAAGTAATGTGCTTGCAAATATTACCGGACAATCCTCCAGGAGCCTGTGGCAGTTCAGATATCACAGTCTTCAGGCCAATGCTAGAAATATCCCTCAACTGCTCCTTTTCCGATATCATGTTGGAGCAGAGGTTCTCCACAATGGTTTCCACTTGAAATTCTTTGACTTTGTTCACCAAAGGACCCAAACTGAAACGTTTAATTAATATTTTTAGGAATAAAATGATTATTTTTACAATTACCATTTGACAGCAAGGTTTTGAACCTCGCCGTTTTTATCTTCTAGCAGTTTAAGCAACATCTTCACAACTTTCCTCTCAGAATCATCATCCAACTTGATGCTGTCATTTTGTAACTCGGTCATCAAATCATTGGTGGCCATAAATCTGAAGTCTTTATCAGAAGATTGCATCTACAAATATTACAATATTATATTAATAAATGTTTATATCTACTGGGATGTATATAATACCTTCTCAAGAAGATTTGCAATCTGGTAGGAGACACTAGCCATGATTGTGTGGTGTTGATGCTCAAAGTTGTGTGCAGAGAACTAAAAATGTATTTTCGTCGCCTTGCGTCGCGTTGTCTCACAGTGCATGTGTTCACAAATCGTCGGCGGGTTGTTTTCGCATATTAATACGCAAACCACACTCGGAAACTGAGTTTTTAACCAATGTCGGCCGCAGGGACGCGTTCCAGCGACCCGGCCGGCGTTACACAGGTTAAGCAGCGATTGAAGACTTCCGAACGCGTTTCGAACACGATCAAACATGAAATGCAATACTATACGTGGTAGATGCTTGTTCAAGTAGCCGAAATCGCAGTCACAGGCAGCAGGCGGCTAAACTGAACCCTGAAGACCGGATGACATTCTCATTCTGAAGTTGAAGTGTTGAAGTTTGCAACGCAACGAAAAATTCATGCAAGGTCATCCAGTTATATCTATACGCTAGTAAAGTATCTACCTTAGCGCCGCCTCGTGGCTTATTTCTTAAATAGTGAGATCTGAAACCTTGAGTACCATATGTTATATATATACTAGTTAACCGGGCAAACGTTGTTTTGCCATATAAATTATTTCTAGTTTCTAGATAAATTTTAGTGTAGACAAAGAGTAACTTACTTATTATAAGTGTGTCAGTATGAAAAATTTAATTAACTGAACTAATTGTGCCAAATACACTTAAAATGAATAATTTTATTATTATGAATATAATAGTAATCTATAATATAAAAATGAATCGCAAAAGTGTTGTTAACCATTGTAAACGTTTCTTACTACACTTGATACGTATACCATAATGATGGCCGAAAACTGTATAGGGTGTGACAGAAGTCTTATTGTGTGAGTGAAAAAGAAGACCGGCTTCAGTCTCATTCCTTCAAGCGGTATGAAAAGTGAATAAATTACTAAAATGGCTATAAAAAATAGGGTATTTAGTTCTTTTTCACTAAACATGATTATTCAATTTTAATAGCAAACAAATAATTTCAATTATTGTCACAATTTTATAAGTAAAGCTCTGATTGCAGGAGTGATGGAAAACCGTGGCAGCCTGGAAAAAATTCCAGAATTTGCAGTGCACATTTTGTTGGGGGTGAAAAATCTAACAATCCACTCAATGAATCTTATCACCCAACTATATTTCCTCTAATATACGTAAAAAAAAAAGAAATTCTAATGCAGGTTTACGAGCTGAGAGATTGCGTAAACGACGGGAAAGAATTTCATCTGCAATAATTAATACAGCTCCAGCAGATGCTGCAGTTGATGAAATAGTTGTTTCTGAGAAACATGATATTGGCATACAAACAAAAATATTTTTTTGTCGACATTTTTTTTAAATGTTTAATTATTGATAATATATTCAATAATAAAGTGTAAACATTAGCTTGACAGGTGTAGCTTACCCACCATTTAAAAAATAAGCCACGAGGCGGCGCTGAGGTAGATACTTTACTAGCGTATAGAATCTATAACCAAACATTTTCAAGATTACTACACTATTTTCTAAAGCAATAATCTTATATCCCTGCCTGTTATATTTATTTTTTGTTCAATTATTACTCGAATAATGTTTAAAGATGATGTTACAGTTCAATTGTCTGTTCGATTGTTTAAAAATTGATTTGTAATTTTGACATTTGCAGGGCTCCCAACGTTCGAACGAAAAAATATCCCACTTCCCACCCACATTCCTCATGATAACTCCACTTCTCAGCTGATCATTAAATCAAAACATTTTTTATACACACAACAAAAATATAAACAATAGCGCAATATTAGTCATGTTACATGTAGTTAGTTAATAGTCATAGAGCATTGTTCGCGATGAAGTCGATTTTGGACTCAGTGACGTCGAAAAATAACAATAGAAATGCGACAGCAATCAAGGAAAATATTACAACCCTTTTAAAGGAAAACGTGGCTCAGATTATGGTGGCTAGCACGGAAACAGATGAGGTAACTGATGAAGGGGCTTTTGATTTATGCGCTATCATCGAAGCCATATTCTTGCATGGTTTAAAAGATGGTTTTATGAACCGATTTCGACGCACCCTGGACGTTGACCAGCAATGCAACTTCAGTTTTTGGAACCTGCTGATGGAAATTTCACATCAGGAAAATATAAAACAGGTAGAAAAGTTGCGCTCGATCAAAACTGAAGTAGGGCAGTGTCGTGCATGGATCCGCATTGTGCTTAATGAAGCTTTACTTTCTTCCTATATGAAAACTATCAAAGAAAACAGGAAAACTTTGCTTAGATACTATCAAAGTTATGCTTTCTTGCTGGATATTGAGTGTGTGGATATTGCACAGATACTCATTGAGAAAGTAGAGGCTGTCACTGTGAAATTGCCATGTAATTCAGGAATTTTAAACAATTGGGTCGATTTTCCTCTCTCATTGGCTGGAATTGCTCATAGACCAATGAGATTGAATCAGGTAAGTTGATTAGACATACAAAACATGATTTTTCAATATATTTTTAATTTAGATAGCTCCAGGGGTTGATATTGCGCAAATGTTGCAAACATCTAGCTCGAGAAACTCGGAAACATGTTCGATTGCCTCATCAATCATCTCTCAATCATCCGGTATTGGACAAATCGTCTCGTTGAACGAAGACGAAGCTTTGAAATTGATTCTAAAGACGCATTCAGACATGGACGAACAACCAGTGGAGGCCTTAGAAGAAGATTCACGCCCGCCGACAACGGAATTAAAACCAATTCCAGCTGTTAATCTTGACAATACCGATCAACAGGTGCAAAGTAATAGTTTAGGCAATATTTTAAAAGAGCAATCATCAGGTTGGTCGTATGATAAAACCAATGACGTACCGGAGACTCCCGAGGAGAAAATGGAGAGAAGTTACAGTAGTTTAGTGGAGAGTAACTTTCTAAATGGTACACATATACGTACGCCGGATTTTCGAGATGTTTTACACAGACTTAATAATGATAGTAATGATGAGTCACAAGTTGAAGAAAATGCCAAAAGTAGTGAGGAACAAAACACAGACGATGAAAAACCGACTAAAACGGACGAAATTCCAACTACACCAACAAAAACTATTTCTTTTACTGATCAAGTGACGATTTTGGGTAAAGAGCGAGGTCTAGACGCGCAAGATTACAAGTGTTTCGCTTGCAAGAAGCAATTTTCATTGACAAACAAAATAATGTGAGTAAAAACACATTTTTATAACAAAATAAGAAATAATTTTGAAAAATTCTTAGGGTTTGCACCTTTACTGGTAACTACTACTGTGATACATGCATGGCGAGCGAAGAAATCGTGATACCAGCGCGAATTATCTACAACTGGGACTACAAAAAGTATCCGGTGTCGCAATCGGCGTTTAATTGTCTGAATGAAATCAAAGATGATCCATTGGTGGACTTTAAAACCGCCAATCCGTATATTTACACCGCTGTTGACGAAATGTCCCGCTTGCAGACCCTGCGAAATCAGCTCAATTACCTGCGAGCTTATCTTTTTACCTGTCGTGAACCCGTCATAGAGGAGCTACAAAAGATGATGTATCCTAAGGAATACATGTATGAGCACATACATCAATATTCAGTTTCGGTAGGCTATTTAAATACATGCACATTGAAATGTTTGTTTAAAAAGTGTCTTTCAGGACTTACTTCAAATCAAAGATGGCGGATTGGCGCTGCAGTTGGAGAAAGTTGTCAATTTCGGTCGTGATCACGTTTTGAATTGCTGGTTGTGCAGTCAGAAAGGTTTCCTTTGCGAGTTTTGCGCTGATACGAAGCCGTTGTTTCCCTTTGACACTGATAACGTCTACAGAGTATGTTTTACTAATATTTTTGGTGCTTGGTGGTGTTTTATGACTTTTTTTTAATTTCCAGTGTAATCAATGTAGTGGAGTATCGCACAAATCGTGCCTCAATGCGCTGAAACCCTGCCCGCGATGTATGCGCAAGCAGAAACGTGACGAAGAAGCATTTTTATAAGTATTCAAAGTATTTTACGTTAAATTTGGTAAATTATTAATATTTTATTCGTCCAGTACACTCACTGGGGTTGTAAATACCGTTTTAAATCGTTTAGTATTGTGTTTTTTTTTTCTTTCTCAACTTGTTTTCTTAAATACACCCATCGAGAAACTTAACTTAATTCATTGATATAGTTAATAGTCTTATAGTCATTTGATAAATTCAGAACGTCGACCACCTAGGGAGGTGAAAGGTTACAGCTAACAATGGACCGCTAGTATTGTGAGCGTTTTTTTAGTTGTGGGGTTAGTAACACTGTGCCGTGCTTTACTTTTTCGCTGACATGGCGAGATTGACGCTGCGTGTCATCTGCGGCGACGAGGGCATTTTCGGACTCGCCGACGCAGATTTTGACTTTTTCGCGCCCGCAGCAATGGCGGCCGGTTGTAAACGACTCCGGTCGTGTGCGTACAATAACACACCAATATGTCTATGGCCTGCTTCCATTGCAATTTGTAAAGCAGTACTGCCATCCTAAAACGTTAAATGTTAACATTTTTTGTAGAAAATAGTTTAAATAACTTACCACATCTTTAATAGTTGTGTCACAATCAGATTGGCCAAGGAAAAGCTTGACGATTTCGATATGTCCATGTTCTGCCGAACACATCAACGCTGTACTTCCATCTTCATCTTGTATATTAATATCAGCGCCCGCTTCGAGTAACATCCGTACCATATCGAGTCTTCCGTGACTTACAGCAAGCATTAAAGCAGTTTGGCCATGTTGTTTCGCTCGGATATTCACATCCGACAATGAAAACAACCGCCGCACCACATCAGCATGCGTATGTGTTCGCATATCTGCCAAAGACACAAGCATCACACTCGTGTAACCAGCTTTATTCTGGCGATTAATGTCGCACACTTTCGAGTCAAGCAGTATTGACACCACGTCGAAGTTACCATGAGATACAGCGTAGTGCATTGCTGTATTACCACTCGCATCCACCATATTGACTATGTATTCTAACAACGGTGAAGAAACATCTTCGTAAGCGTCTAGGTAATCTTCAACGTTGAGTGGATCAGCGTCTTTGGTGCTCGAAACGCGGAACCATTCCTTTTCAACGATGGCATTGGCGTTTTTCAGGTGTGCACTGCGTAAATTCGAGTGTTTTTCAAGGGAATCATTGAGAACTTTCATTGCACCTTGCATTTCTCGGCTTGGATGAGATCTGCGTTAAAAACATGTAAAATTAGTATTGGAGTTAATACGCCATTTTATTTACGACGTACTTTTTGCGTGGGGAAGATGGCTGACACAGCGTACTCTCTGGAATTGACGTAGCAGCTTTGGGAACGTCGGAAGAACTTTCAGTTGTACTTTCGCGTTGCGTTTCTGTATCACGTGGTGGACGTGTGGGAGCCTTCACACTGTCGGAAAGTTGATATTTTTGTTTGACTTTCTCCAAATGACTGATTTCCCGGCAACATACCCCCGCTGATAGTTCTACAGCCGTTAATCTACGACCAGACAACATTTATTACATACTAATTATCAATTACTCAAAAAAAAACATTTACTATGTCTAACATAAACATTTTCGCAAATATTTGAAAATATACCTCGTCGTTAAGATGTTCGTTCGCATGTAAGCATCCCCTTTCAGCAACATCAAGTCAGGCACATAGATATATGTTAGATATGAGTGTAAAAAGATGCTAAGCGACCAAACGCAAAACGCTACACGAGAAGCGGTAACATGCCGCGCGAACGCAAGCATTGCGAGCTGTGCCTGGGACAACGCGATTTGTTTTGGTAGCGAATATCGACGTGCGAGTGGCATAGAAACGCCACCCTCGCGCAGACGCAATTTATAAAGCGGAGCATTCCTGACCTAACATCAGACATGACCTAGTTGTGCAATATTAGCAAACTGTAAACCTGTTAGTACTTGTCAACGCCATTTTCAATTTGCAAACATGTTCTAAGCTCCTAAAAATAAAAACTAACTTTGTCTCACCTTGTTGGTGACTTCTCAGCAATTTCCACTTTGTCAGGAGTTATCTTGGTATAGGTATCCTGCCGACGGTATTTCCTACTTTCAACAGGGGTACTAACTGGACTAGTGGGTATCTGCAGGCGTGGAATTCTAGATACTTCTCTTTTACCACCATCCTCCACTGGAGTTGTCGGTGTAGTCGGTGTTAACTGAACCTTTTCAACTTCTTTATTATCCTTAGTCTCCTTACACTTCACACATGGTGATACAATCTGAGTCATTGCATCCAATGTCAGCACCCTTAGTGGTTCGCAACTTTTATGCTTCATCACCGGCGTCAATTCCTTAGTATCCGTGGATTTACTCTTCGATTGAGTCACGGGCGTCAAACCAACCACATCCGTGCTGCGACTCTTTGTTTTCACCTTTGGTGGAGTTACGGGTGTGGGAATTACCTGATCAGATTGCACCCCTTTGTGGTTTTGTATACTTTCATGCTGGGAAGATTTCGATGCGGTTTTCACTTCCGTTTGGGAACATTTCGCTGGATTACGATGCTCGTACTGCACACCAACCGTCCTCAACCGCGACATGTTAAGTTTACCTTCTCCCAGATGAAATGATTTACTCCTGGGGGTAGATAACAGCGCCAAAGAGATGGGTTCATCCTTAGGAGTGTCTTCGTTAACAACTTCATGAGTAATAATAAAATTGGTGTTGACACCAATGGACTTTTTACATATTTTACACTTAGGACACAAAATGGCGTCGATGCAATCATCGGACACACCAACAGTGGCGGTATCCGGTGAAACTTGAACACAATGCGTGGTGGTCGCTAGTTTTACATTCTGCGTGGCTGCATCACGCAGATTTTTGATGATTTCAACCGTTTGCACTCCAACAGGACGATTATCATTGATTGTCTGTGTGCTAACATCTCTTGTAGACTTTTCTGGAGGTGCACTGATATTACCATTGAGAAACTTCGACTTTTCCGCATACCATCTATCAACATGTTGATTGTTTTGATTCTGTATGTGATTCTGTTGATTATTCTGTGTCAAAGTCGACGCGTTTCTTGTCAATGGTGTTTGATGCCCCACAGCAACGTTTCGTGTGATAACACCGGCAGTAACACCAAAATCACGGCGTGGCGGAGGTGGAGGCGGGCTTTTTCCGGTTTTCCGCGTACCATTCGCTTGAAACACAGCCGAAGAAATTAAGTAATTCGAGTTCAGCCTATCCTCAGCACGCAGGCGTCTATTTTCGTCCTGCAGACTCGCAATCTGCGCCTGTTCAAAGTAACATGTCATTAATCACGCCGGGCCGTTGCAATTACCAATGCTAATTACCTGTAGTGACGGCACCAGTTTGACGCGCTCCTCCAGTTCCTTGGTGCGCTCTAAACTGAGCGCCATTTGTTCCCGAATGTTTTGCAATGCGGCTGGACTCAATCCGCACGTCGAAGACTCAATACTCACAGTGTCGAAATCTTTTCCGGGACCTTCGCCAGCCGAATGCAATATTGTCATGCTGGAGCTGGACGTGCTCGACATCGACGACCTCCGCACCGTATCTACGAAATAAAACATTGCGGAATTGATAAATATACTGATATAATGTCATTTTTTGTGGATTTACATGCGCGGTAATATTGTAAACGGCGCATGACGAACCATAGATACAAGAACGACCATTTACACATTGTTGCTGCATTGTACACAGCACACAGACTGAATCCGAATGAAAAGAAGAAGAAACGCGAGAAAGAACGTGAGGAACAATAATGAGAGCGCACGCGCACAGCGCTCAAGTAATTGTTCGGCATGAGTGCTCGCGGAGTTCATTTTAGTGTGAATCCGCTTACAAACAAAATCCAGTGGCGGCGCAAACACAAATAAACAAATACACACTAAAATTTGTTTCTATGGCGCCATTTTTGATTTACCTGAGACTGCGGTAACATCTGGCAGATTATTCACTGGTTTATTCTTGGATCTCTGCAGAGTGCGTTCGAAATCACGCACAACATCACCCAATTCGTCATTGATAACACTATTCAGCGTAGTTTTCACAGTTTGCGCATCGGTGACGGAAAGGTACATCCGGTTGTCTTCGATCGGGGTAAGTGGCTGCTCACTGGTGGTGATTACTGGTTGCGGGGCGAGTCCAAGCAATACTTCCATAGATTGTCGTTGGCGTCGTCGATCTTTGCGTCTTTTGATCGACCCGGTGCGTTCTACCTGTCGACCCAACGTTTCGCAGTACCTGACAAAGTCCAGGTCGATGTGATAACCGTACGGGCAGCATTTGCATGTGTACCAGCCGTAGCCTAGAGATACAGTAAATAAAAACTTGATTATTATCAGCATCGGCGAAATTGCGTTGAAAGGAGATGTAGGCGAACGACGCTTGATTGATAATTGCGTAATTGGATAATTGCAGTGCATGTACAATCGATAACTCGATTACTCACCGTTATCGTTATGGTACGCCATGTTTGCGCTGATGATTGTTGAGTTTTTGTTTGCCTCGAGCGTAATTCGCATTCAACTGCAAAGAAAACAACAGAAATTAATTATTTAATTGAATTGTAATCAATTTAAATGGTTTGGAAGCCATTTGTAGCCATTTGTTTACAATAATCGTTAATATTCAACAGGTATTTGCTGTTAAACACGGAAAATGATATTTTTGGTTAAAATGCGGAAATATTATGTCAAGAAAACAAATATTTACGCCTTGAGTGTACTTGTGGACTGCACACATTGTTTTTCCGTCTTTTTTACATGTATCACAATGTTATCACCGTCCATAATCGCTTTTATTATCACTTAATACCTGTTAACACAACACCATTGTATTTTTACCTGTTTTTCGGCAATAACTCAAAAAGTAAACATGGTACACACAAAATTCTTTCATTAATTGATTTAGCAGTAAATTCTACGTAAAATATGTGTACATCAACTTTCAAATATTGCTAGAAAAAAAGTTACACGCAAATTTGCATTCAATTGCAAAAAACAATATCAAAAATTAATAAATTAATTGAATTAAAATCATTTAAATTGGTTTCAAAGCTAAAATGTATCCATTTGTTTACAATAATCATTAATATCAGCCACTGTGAGAAATCCAACACCATGTGTTGATAGCCCAGATGTAAAACAGGCGGACAGGACACATGTCGTCATGTTGCGCGGTTCCTGTCGAAAACGCATCGAAAAACCGCCATAAATTAAATTCTATCAGCCTCCCAAAGCGGTAAAAAGAGGCACAACGCATCAAACAATCCGCCTTCCGTATGCTGCACTGCGCCGTCGGTGCAGCAATGTCGTTTACCTCGGTTATTTTTATATCAGCGCCGCGACGCCCGGCGGAGTCGTGCGACTGTGAAAACGAGAGCACTTCCTCTTCGCCTGCGGCCGCTCGTGACCAAAACAAACGCAAACAAACGAAAACAATCAACGCTTTAATTATAACCTGAACACACCTTTATAATACCTTCTCGTACAAACTAATCCCGTGTAATAAACACACAATTTGTCCAAGCAAAGCGACATCTAGATTAATTAATCTAATAGCGTGTGTTGTGGGTTATCATAGGCGGCCATTTTAGATGTGGATCATCAAACGCCATTGCCGCCATGTTATAAAACATTCACTTAGAAATGATTAATAAACAGTTGACGACATCTGCGAAAATAGGTTGAACATTCTTCGCATCGCATAATATAACGCATTGTTCATTAGAATGCAAGAAATCACTCACTCACTCACGCTTGTAATATGAAAGATTACGTAGGACGCTCATAAATATTTATTACTGACCGCATGCTTATTTTTTTTATAAATTACCTACGCTACCATTCATAATCTCTCGCGTCTCAACAAGTAAATATCACGCACGCACAATCCATTTAAGATCATTTCATCATTCGATTAAATTGAGAAAAACTGTCAATGGCGGCCACATCGCGAAAACAAACCTAAACGAACGCAAACCAAACAAACAGCAGTAGATAAAGTAAACTATGACGTCATCGCGTAAATCAACTTAGTTCCATGTCTCTACTCAATATTCAACAGGTATTTGCTGTTGAGTATTGAAAAAGATGTTCATTGGTCAAGTTGTCGTTAAAAAAGCGGTAATATTACGTAAAATACACAAATATTTACGCCTCGGGTGTACTTGTCGACTGCACACATTGCTTTTCCGTCTTTTTTACATTTATCACAATGTTATCAGCGCCAACAATCGCTTTTATTATCACTTAATACCTGTTAACACAACAACACCATTGAGGTATCAGTTTTTCGGTAATAACTCAAAAACTAAACAAAGTGCACACAAAATTCTTTCTTTAATTAATTCAGCTGTAAATTCTACGTGTAATATGTATAAATTAACTTTTAAGTATTTCTAGAAAAAAAGTTACAAGGAAAAAAACAAATTTATCAATAACTTTTGATTGAAAATAACTAAGAACATAAATTTTGCGTGGTTTGATGTAGAATTTATTACCGAATAATTTATTTAAAGAATTTTTGGTTTATCATGTTTATTTATTGAGTTATTAATAAATAACTGAATAAAAAAATTGTTTTTGAGTGTTTTACGACTGTAGATGTTATTTTTTAGTTAGTTTTTCATTGTAATCCATTAATATATCTTGATTATTCTTTATTTTAATGACTTACGATGAGGGTTGATGTGTTAATCAATGCGAGCGCACGCAGATGCTCGCAGCTCGCGGTTTCAATTACATACAATTACACGGTCGGTTTGTGTTAGTTACAATGCCAACATGCATAATAAAAAAATGTGTTAATATATGTGTGTGTTTATGAATTGAATGGGTTTTTGAGTGGAATGCAACCAGTGGGGGCGCCTACCGAATTCCGAAGAAGCTTGTTGATGTTGTTGGTCCCTGAATTCCACACGCGCACGGCTTCAACGTTTTCTGTGCAGCGCGCGTCGATTAAGTCGTTAAAATCGCGGAAATGCGCCGAACGCACATGTTCGGACTGCCCCACATTGATTCGTTTTGCTTCACTTCTTGTTAATTACACTCGTCGTTAATTAGTTGATGAACGACATTGCGAAATAGAAATTTAAGTGGTCGATGTTAGCGATGCGTTTTGGGCGCGTTGGCGCGGCATGTGTGACTTAAGCGGCTTGGCGAGACTCTCACGCGGCGCGCTCGCTCGCACGACTGTGACAACTGAAAACTGAATACCCGCTTTCGTGCTGAGTCTGCAACGCTGCTGAGTGTGCTGAGTGCGCGAGACGAACTTTCTCAGCGCGGCAGACGCGACAAAAGCAAACAACTGGATGCCGGCGCACCGGTTCAGTTGTTTCGATCGTTTATTTTTTGCCTCGGCGCTGACTTAAGGTAGGCAATACTTTAAACACCAACCTGACTTGGTTACTTATTATGAAATACCTGACATTGTAGACAACAATAAAACATATTTTAAATTATTTCGTACAAACCCTTGACAAATAAGTTTACTTCAAATAATTTCCGCTAAATTCAGTACAATCTTATTACTTGGTACTTTGGTGACTACTTTTTCTCTTCAAATACTGAACTCTCAATATCCTGGAGAATCCATTGATGGTCCACGATTTCGAGCGCTTCCCATTCGGCTTTGAAAGCTACTTTTGGGTCTGGAGGCATTGCCATGGCTGCTCCGGACATTTGATCCTGCATTTGCTTACTTTGATCAGCAGCTATTGAAATAAATTGAATATTTAACAAAAATCACTAAATATCGCATTGTAGTTATTAGTACCGTTGTTTTCTCCCAAGACTAGAGCGTAAATGCTTCGCAAACCGAAAACATTCAAAAAATACCATGATGCTGATGATACCCATGAAGCATCTAAGTGGGACAACTCAATACCACGTTGTAACATCGGTTTAAAACGAAGTGTTAATGGAAATGGCACTTTTGCTACAAAAAATAAGGTTTTTTGTTAGTTTTTGCAAGCAAAAATCAACCGAAAGTGGTAAATCGTTGTGTTTTGTGATCATACTTGTAATAAATCCAGAAAACATCCAATTAATCCATCCACCAATGATAAACATAGGAATTACATTTGTAATGTTGCCTTTCAACATCTCTGTCATCATATTAGGATCAGTCATCATGTTTGGAGTTGCATGCTCCCTTTTCTGTGTCAACATGCCAGTTTCCTGATTGTTGAAAAACTGTCGCCGCATTAAAAACGATGCCTTTGGAATGTACTTGGCATTCTCTCTCAACATTCTTGCTCGCAGAATGACTTGACTAATAAAATCAGATAAATTATTGATTAAAATAAACTTTTAATATTGAATAAACACATTATTTCATTGATAATATAATTAAATGCAACTTACCTATCTTGTAACTGTTGTAATTCAACCTTTTTCTGTGAGGATAACAGAATTGAAATGTAATGTCTAAAGATACCAACAAGAAAAGTTATGACTATAATAGGCAAAAACACCCAGCCGCGGATGTTGGGATCCACGACGAGGTCCGTCATCACGCCAGTATCCATCGTGGTATACTAAATGATGAGTTTAATTAATAATTTGTATTTCCTACGATTAAATCAGTGATTGAATGTAATGTGCATAGATGACAAGCAACGTAACCTCTATTTCTGTAGTGAGTTGTCAAAATCTGTCAAAACTTTTATCGAACCTCGTTAGCGCATAAATTTAAAAATATTGTATTCTTGAACTGTTCTCAAGTTTTTGTTTTATTTGGTAGTGTAGTTACTTTTTAAAAATTCAGAGTACAATAATTTTTACAAGACAACAGGTTTTAGTGTTTCCTCCAGAAAAAACTTGAATCAACCAAGTCGTCGAAAGACATCCGCTCGCATTCATTCCTTTTTAAATTTATCATCATCATCATTAAATTACTAAGTATCCATCAGTAAACCATGAACCACCGCCTCAATCCAAAGACAAGCTCTGTCCGGAATGATTCGCAAGACGCGAAACGTAAAAACCAATTCTTTGAATAAACCGAAATCAAATCAAGAAAATAATAAATGTGACTCGTGTGCAGGAGAAGATTCTAGTAACTAATAATAGTACAGTATGTACAAGTTAAGACGGCGCGCGCAATTAATTAAGTATTTCACACACTCGTTTTACTCCCTGCCTCGGGTGTCTAAAAACTCCCTAAATTCTTTGGATAATTTCCTAGTTATGTTAAAATATAAAAAAATAAATGTCTGCTTGTTTGTTTCATCGTCCGTCCGATCCGGGGGGGGGGCGTAGTCGTTTGTGCTCTGCTCTGCTCCACTTGGTCCGACGCCTAAACGTAATAATCATATACTGAGCTGATGAAATTAACTACTACCTGGGGGGTGGCGGGGGTAACCAAACGTCGTCGGAAACGAAAATCATCGATACACATATCTAGCGATTAAAATTAACACAGTAGGTACTCGTTTTGTTGCCTTTGGCACCGACCGCAAGCCGCGCAACGCTCCCTCATCCTTTGCCTACTTAAAAACTAGCAATCCACAGAGATGGCACACTCACAACGACCACAATTAGTATTATGTACAAATTGGCGCGCGCGCGTTCGCACGCGCTTAGCCCTGATCGCCAATAATCGTCTCCTCGGTCTTCACATCAGCGATGCCCATCGCCTTCGTCAGTACGGTGGCGTCTTTCAGTGACAGCACTTGCAGAACCTGCGTTTGACCATCGCCGGTGCTCTGCAGCATCATTGGCGTTAGTCCGCCTTGCGTTAACGTCACCGTTTCCATTTCACCGCTGTTCGGTTCGACTTTCGGTACTTGCACCACCGGTGTCATACACACCGTGCCGTCGCTGTTCGTATGCAGGTGCTGAATATTCGCCACCATCGTTTGGTACATCGATGCTGACACTGGTACCGTTATTACTCCACTCACTATTAAATAAAATTGAAAAATATAATAAATGAAATAAAATTGTATAAAATACTTACCATGACCGTCTTCACCAGTGAGAATAATCTGTCCTTCGGAGTTGAGCGTCGCTTCCGTCACCGAATTAAGATCCATCACCTCAGTCTGGCCACCGTCGGTGATGGCATGCAACGTTTCGCCTTGCGATTGAATAGTAGCCATACCTTGCACATGCGCCGTCGTTCCATCCGGCAGCGTAATAATCGGATTGTTGGGGTCCACTTGGACGATGCTCACCGTACCATCCGCATTCGTAATCGTATGCAGCACCGTCGGCGCATACTGTGTTGAAATCTAAACGACACAATCACATCAAAACCACAAGCCAACCGCTTTCAGCGCGAATAAATGAAGAAAGAAATAAAATAAACACTACAAAACCAAGCTAACAACTCATACTCTCATAAGCCAAATGAAACTCGTAAAAATTTCTCAACGAAAACAATGTTCTTAATAAAAACGTGACGACATCTAGTAATCAGTGACGTGCTACGAACATCGACATCGGAACTATATCCGGTGGGGTCGAGGCAGACCTGCGCCGAGGAGCCCGACAGGCAGTCGGGCGAGGCGGCAATGATCTGCGGCGAGCCGTTAGCTTGGATCTGTATCTTGTGCATGCCCGTCGAAGTGTGCATCTTGAGCACGGTACCGACATTTGCGTTCGCCGTCGCCGCCGCGTTCGCCTTCTCGTCCTCTTCGTTGAATGCGGGCAGGAGATCCTCGCGCCCGTGATACTTGTAGCAGTTGATGACGATCTGTCGTAAGGCATGCGTCCAGGAGATCTGAAACCCATCCTTCGTTACAAAAACCCATTAATATAATATAATACTCGGAATGTAGAAAGATAAATGTATGAGAAATGCAAAACACACCTTTTGTTTTTCATCTTCGCTGCGTGCGTCCATGCGGACGTTCGCCCAGGGTAACTCTTTCGGCCACCATAGCGGTCGTGTGGACTCCCGCCCCCATCCAGGTTTACCTCTACCCGTAGAGTATTTCAGCATGAGAGGGATGAAGGCCCGTAATTGGGCCTGGGTCATTTTCTCGACCGGTGTGGGTATACCGTCGATGATCAACGGTGGTAGTTCGAATAATGTGGGGTCGTCTTGGACCGGAGGCGGTGCTTGATGTGCTAACGCACTTTCTAGTTCTTCCATGATCATTGATTTGAGGTTCCGGATGACGTCTTCCAAGGGTTTCGCGCCGAAGACTTTGTAGCTTGTGTTGGGTTTACCTGGCGTGGCTACCAGGACAATAGCTTGTTGGCCAACGCGCGTTGCAAACTCGTCAATGGTCTGGCGGAGTTTTCGCAGGAGGCGGTTCTGCTGGCGTTTGCGGATCGACGGGTTGGTTTCGAACGAATGCGGGCGCTTGCGTTTCTTCGCCGAGACAATCGCCGCGGCCGCTGCGACGCCAACTGGACCTGCGGCTGCAAGCTGCGCGGTGACTTCGTCCTCCATTGCGGAGGTCATGAAATCCGTGCTGGCGTCGTACGTGGAGCCAGGCGACGACGGACAGTTGTCATCGTCGTCGTCCGACATATCGTCCGGATCTTGCACCACCATCGTGATTTGCTCCGCCTGGCTGCCGTTGGAGGTGTTCATCATCACCATTTATTTACACCCGGAATGCAGGGTAGCCTCCAGCTAAAAGAATGATACACATGTTACATTTTTAAAATCGATATGTACGGAATTTGATTTCGATAGTGGCTAGGGTGAATAAAATGTCGTCTTTTGTTTCGTTTGTTTGTACGATACAAACACGCGGCGCAGGCTGGCGATGGGGATGGCATCGCCGAGGAGCTGGTGGTGGCTCGACGGCGTGCTGCGCATGCATGTCGACGCGAGAACGAAAAAGCGCACGCGGCTGGCGAAATAATCGCGCGCGCCCGCCGAAAATTATTAGTACGGCTGCGTACGCACCTGCGTGTGTATGTTGTGCACAACACTCGTTGGTGGGTCGTCCGTCTGGGCGCCGATATTCACAGCGAGAACATTGCGTCGGCGGCGTCGTCGGACGCGCTCAGCGCACACAGATCACACGCGAGTTGCAGACGATGGTGGTGCGTCCACATCGCCGTTGGCATCGGCCGACATTTGTACGTCACATCGTCGGAATATCGATCGGCGAGCGCACCGCGCCGCGACGTAACATGTCGCCCGCCCGCCACCGCAGCGGGCTACACAGCCATATTTGTACGAGTCTGCGCAATTCCCGATCCGAGCGCGAGCGTATAACAAAAATTGTTTTGACGTACCTGGGCCGATAGCGGCGGCGACAGCAGCGGGATGCGAAGGCGACGATGGCGTGGCTGGGGACGCGAGCGTGCATCGGCGTTAGGGCTCTCCGAAAATGGACGCTATCGCCTATAACCTTAATCGCCTTTTGCATTCTACAGAAATCGTTTGGGCGGCGAACGCGGTCCACGGTTTGATTTCGCCACTCGCGCCCTCTGCCGGCAGCTCGAATCACCAACAATACAACCAAACGTCCTTGTATTTCTAGGCAACCCAACCAACACCCAGCACGTAATCGAATAAGAATCACAACATACGTCCACAAATCCAATTGGACTCGCACACTCAATCAAAAGACAGCGCAGTTTGATAAATATATCATTTAATTAATTTATAATTAATTAATTAAAACTATGCAATTCGTTTAAGATAAATATTTTGTAATGGTGGTAGGTCTAGTATATGTTATACATTCATAGTACAACAGACAACAAACATTTTGGTAGACTCTTTGAATCGATTTTTGATGATGTGGTTTCATTTTGTCACAATTTTATTTTTTTGTGCTTTTCTGATATATTTTTTGTAATATATGAACAATATGCCGATATCTGCGAATGCTACAAATGCATATCTCGTCTGGTTTTACCATTTTTATCATCTTGATTTCATTTTTTCGAATGGAATACATAGTAAACACTACATTTTGCCTATAATTAGTTTATATATGTTTAGTGTGAGTGTCTTATGTATGTGGTGTGTGTGTGTGTGATCGTGTAGGCGTGTGTCGCACGCGCACGCGCCCTAGCTGAAAAGTGCGCATGCGCGCGCGCGGAGTACAGTATTCATATGTATATCACTTACAATTAATTATTTGTTTTAATTGGAAGACTCAGTTTTTTTTTCTTTTCATTTATAGTGTTAATATTTAGTTATTCGTCTAAAGCTAGAGTGGCCGTATCAAACACGCTATAGGCTAGAAACATTCATTCTTCAAACCATTTGTTGTTGTATGTGCGCACGCGCTGATTGACTATAGAAAACAGCTTCGTTTCAATCAAAACATGTTACACACATGTGGTTTACATCTTACATTGTGTTTGGTTTTGATTTGACTTCGATTCACATTCGAGTTCCACTCACACACGACAATTAAACGATAGGCAACGCAAGAAACACATAACCACAAGATGGCAGCCACGCCGCCATCTTGCAGCGTTCATTTTCCAAGCAGAGACAAGTCGAGTACACAAAAACGAGACGCAAAGAGACGTGATATGATTACTATTGCTAAAACACCCTTTGTTGCTTTTTAATTTCATATTTTGCTCATCATCGTGATTAGTTTCTAAGATTTTATGTAGTTTTTGATATAGTATATGTACACGCGTGTGCTTCTCGCCGGTATATTGATATGACTGCGTTGAATCTCTTCAAATTGTGTTTTTTTTTCTTCTGTGGTTTAATGTCTACGAAAATGATGATTCAGTAATGCGTAACAAATGCGAGTCTCGGATTGCCACACAATCGGCGAGTTTGGCGTTCCCGTTCGGTTTGATAATTATACTCGTAATTATAATTATACATACGCATTGTTTCGGATTTCTCTGCGTTGCTTTGCTGTTTTCTACAAAGCTAAACGACCGCAAAACAACTGACTAGCGAGATGTACAAGCACGCCATTAGAGTTTTATACAAAAACCAAAGACATTTTTCATTTTGAAACAAATTTTGAAACTTTGAAAACTTCGAGCATTCAATATAAAACATCCAGCTTCCAATGTGCTCCATTCGTATTGTCATCAATTGAATTTACATCGTTCCAAAACCCTCCGCCATTTTTATACAATTTTACAAGTTCAACTTGGCTCGACTCTTTCTTTGTCTATTCGTTATTTTTCAAAGGTATATAAGCTACATTTAAATAGGTTTAACTAACATTATCTTCATTTCCCACGTTAGCTTACTATTAGCGTTTGGTTAGAGTTGATTCTTTACATGTCAAAATAGTCGTCCATTTTTATTGTCGCCCGGAAACAAACATTGCTCATCGTCTCGCCCCGTCGAGTAAAACGTTTAATCTGACTATCTTACTTTACTTACTTTTTACTTGCTTACATGTTTAGTATTTATTACGTGTGCTTCTTTTTATTTTTCATCTGCTATGCTTTGAAATTGCTCGTTCATTTTGTGTTTCTTTCAAAAATTTCCCTCGATCCACTCAGTCGAAAAAACGTCCACGGCCACGCCACAATATTTACATCATTTAGTTTACACCCAAAAAGTACATTTTTATCGTTTTATATAAATTATATAAAAAATTTAACTAGTTCTCCTCTCATATTATGATATGATGACCTTTACACGTTTTAAATGATACAACAATTTCATTTTACTTACTTTGCGTCAACAGATTTGTGTTTTGTGTGTGTTTTTAAGCTGCTTTCAGCGCTTGTTTTGTTTTTCTTTACTTGTGTTTAACTTCCAGTGGAAAATCACGACGCGGAGAACAATCGTTGACAAGCTAATGCGGTCGCCATTAGTAATATGGAGGTCGCCATCTTGTTGCCTGATCCACATATGTGTATCTCAATTTCCTACATTAAATAAAATAATATAGACGCATTTTGGTTATTGTAATGAATGATTAGTACCTCAGGATGATAATTGATACACTTGGGCGGCCTACGTCGATAGAAGCTGTCCTTTGGTTTGTGCAAACATGAGGCGCCATTGACACCATCGTATACGATCTCTTGCGGTTGAATACTCAACTGCTTGCTGCCACACGGGCAGAGTGTGTCGACCACAAGCAGGATGAGATTGCTATGCGGTACTTTCTGCACGCTGAAAGGCCGCTCACATCCTGTCACGTGACAATTGGTCAGCTTACCCTTGAGCGGATTGCTCTGCCCGCTTGTGTTTAGTCGCGACGGTTGTAAAATATACAGATCGGTCTTTTTGTCACAGCGGCGTACACCAAACTGGCCCATGTCAACACCATCCAAGGGATCTGACTCAATCGGAGGTGTTACAAACGTTGGAACATTGGGGAATGGACCCGCGATGGTATCTACATCTTCAGGTAGACCTTCTTCAGGATTATATTCATATGGATAATCTTCATAAGCGTCTGAAAAGATTTTTTTTTGCAAAAATAGTTTTACATTAGGTTATGTATTTAATAAGTTGCCTACCTTCTTGGGCGAAAGCAAAACCATAAGTAACCTTGACAAAAGCAGTCCAAATCGCAAAAATCTTTGCTGCCCAGCCAAAAAAGTACTGAAGTGGTATCCCCGGCTAGAAATATACACATTTTTTTAAATAAAAATTGAGGTTATGTATTAATAACTACCGTTAGTTTTGGTGCATCTCCTCCATAACTATTTTTGCTGTTTGTACACGCTCCTTGGTAATCATACACCGGTACTTTCTTATATATCTTATCCTGAACTAAAGAATCCATGATGGTACCATCAATCTGTCCGAAAAATCGTCCTGTATGCTCGGGATTCTCAGAAATGATAATAAAACCATTGTTATCGAGGATGTAACAGTCCAATTCATTACTGGCACATGTTTTCTTACAAGAAGAAGCTCCAGAACACTAGAATAACAATAAATCATAAGTTTTAAAGGAAAAATGAGGTTAAATTTGAGGTACCGCTGAAGTAATGTTCAAAAAATGCGAGGCAAGTATTGCATGTTGATATTGAAGTCCCACTACAGCCGTGGGTGCACGATGACCTTTATGTTCAACAAACACAGCATGCGTGGCGGTAACCAGAGTTTCAGTGCTGGTACCCACGTCAAAAGGTACCGAGTAGACAAAACTTTCCGGTTCGATGTAATACTGATCAACTGCACGTTTGTACCAGGTTTCATCCATGGCACGTACGTTATGTTCGCTAAAATGCCTAAAATACCATCAAATTATGCTAAAATCACGCGAGCAAAAATAAAACTATTTACGGTCCAGTGGGTTCCTTGGCCGGTTTATTCGATGGCTGATGGTCTACCCATCGAAGTAGTCCACTGCGTGTCGCCACGAATGACATGGTAAGTCCGAACATTCGAAAGCCGCGACTAGAAGCAAAAACAATTCAAGTCAATTTGGTTCCGTGGCTAATTTACGCACATCGTTGCGGGCAAGAGTGCTCCAAATTGCTGCATTGTATAAACGCTAAATAAAGGATAATTAAGAGCGTGTTCTAGTGCGGCGTCCATCAAAAGAAGAGTGGTCCGTCCGTCGGATATAAAGCTACGTCTGAAATAGTTGCCAGCTGGAGAAATTTTGGCATACTCACTGGGGCTCCGCAGCAGACACAAGATTAATTATAGGAAAAGTGCGTGTGCTGGCAACTCTTAGTTTAATTTAGCTTTCGCCTGCAATTCCGCAAAACACATTCACTAAACTAGCAGCAAGTTTCGGGCGGCGCGCGGCTGCGTGATTTTTATTAGAGTGCAATCATCATTACTTTACCTTTGCAATAAAACCAAAAGTGTTGCAATTGGGCTATAATTGTGCAGAGAATAATCGAGATGAAAATTAATAAATTACGTTCAACATTCATACACATTGTGGGCTAAACAATCATTAGAATAATCGGTGCCGGAGAGCGTGTTGATAACGACATCGAATACACAGGATGTTACCAAAGCGAGCGCAATGATGGAATTTGATTGAAACGTTTTGTTTTGCTTTTGGTTGCATCCTGTGTGGATTATGCGGGTGGTAATGACGCCGCATGGTGAAAACACGTGTGAGCGGCGGCGAGTAACGAGCGCCGCACATGCGATGGGGTCGCCAAAAAAGGACGAAAATCAATACGTACTGTTCGTCCTCGACGCTCGACGGATGTGAACTGTGGCGTACCACCTCTTCCGTCACCTTTGCGTCCAGTACCAGTGATTGAAGCAGCGTTTTATCACCTGTAAACAATAAAAAAACACAAATTTTGTTTATTTTTTTTACATAAATTACAATTTTTCACTTACAAAAGTAAGCATCTTTGTCTAATTTCGTAGAAACATGATGGTGTTCCCTTTGCGTCGGAGATCTGGGCCTCAGAGACATCCATTTCCATCCAGGGCGACGACTGCGAGACAAAAAGTGACGCACGCGATCCTCGGCGTTGCGGAATCGCTGCTCCCCTGATGATCCGCTGCTATACTCGCAATACACCCTGCACACACGCCGATAACAAGCAATTGTTTAAGCAAACAAGTCTTGACTGTACTCGGGTTGTTTAGGGACAACCAAATTGCGTTCTGAGGTCAGAGTCGGCGTCTGGGCGAAAGTCAAACACTCCCGACTGACCCTTAGACCTCACCGAGGAAACTTTAATGATCTCAAACGTATTCAACCGTCCCTAAATTTCCACCCAAGATTCCACCACACTCACCAATCCGGATGTACTTTCCAGTTGTCTCCCTTGAAATACTCCTCGACTGGCAAATCGCGGAAATAAAATGAGTTTATTTAACGATCGATTTGATTGGCAATTATTATTACCTTTCTGACTGAGTTTGATCTCCTGCTCGGCGACCAGTTCGTACATGCCGTAACCCTGTGGTAGGGCGATGCCCAGCGAGAACGGCGTGCCCTCGATGGGGTTGTAGAAGTAATTATAGCGCCTCGTGGTTACCCGCCGCTGCGCGTGCCGCATTAAAAACAAACCATTAAATTGTCTGCGCGTGTTTTTACCCTCGTAACATTGTATTAGTGTGTGGGTGTAAGTGTGGCTGTGTCGTAAGGGTGCGTCGTGGCGGAGGTGTAAGTAAGTTAGTGCGGCCGCCTTCTGCGTGTATCGATTTTCGGCAAATGTCATTGCACTTATGCTTACTTATGCTTACCATATTATCATAATGTACTTTGACGCCGAACTCCGTCTCGCCTGGCTTCTGATCGATCATGTCGTGTCGCAACTGTAGGGAGAAAGCAAGGAAAAATTATCGCCTTTTCTATTCAAAATTGTACATATGTAGCGACTTTATGACGTTTTTGTGGCTTTTTTAAACAATTCAAGTATAATATCTTATTAAGCATTAAATTATCTATCTAATGAGATATTCTCCAATATTTTGGGACTTCAGAATCGTAAGTTATGATGATTCAAAGTCTGGTAACACTTTCAAAATTGAATAGAAATTTGACATTTACTCTTTTTATTACTACTAAAAAACGGTTTAATATATTTAATTGATATTCACGTATTTTATAACAAATTAAATTCTCTTTCCAATGACATATTTCCCAATATTTTCGGACTTCTGAATCTTAAGTTGTGATGATTCAAAATTTGATAACACATTTAAACTAGAATGCAAATTTGCCACTTACTCTTTTCATCACTACTAAAAAACCTCTAAATATTTTTTATTGAAATTTACGTATTTTATACTCAAATAAATTCCCTTTCCAATGATATAGCACTCAATATTTTAGGACTTCAAATTTTTAAGTTATGATGATTCAAAGTTTGGTAACTCTTTCAAACTTAAAGGCAAATTTGATATTTACTCTTTTTATCACTACAAAAAAACCTCTAAATATATTTGATTGAAATTCACATATTTTATACTCTATTAAATTCCATTTCCAATGACATATTCCCCAATATTCTACGACTTCAAAGTCCTGAGTTTTACTGCTCTAAACTTTGCAAACTTTTTTCGGCAAAATAGTAAAATATTGTGACTTACATCCAGAAGAGCAGAGTGATTCTCCCTGGGCCGTTCGTGCTCGGTCTCGATGAGCTCCAGCTCGGTGAGATCGACGGAACAATACGCCGGCTCCAAGGTGTCCTCGTATTGTTCGTTATTGTGCTGCAAGGACATCCACACAGAGACATTAAAACCCGCGCGAATCTAATCAAAGCCGGCGTTTCAACTCACCAGCGGCCGCAGATCCGGATGGTACAAAGCGTGCCCGTTGTTGTTCACGATGAATGAGTATCCATTAGCGCCGAGCTGCGCGTGAAACAATGCATATTAACAAACCACGCGCATACTACTGACGTCATCAACTATTAACCGAATTATTTTGATACGTACCTTGTACGGGGGCACGAGTTTCTTGATCTCGTCGATGGAAACATCGGTGCCTACAACGCCCAAAACGTTTGCAACACGCACCTGTAAATTTAAAACAAAATAGGTTATAAATTAGGTTAAGTTGGATGAGTATGACATACCGTGTGATTCCGTCTGTCAAAAACGGGAGTGGTAACTGATGTCATCAACTGACCTCGTCTGTCATCTCCAAATGTATCAGCCTGAGTTAAAAAATGGGTTTAAAAGGGTTTTTAAAGTGATTTTGAGGTTATTTTGCACTTACATTACCACCCACATAAACGTGCGACCATTGTATGGGATGATCGTTCTGGTACATGACGATGGGCCGTGCCATCACCTCAATATACTTCAGAACCATCTCCATTGCTTCCGTCTCGGTACTAATGCGAGTGTAATACCCTGTAAGAAGTGTAATGTGCGGTATGCAGTTGCAGAATATTTGAGAATGCAAACCCTACCTTTATTCTCGCATGCCATCCAGTGCATCTCCTCCTGCCCACCGGAATCCTTACCCGCGAGGAAACTGAATAACCGCACAGGGCGATGCGGCCAGTTGTACATCTTAAAAATGTCCTTGTAATTCGCTGGAGGGCCATCGGTGATCAACATAATAGCCTGGTTACATTGGCAGCCATTTCCGGTTCGGTTATACTAATATAACAAAGGAAACAAAACCGGAAGTTGTAATAATATAACCTAATAATATTATTACTTACTTTGTGTAGAATTTCAAAACCCGTCACCAAAGCGGAAGTGAAATTTGCGATGTTTTCCGGTCTGAGGCCACTCATCGAATCCTTCAGTAATTGTTTATTCTCATCGTTTGCTTGCACCAGTCTATCTTTGAAACATGTGACAGTTTCCTCGGTGCCGTCGGAAAACTTGTACACGTTGACGAAGTCATTATCGGAGAGCGTGTTCAAAATGGCTTCTACCGTAGCCCTGGCTAAGGATGCTCGCTTACCACCCATGGATCCAGAATTATCAACGAGGATAACAATATCTTTAGGCGAGGTTGTTGCTGAGACGTACCACTGTGACGTACGGAAGTCATAAACATTCCTCGCACTCCTCGGACGTTGCCATTGAGAATTAGGATCTTCCGGTGGCCAGGCCATACCTTTAATCAATGATATCAGTGTAATCTACAACATTACAACTTAACTAGAGTGTAAACCTGGATATCTTCGTAGGAATCCGCTGGAACTGCCAAAGAATTGCCAGGAGAGCGATGGATCACTCTCGTAGTTGTTGACGAAGAGCGGGTCCAAATGCTCGGACCATTGCACGGCGTTCATTACTTCCGGGTCTGCGGCGTGGAAAGAAACGTGGTTGGATTTAATGGAGCGTGACATGAGTGCAATTTAAGACCGGCGTGTGAGCGTGTGTGTGTAATTTTATCGGATTTTTCCGTCCGTACCCTTTTCGGCGACGTGTGGGGGAAGCAACACGCTGCTGAGGGACGTGTTGACCGGAAGATGCTCAAAGTGCGGATTGGGATGCAGGAGCATCTCTCTCGTACCCTCGGTTGGTCTACCGTCCGCGCCGAAAGCGTTCAACTTTTCCGCGTTGTAATATCGAAATGGTTGGCCGTTGTCACTCTGTGGGGTTAACGCTGCTTGTTCTGCACTATCCATAATTCGCTATGAATTGAACATAAATAAAAATTTATTATTTTACTTTTTTGTTGATAACTTAAAAACGGCTCAATGGATTTACTTGAAATAAAAAGTATTTTACTCCCAATTAAATTATCTATCCAGGGAGATATCTCCCGATATTTTGGGAGTAAAAATCAAGGAGATATCATGCTTGAAACATGATTAATACCCAAATTTAAAAATTTAAAATTTATTATTTTACTTTTTTGTTGATAACTTAAAAACGGCTCAATGAATTTACTTGAAATAAAAAGTATTTTACTCTCAATTAAATTATCTTTCCAGGGAGACATCTCCCGATATTTTGGGAATAAAATTCAAGGAGATATCAAGCTTGAAACTTGAGTAATACCCAAAAAACTAAAATTTATGTAAAATTTCCTCCTTTGGCGTGACCTACCATAACAGCACTCATTTTAAAATCCATCATGTTCTTAACCTCGGCAGCCATCTCCTTGATGATCTTCAACCCATCCTTCCTGATGACACTCTTCTCAACATCGTGATATTTCTACCGGAAGAGCAGAGATAGTTTGCGTTAGTTGACTCCGAGAGTGATCTTGGCATTTCCTTACCCTTTGCAGCTCCTTCATCCGCGTCTGCCGCCGGCCGTACTCCCAAAGGTCGACGCCGAACTTGAGCGCCCAATTCTTGACCCTACGAGCACACATACACACCGAATCATGTCAGGAACTCAAAGCTCGAAACGTGACCTCAATACATGCGCCAGTAATTGTTTCATCGTTAGCCGTTTAATTGGACGAGCAATTTACACGCCGCAATTAAGACTTAAACCGTTACAACGTACTTAAGTACTCATTGAATGCGCCAAGTGATGAAATAAAAAGTTGAGAGGTGTTCAATCGTTCGGGTGATCCAATTGAAAGTTAAAACTTTTCGGCGTCGTCGCGGTGTGTGAAAGTTAAGTTTTATTGAACAATATCGAGCCGTAAAATCGCACGCCGCCGGCAACATCTGCCACGCGCGATTAAACCAATTATAACTTTTCGCACACGCCACACATTTTCCCCTTTTTATCACAGGGAAAACTTTTTTTCTTCATATAATTCATATTATACAACTGCAGCTGGAAATCTCTAGTGAATAATGAATAATAACTACTTAATGAATGTGGCTTGTCATTATTGCAATTAAAAAGTGTTGTAAAAGCATTGTCCGCCCTTTCACCCGCCCCCACTGCCCCCGAAAAATAAGAAGTGAGGGCGAAAATTTAATTTTAATAATCATCGTATGATAAAAGTGGTGGCGAGACTATAGATTACGACATGCGGAGAGGAGCGGGCGACGAAGGCAAGAATGGTCTACTGGCGGCTCGGCGGCGGCAAGGGCAGCGGAGTAGGGGTGGATCAATACCACCCTACCTCTGGTTAAAGCGGGCGTTTTGTACACACGAGCGAAAGAGACGTGCAGAGAGGCGTCTTACGCTGAATGCCGCCGCCGCCGCTACCGCCGCCGCCGTACGCCCTGACCCTGTGTGCGCGCCAACGCCGCTGAAGGACGCGCAGCCCTGTCCTATCCAAGGATAAGCGCGCTTTTAATTAGATGCCAACTTCCGTGCTCAGCTCAATGCGAGTTTACAAATAAAATTAATAAAAATTATCACGCCGTTAGTTCACAGGGGGGTGGCGATGTGGCGTTCATTGAATTGCTCCCTTGAGTAACCGAGAAAAAAAGCAGCGCGCGACGTGACTGCCATGTTAATGCGGCGTTTTCAACGCTCGAGGGTGGCGTTGCAGGTATGGGGGTGGTTGGAAAGAGGCCATTGGGTCACGTGTCCTCGACTGCCGCCGCCACTGTATTAATAACCCATTAAAACGCATTTCGCCACCCGCGGCGTGAATTTGTTGCATTGCACTCACTCGTTATGTGGAATATCCTCGTCCTGTTCGGGCGACGCCGCCGGCAGGTACGCCACCAGGACGACCAACGCCGCAATCGCCACCAGTCCAGTCTTCATATCCTTTTGCTATCTCTGGTTATCCTTTGCACACGCACGCACACACCTCACAACCCACACAGCGTTTTTCTTTCCTTTTTTTTTCTTTGCCTACTTCTTCAGCACTTGGTTATCGTTATCCTTGTGATGCTTGCCCGGCGCACTCCCGCGGATTGTTAAGCACATCCTCGAAGGACACCCCGCACTCTGGACCCTCTGGACGCTGTGGACGCACTCAGCACTCATCTTCGCGGGTCGCGCGCATGATTTGGATGGTTTTACGCTCGCATCCTGCGATCCTGCGGGCGCCGGTTGTGGCGTGCGTACGTGTACACACCCCGAGGAAGGGAGACGGGCGAATCTGAAGCGCGCGCCGCCGGCCGCCGTGTTCGACACCAGCGTGGCACTACGCATGCGTGTACACCGCCGCCGGATGATCGCCCAGACGTGCAGTCGTCCTGCGGGGATAAACCAGCGTATGCACTTTACGCTTGGTCCTTTCCTTTCGTATCCTTAGATTATTTTACGCACAGAGCCATCTGTGAAAGGAAAAACAATTTTTGAATATTACCTAATCATTTACATTCATCTGCGTACGCTAATCATCTAACTTATAAATTAGCCTTCGTTATTTATTTATAAATATTAATTTATTACTATTTTTGAGTAATAAATATGATTGGGAATAAATATTGTAATAAATGTTAACAAATGCATCGTTTAAACGCATGTGGATGTTTTTCCCGTTTACTACATCCTTGTACGCAGTAGTACGCTATTGGCGGCGGCGGCGGCGGCGGCGTGCGCGTAATATTGATCTTCCGATCCGTATATTATATTATAACGTAACTGGCAGTGTGCGGAGGCAAAGCGTAGTATTGAAACTGCAGCGCACACGTCGCATGCACGCGCGCGCCGCCGCCGCCACTGCCGCCTCTTCGCAGATACTCCATTATCTCAAGAACTACACGCGATGAGGGGCCGGGGTCACGCCGGACGGGGCGCAAACGGCGCATTTGTCATTATCACCCGTCCGCCCGCAGCCGTTCGCCGCCGCCGCCTGATTGAATCTTCCTGCCGCCCAAATTTGTCTACATTTATGTCATGTCTGAGTTATTTAACTGTTGCCAGATATTACTAATTATGAAATTACAAGCAATTTAATGGCACTTACACAGAATTTACAATTGTTTTATTAATAATTAAGTTATTTTTAAGTAAAAATTAAGTTTTTATTAAGTTATTATTTAAAATCACACAAGAAAAAGTAAAAGAAAAGTGAAATTTTGCTTACAGCGACACTCTATGAATTATGATCAGTATTGCTGGGATAAACGTAGACATAAATAATATTCAAACTTTAACTTATTGAATTAACTGACAACGAAAGTTGTTTCACTGCTTTTGGAAGCTGTAGGCTTAGCTTCTGCTTAGAAAACAAAATAAAAACCTTGAAAAATATTGAGAAGAATATCATAATTCTTTCCAGTGCGTACAAAAATTGTAGCATGTCACAAAAAGCAAGTTTGTTAATATTTTTAAAGAAAAAAAAAATGCCGGCACGAGCAGCAATAACACAAGTTTTGATTGTTTGACATTTCATATGGTCTTGTGCTGCACCGTAAACATATGCGCAGGCGCAAGCTCCACCCTGTGACTAAAGTCCGTGACTAAAGTACTTTAGCTACAGTCTTGGCCGACCGTGTTTAAAGTACCACTTTCTGTGTCTCAAAACTTTGGAAAAAGACGCGGGTAGTTCTTGGACGGAAATCTTTCCTCCAGGCTACTATCCCCGGGCCTTGCCCCTCTCTCCATTTCTACAAATTATATCTCTATCAGTTTTTGATTAGTATGTATCAAATGTTCGAGACATTTATTGACTTTAATAACCTGATCTTCTTTCGCGCAACTCAGACCTCCATAAAGAATACATGCAATCCCATTCAAGAGTCTTTAGGCAAGTTGCTTAGTATGACCGCTATAAGCTTCAATAGTAGATTGGTAACTGAGTAGCGTACTGAGTACCTATAGCTACCTGTGTGATCACCAGGTATGTGTTGGTGTGTTTGTGGAAAGCTACACCGTTACCACCACTTGCGCGGTCTCTGGTGCGCCATGGTTTGGTGAACGTCGAAGCGGAGGGCCATCGCACCTCTTCGTCAGTGCGCACCGAGAGACGGCGTCGACAAAACCGACGGCGGAAAACGCAGCACGCATCGGTAACTGCGCCAACGCCGGAATTCCTCCGCATTCAGTGAGCGTAAACAGTGCACAAGTGCAACAAATACATCACAACCATCACAAGGAAATCGGGAAATAAACATTATAATAAACAATAAAATTACAAAGACAATAAAAACATTATAAACTTGTGTGGATTGAATTGAATTGCAACACTTGGATTACGACTTTTTAAACAATTTGGAGCACACACGAAATAACATTTTGTATATAAGGTAATAAAAATGCAAATATTTAAAATGTAATAATTAGCTATTCGTGAAATTGGCTGCTTTTATTTTTGACAAAACAAAGTAAATACTTCTTTGCGGACATGCCTACTTCCTCGTTAGTTGTACAGCCATCAGACGATATAATTACCGCTCGCAGACTGGCGCGGAACTGGAGAGGAAGCGAAGGAAATGGCACGCCACACACGCACTTGCTGCTCGCCGGCGCAAATTGATATCGAATAATAAATCGGGGTCAGTACATACGCGAAGAAGAGAAATTAACGATGAGCAAGACCTCCAAGAAGGCGCAGCGCAACCTACAAGCCAATAAGTGTACAAAAATCAACATTTCTCATCATTCCAATGCCTAGGCAATAAAATAAAACCTTTGCACTTTAGCATTGACGTTGATCAAAATCAATTCAATGTCACGATACAAAAATAGCTTGTATTATTTATTCAAATTTCAAGTTGTAACTTTTAACAAACGAAAGTTGTTTTGGTAGCCTTAAGAAGCTGAGAGGTTTTTTTTTACACGATCATCAGCTTAACTTAACTTAAGTCTAACTCGAAAGAGAAGACTGAATTGAAAAGCGCTGTCGTTAATCGCCGCTACTTTACCAGTTATAGCAAAACCAGTGAGAAGTGAGAGTTTTGACCGGACGCTAATGCCATATTCTTCGCGGGTTTTGTTTCGTGATGCGAAAAAAAAATCAGTGAATGAATACTGGCTGCCACTTCCGAGCGGCGAAACAATGGCACACAATAGAACACACTCACAAGGGGCGTTTTAAACTTTTAGATGTTCAGCATGTGTGTTGATATACGTACAATGTACGAGTATTTATGAAGAATACCGAAAGAAACAAAAGCGATTGCAAAATAACATTTCAACATCGATTTATTAAACGCAATAATATTATTTAAAGCGTCAATAAACTATTGTATTCCTTATATTCTACTCGTATTTGAATTCAAGTTCAAGTACCTAATAATCAAATGATTCGCTTGAAATTAGAGTATCCACTACCGAGTGCTAAACGGTAAAGTTGTGTAAGTAAAGAAAACCACAAATCAAATTAGCCGATGAAGTGCGCAAGCAGCACAACGTAACGTCGAAGACGAGTTCAAAGAGTTTCTTGACGCGCGCACGTTTTTCTCTAATAATAAACGCAAATTAAACACAGTTACGCCGCTGATATGCAAAAAAAAGAACACATAGAGCTATTGTATGAGTAGCGAACGGTTTGCGGTCGAAACTGATGTTTCCTGCCATGATACAAACCACATGACGAACGCTAACCAGCTTGTTTATCACCTCATCTCGCTTATTTACAATTTGGATCAGCTTATTAACTTCTAACGTACACATATAATATTTTCACCTTCGGCACTTGCTTTTTTCTTTAGTTCTTAACCATATCTAGGTATCCATGTATAGACAGACCCCGATCAGTCTATAATTGGCGACATGAAGGCTGACCACTATCCGATGTTTACGTAGGAATGCAATACGCGGCTACCAAAATGGATCGGTATGTAATTCGAAATAAAAAACACATTCAACGCCATAAGTGTATGATGTTTGTTACAAAACGCACTTTGCGTGTAATTACGGCGTAGTTGCGCACTGGTTAGTTATATAAAAATTATTTAAAAAGTTATTAAACTTCGTAGAGAGTACGGAAACGAATTTTTGGTCAGTCGGTTATTACATCGACTTACGACTTGGAATACTTTACGTAGTGGTCAGTTCTTTTTTGCTTTGGTTGATGATCAAGTCGAGCGAGTGCAATTTAAAATATTTGACGTGTAACGTGTCGACATGCTCTAGCTGCGCGCACAATAATTCCCGGAATGATTACTAATATTAGTTTAAAAATTATTATTCCCCTAGGAGATGCTTTTTAGTGAAATAACTTTTGTCAAAGTTGACGCAAATAGTAAATAGCTAGTTTCGGTGAATGTAGACTTGTAGAGCGTTCCGTAAATAATTTCATTGAAACTCTTGCCTGTCACACATTCACGCCCGTCACATGCGTGCGCGATAATTTCTCATTTCACTTCAGCCGCTTAAGCGTGCGCCATGCCCACAGAGAAGAAAGAATCTCATATCTGAAATTCAATTGAAATGTTTATACTTTCACTGGACGAATGTGAGAGACGTTTAGCTGAGCGGGCCCTCGGTGTGTGGTTAGTTATTTTTCTTAGCGTCTTGGTATTATTTTAGCATTGTTTCCCTACTTTCATTGCGCGAAAGAGCATGTGAAAATGTCTCAATGCATGGGAAACTATCGCAAACAATCATTCAGCGATGTTTAAAAACGAACTGTGAAGAAAGAATCATCCGCAGCCACACAGCGCGCAGCGAATAGAAACTTTTGATGATGAAAAACAGCGCGAATTAAATTACAGCTTGATGAGATTGCAACGAGACCATGTTTGTATTGTATTCTCTTTCATACAGATCGTTAGCAATACAAAACACAGCGCATATGGGTTCAAAACGTCCTTGAATACAAATAGATTTTTTAGTGAGACTAAAATTACTAATTTTTGCAAAGTACTACGCAGATGAATTAAAAATACATTAAAATGTTATTTATGCAAAGCTCTTTTTCTCTAGTAGGTAATTTCATAGTTTTATGTACTCGAAACGATGTGTCAATGACGATGTTAATGATCGTTTAAACAGTTTCGGTGAAAGTCCATCCCTACGGATGGAACTTTCTTTCGCGTTGCAGTTATCGACAGACGAACCAAAATGATCAATGAAACGCGCACACATTTAATTTTGTTTTTTCTCAACTCCAAAACAGTTCCTGCCGCTGGAGTTGTAGACAGAGAGAATTTCACCGCTCGCGGCTAACAGTATCCAGCACTTTGGTTTGCGGCAGCAACTAATTGCTCAAACACACTCGGCGCACACACACACACACACAACGCAGCGTGAGTGCGTCGAATTTTATTCAAAGAAATTCCTCTGGATGCGTTTATCTTACAACAGATGTACAAAGTGCACACCAGACGTGCAATTTAGCATTCCGACATTCTTTGCCAATCTCCGCTTCAATCGCGATATGAATTGTTTCTGTGCGCATGCGCTTCTTCTTCCTGGCTTCCTAGCAGGTCTCTTGCCGTTCAACTTCGTAACTGTAAAGTATGCGCGATTTACATGCATACGTTTTACGGCTATCAGAGCATAACTGGACGTATAATTTTAATAAGCAACGTAATTTGTGAACGTTCAATGTTATTTAATGTAACATTTCACTAATAATCATAGGTGGCGTTGTTGCCAGGTTTATATAACCTCAATTCAAGTCTATTTTAATTTGCTTGCAGTTAAAACATGAATAGCGCCCGTATATTAGTCAAAAAGAATGGGAAATAGTCAACCCGCAGGACACGCGATTCCTACCGCCCAACGAGGTGTACCCGCTTTGCATCATCATCTACACGAAGAAGATCAGTGGACAACAGCGTATGCACGGTCGCCTACGTTGATCCCACCTCCATCTTATCAACATAAATTAGTTGTGCCTGATCCTAATGCCCACCAACGATTACGACCTACCGGAAATGGAGAGATCCTACAGGCGGGAGGTACCATTTCCGGGCGAAGGCAGGAATGGCAGGGTGTTTCCAGATCCAGTAGTATCCCCGCAGTCCGTCAGAGACACCAGCAACAATTGCAACAACAACAATATCACCAGCCGCATCAGAGGCAGGAGTTTCAGCAGTTTAGAGAGCGGTCCGGAGGCGGAAGTGCGCACAAAACGCGGATACCGCATCGACACAATCAACCTAGAGTTCTTACGCCCTCCTATCGAAAGGACCAGGTATAGGAGAGCCAAAACCTTAAGTAATTTAAAAATTAAATAATATTTATGTCTAATAGATGAAAAGGTTTGGGTCGGAGCCTGATTTAAGGGTTCCTTCATCAACGGGGAGTCACACCAGTCAAGAGTATCAAGGGTATCGCGGTAGGAAGAAATACAAAGCACCTCAGCCCCTCTAACGTCATTATCTTCGGTAAAAAGTTAACTAAATTTATTTTCCATATACATTTTAACTTTTATCTAATTTAGGTGGAGAAGAATGATTTTGAAGAGTGCGCTTTGGATGCCGGTTCGCCAATTCGCCGCGCACGGCTGTTTAAAACCCGTGCCGAAACAAAGAAGAAAATTTCTAGTCCTGTAAATAATCGTAGATCACTAGCGGCGCCTGATTTTAGCGCGTTAAACAAACAACAAAAAAGATATAAATCATCAGATGCACTTTTCGAAACAGCTAAGAACGAAAATCTGCAGAAAATTGAAGAAAACAGTCCAAAGACTGTTAATAGTCGACCTCCAATGCCCCAAATGCAAAGGACGAGAAGCTCGCCAGAATTTCAAGCTGAGCTCAAGCAAGTCACGAGAAAGTTGGTCAGTTTAAAACGAGAAACAGAATTACAGAAAACTATAAATACAGACAATAAACTAAAAACATTAGATCACAATATCAATAGAAAAGATATCATTCGTAGTAAATTGAAAGAGTTAAAGGAAACTAAAGAAATTATGAGTATAGAAGAAAGGTCACCTGCTTCCGGAAAAGAGTCAACCCCGGAAATGTCCCCGCCAAAAGTAAAAACTTTCTATTTCGGAATGGATGGTGATAACAAAATCCCCAATTCGATTGGGTCTGACATGACCAGTGAATCAGACACGGAAACTTCCGGGCATGATATCTCCCTTCAATTGAGACCCATTCTACCCAAGAAACAATTAGAGATTCCGAGGTTTTCGCCGTCGGCGGCTTGGAAACTACTTTCGGTTGACACTGCCATAGATAGCACGCTTGCTAGTGAAGAGGGTTCAGTGTATCTTGAAGACCGCATTGAGAAACAACCCCGCCAGCCGCCACCATTCCGACCTATTAACCCTGCAGCGGTGCGCGTACCTTCCACTCATGACAAATCAGGCGATTCTGGAATTTCCGGTGATGAAACACCGGATGCGCCAGCACCTGCACCAGTCAGTCCTAAACAACGAGGTATGTCCTGGACACCACAACAAGACCTAGGGGATGATTCTAGTCTGGACGGATCCAATGTGGATCTAGATGTCAAATTCCCCACAAGACCACATGTCTTTAGCTTATCCCTACCTAGAGATAATCATCTCGCATCATACATTACTGGTGAAAAGAATTATCCACCGCAGGTTTCGTATACAAGCTTACAAAAGTTAAAACGTTCTGTGTCGGGGTTCTTGCGACGCTAGGAAAACCTGAAGATGACCTAGGAGAAGATACAGGTGAAAATTGGTTTCTTAGTAGATCAGCTCCAAATTCACTGAATAATGGGTTTAATTCATTGGAGACTCGTCGGCAGTATAAGGATGATTATGATGGTCCTAAACAAACGAGGAGAATTATGTATCTACCACAATCCACTCCCACAACTCCCGATAGTGTTCCCAAACCTAAAGTTCTTTCAAAATCCTATGAGAACATCTCCACTTTATCGTCAATGGCGACGGAGAAACCCAAACCACAAGACCTTCAAGATCCACCCAAAGAAGAAGTCAGGAAGTGGACTAAGAAACCGAAAAAGTTTACATTCCAAAGTACAGTCAGACAAATCGAACGTAAACGACTTGCTGATAGGTTATCCAAGGAAGCAGAACGAAAAGAACAACAACGACTTAGAGAATTAGAAGCTATGCAAAGAGTAGAAGAAGAGTTTCAAAAGAAGAGAGCTAGAGAGAAGGCAAGCATTCGCCAACAGTTAAGATTATACAGCATGGATGAAACTGCGTGGTCCAGTTTACCACCAAATTTAGAAATAAATCATGAGGTACCAATCATTTACCAAAACATTTTACGGTTAAAGTGATAATGTAAATATTTTCAGGTGAGACCCGAACCAGATGGAGCCGTCTCATCATCGACATCTTCCCCTACCTTCAAAAAGAACTCTGATATCGAACGTGAACGCGAAAATAAATCGCCTGGAACGCAGGGAACACAAGTACTGTCAGAGTTTCGGCAGTCACATCGAGAATATAAAGAGTTCCGAAGTGGTGGTCGATATCTCGGTGAACACGCCGCCATGGTGCATCCGCGCATTACCTGCAACATGCCCAAGGCCACTGGTTAGTCAAATAGTTATCTGTAGAAAAGTATAGCGATCGTAGTGTTCGAAACCAATTGGTGTAAGTGCCTGCCTTAAAGTTGAGTAGGGTCGGAAATAAAAAGCTGTTTTATTACTTTACAGATGTGTACACTTCAGATTATACCAGAAATTATCGAAAAGATTTTGCGATGGGGCTGCGATCAATGGATTCCAACGAAATTTCCGACGCTTTAATGTGCTGATCATATACAATCTAATAAAGTTTCAAATATTTACTTAATAAATTATATTACTTAAATTTACTCGTTTTGTGCAAATATTTAGTTAGCATGAGATAAAGTTAACAAACTGAGATATATCATTTCCTGATTCCTATTCGTATGGACCGAAACATTAATATACTAAATATTTGTGATGAAAATTCACACAGTTGCATTCGGTTCACGATGGTGCACCTTACTAGAAGAGACATTGTTTTTTATTTAACATTGCTGGTCCTAGTACAATTGTCCTCTGGTCAGACGACTCCCAAACCGGCTTTTGCTGATCATTTGTTGCGCGAAGGAAATCGAGTAGCTTACGGTGAATGGCTATTAGGCAAAGACCAGCCTCGCCACGAAGTTGAATATCAAGGATATGATGGATGGTACAACAATCTCGCTCGTCCAGACTCGGGAGCTATTGACAGACCTCTTCTACGAAGAAGTCCAGCGGCATATGCCGATGGAACCTACGCCCCTGCAGGTGGCAATCGTCCAAACCCTTTCGACCTTAGTGACCAGTTACTGAACGGAACTATTGGCTCCAAATCAAACACAGGTAAAACTGCGTTTCTGGTATTCTTTGGTCAACAGATTGTCGAAGAGATTCTGGATGCACAACGACCAGCATGCCCACCTGAATATTTCAACATACCTATACCCGAAGAGCACCATTATAGGACACAACATTCACATACACAAATGCCGTTGCTACGAACTAGATTTGATCACCGTACTGGGCATTCCCCAAATAATCCAAGACAACAGGTAGGTATTAATTTAAAAATACATAAAATATTGATTTTGTGTGTTTAAAAACATCTAGTTGAATGAAATTACTCCATACTTGGATGGTGGATTGATGTATGGTATCACTAAACAGTGGGCTGATCAATTGAGGACCTACGCTAATGGAACAATAGATCCGAATGGTAAATTAGCGTCCTCTCACGGTGGTCTTTTCCCAGAGTATAATACCCATCGTCTTCCCATGGCTAACCCGCCTCCACCGTTCCACCATGCTGAGTTCATCGAGAAACACGAAACTTTGCCAGTTTCAAGATTTTTCAGTAAGTTATCATCAAATCAGTTTTAAAAACGTAATATTTACACAAAATGTAGAATTAGGAAACCCACGCGGCAATGAAAATACCTTTCTGCTTACCTTTGGGGTGTTATGGTTCCGCTGGCATAACTTTCTTGCTGAACAAATCAAACGCGCACAACCAGAATTATCAAGCGAAGCAATTTTTAACGAGGCACGCAAATGGGTTATAGCCACACAACAACATATCGTCATTGATGAATGGTTGCCTGCGTGGCTCAGTAAACCTCTCGAAAAATACAAAAACTACGATGCCAGCATTGACCCCCAGATAGATCAGTACTTTCAGACCGCTGCATTTCGTTTTGGACACACTTTAGTGCCGCCTGGTGTTTATGTACGCGATTACAACCGAAACAATTGTAGCTTTAGTGCAAAGAGCTTTCTGGGTACCAATGCAGTTCGAACTTGTAATGCTTTCTGGAGACCCCAAGACGCCCTCACTGCCAAGGTCAATAAAAACGAGCTAGTTGATATCGATCGGCTTCTAATGGGAATGGCAAGCCAACTGTGCGAAAAAGAAGATCACGAAATAGTCGAGGACCTTCGCGGTAATGTTTTTGGTCCTCTGGAGTTTCCCCGCAGAGATTTAATGGCGGTTAATGTACAGCGAGGTCGTGATCATGGTTTGCCAGATTTCAATACAGCACGGCGTGCTTATGGTCTAAAACCCTACACATCTTTCGATGATTTTAAAATTATAACTCCAGAAGTATTTTGATCTTTTTATACACATAAGCTTTTTATTTAATTAAGTATTTTGAAGATAAAAGAAAGACTTAAAGACCTATACAAGAATGACATTGATAACATTGATACTTGGATTGGCGGTATCTTGGAAACCACAGCAACAGGTCCTGGGGAATTGTTTGAAACAATTATTTTGGACCAATTTCGACGTATTAGAGACGCTGATCGTTTCTGGTACGAGAATTTAGAAAATGGGTACTATTATATGTTTAACCCTTTTAATTTTATAATTTACGTCATTATTTTTAGACTTTTTACCGCAGAAGAAGTGAAACGCATTAAAGAAATCACTGTATACGATATTGTAATGTTGGTTACCAAAATGGACCCTATTGATATTCAACAAAACGTTTTTCGAGTACCTGTTACAGGTAACAATATTGATTTCAATAACACTCAAATAAATATATATTATTTTATATTTCTAGCTTCACAAGTGGCCCCTGCTTGCCTAAAACAGTTTCAAACATCAAGTTGTTCAAACAGCAATGTATTAAAATGTTTTCACCTTCCTATTTTGAATGCAGACAGACTCGATGAACCTTGTAAGCAAGGCACTACTTTCGATTACTTTTCCGGTAGCGAAACATCTTTTATTGTGACTTTTACCGCAGTGGCTACATTCATTGTAACATTGGTAAGCTTAGCGTATATGCTTATGATATGGCGATCACGTTCCGAAAAAATAAACATTCCTGCACCTTCAAATGGACAAATCTTCGTGGCGAAAGAGATCACTGGTCCTCGCACATCTCCTCGAGCGGTTTTCATAGCACTGGACAAACCCAAGAAATGGATTCAAGTGACTGACCCTAACGATACTCTCTTACGAGCTCTTGACTGCAAACATGGTATCACGTGGGTGTCCACCACCGATAAACCCGCGCTTGTGATCAAAGCCGTTCATAGTTATGACCTAATACTGATGTTTAAATACGTTCAACTAAGAGAAAACTTTTTGCAACATTTGATGGCCTTTAAAGCGGAGATTAAATGTTCTGGAACCGAGTTTACGTCAAAACCATACAAGGTGGTTATGGAAACAGTGGTCACTAAACAAATGCGACAAGCAGACGTGGAGCGGTTTTTCCGCGTGGTTTATGCACAAGCATTGAATATGCATCACAATAGCGAAGAAATGAATATGGTTGACGACACATCATTGAATCTAGTAGAAACTGAGCTCACCTTGTATGAGTTTGCAGAAGCCATGGGCATGGATGCAAAAAGCACGTTTGCTACAAGCATGTTCAATCTGGTTGATAAGGATAAGAATAATTTTGTTTCCTTTAGAGAGTTCATCGATTTCATTACAACGTTCTCACAAGGTTCGGGGCAGGATAAAGCCAGATTACTGTTTAATATGTACGATATTAACAAAAATGGCACCCTCTCAATTGAAACGTTCAAACAATTAACAGGGTAAAAAATATCAATCTATTGACACCTTCAACTTTCAACACTGTAAAATTATTCATGTTTTAGATCACTTTTGGGTCGAGCATTATCCGAAGTAAATCAAAACATTCTGTATAAATCTATTGATGATATCTTACGGAGCAAAAATCTCCAAAAGAAAAAAGAGCTTACGTTCAATGATTTTCTCTCCATAATCGACGAAGACTATGATATATTGAACAAAGTTAAAGTTAATTTGAACATTGGGAAAAAACTTACAAAACTTCCGATCAAATAGTTAATGATATATATGGGTAAGCAAAAACACTTTGCCGGTAATAGTTAAATTTAAAACTTGTTTACAGAGACGTTCGAAGATTTGGAGCACAACGACAGAGCGAAATAAAATTACTAAGCGAAGCAGTCATTCAAGTAAATGATTCCCAATCACCTACATTGCAATTTGTACGATATGTGGAACGCTATTCAAAGGAGATCTTCTGGGCAACTTTATACACTCTGGTGTTGATTGTTATCTTTGTGGAACGCGCGTATTGTACGTAATTTATTTATCATAATGCTCTACCTTACTGATTGCTGATTTTATGTGTTAGATTATTCATTTGAGAGAGAAGTAGGAGGTTTGAGACAAATTGCTGGATATGGGGTGTCAATCACGCGTGGTGCGGCATCCGCCATGATGTTTACGTATTCTTCACTGTTGGTGACAATGTGTCGTAATATCATCACCATCTTGAGAGATACCGCAGCAAGTGCATACTTTCCTTTCGACTTCTGTGTGGATTTCCACAAGTACATCGCGTTCTTGGCACTTGGATTCACTGGTAAGAATTAATTCCATAACGTGGTATTTTTGTTAATATGATGTTTTAGTCCTGCATATTATCGGGCATTCGTTGAACTTCTACCACATCTCAACCCAAACCGCCGATGATCTGACGTGTTTGTTCCGAAACTTTTTCCATGCGACGCACGAGTTTCCCAAGTTCCATTACTGGTGCTGGGGAACCATTACAGGCGTAACTGGGATATTACTCACGTTGATCTTGGCGATCATGATAGTTTTTGCACAGACCTGTGTGCGACGGCGACTGTATAACTATTTCTGGTATACGCACTCGTTGTATCCGTTATATTTTATTTTGATGGTCCTGCATGGCACAGGACAATTAGTACAATCACCAATTTTCTATTATTTCCTCTTGGGACCTGTGATTCTTTTTGCTATCGATCAATGCATCAGTATTAGTCGGAAGAAGACTGAAATCATTATCCAGGATGTCAAAATATTACCTTCTAGTAAGTTTACTGTATATTTAATATAAGGGAATGTAACTAAATAATTTTTATAAATTTCCAGACGTGACTATGCTGGAAATTACAAAACCACATGGATTTACCTACAAAGCAGGTCAATGGATACGTGTCGCATGTTTAGGAATCAATGCCCATGAATATCATCCATTTACGTTGTCGTCCAGCCCTGATCAAGAGTTTTTATCTATACACGTGCGCGCTGTAGGTCCATGGACAAATGCCCTACGTCAGATATTTTCAAATGCACAAATGGAAAAGAAACCCTTTCCAAAGATATATATAGACGGACCATTTGGCGAAGGTCATCAAGATTGGAACAAATACGAAGTATCTGTTCTGATTGCTTCTGGGATAGGCGTTACTCCTTTTGCCAGTATTCTCAAAGATATCGTCTTTAAAGCAAACTCTCGACTTCTCCGCGGTAAAAAGGTATACTTTCTGTGGGTATCCCGATCGCAGAAGCAATTCGAATGGTTGGTGGATCTTCTCCGAGAGATTGAAGAACAAGACCAGAATGATGTTATCAATCTGCACTTATACATCACCGAATTCTATGAAAAATATGATTTGCGTACTACTCTTTTGTATATCTTCGAGAAACACTATCAGAAACTGAATAACAAGTCGATGTTTACCAATCTACAGGCTGTCACACACTTTGGACGTCCGAATATTCCACAATTTTTAAACACGGTTCGCACTCTTCACAAAAATGTAAGTTTAAATTGATTTTAATTGTTGAGTAAATATAAAACTCATTGTTATTAATAAATTTTCAGGCTAAGAAATTCGGCGTGTTCAGTTGTGGCAATCCAAAGATGAACATGGAAGTTGCTGCTAGTTGCAACCAGATTAACAAATCTAATGCAGACGGCATTTTTGAACATTTCTTTGAAGCATTTTAATTTAAATAGTAGAATTTGTAGAAAACACGTAGTCCAAATTGAATATTATTTAAAGTAAATCACAACCGCAAATTATCTTTTTTGTCTCTCTTTTTTGTAATGCAAAAACTTACGCGAGGATTTTCGCTTATTGTAAAATTTGTTTAGCTCAAATTAAATGTTTACAATGTTGCGCCGCACCCACTGGATGTTTGCCTTTTGTGTGACGATTTGTGTGCTAATTATATATATAGTTTATGTCAAGAAGACACAAAACCACGTCAATACGGCAGGCAAATAAATCTTACAAATCGTAGACTTTGATTTGAGTAAAACCATCGCATGGAGTAGCAGTAGCATCCTGTTTAACAGAGTTTTATTAATAGTAAATCTAAAATGTTATAGGAGAACGTACTACATGAGTAGTATAATCTTCAGGTACATTTTTGGTGTTACCCAATTGGTATATTATCTTGGCCATAGCTTTGATTTGGTGATAGTATTCCCCGAATCGTACAGCTTTATGCCTTATTTATCAGCCCATTTTGCGATACAAAGCATAAGAAGTATAATTTTAAAGACTTAGGTTTAATTATCGGGTTGACATGAATTGGGGCTTACACTAATCCCCGTTCGGATGACTCCGTTTGATGGGAATGCAAGCCTGGAAATAAAAGACACGCAAAAAGCCATTTGCACGAGCGACGTCGCGACGCTTGCCGCGCGTGCTTAGTCCGTCCAGTATGCTGACCACTGCCCGACTGGATTATAAATAAATCGAAAGCGGGCCTGCGCCGCAATAAAATTTCGTGTTGTATTTATAAAAGCGGCGTTCATCACCGGCATTCGCAATTGGGAAACACTTACGAAGAAATGTGGGCAAAAACTAATTCACTGTCGATACTCTTTGATTTTTATAAATTTATTTCATATCTGACAAATATATAATTCGCAGATACAACAGAAAACAAATAGAGCTGATAGCAGTTTATTTAATACATATTCATACATTTATATATAGCACATCCAAAGTGAGTGTTTTTCATTTTCTTTGATTTGAGACGGTAAACAAGACGAGTTTTCTGAGGGGGTCGGTTGAAACGGGGGCTTGGGGTTCTCGATTTTTTGCTTTCATTGTTTCAAAGGGGCAGAGCGCAGAAGGCCCATGCAGCGCAGAGTGCAAAATTAGGTGGAGTGGACTAAGGTAATATAGGCGTTTACGTTCGTACGATAAGTTTTGTTGAATAATTCATAATCGAATAATGCGACTGGGATATGAATGTGTGTGAAACTCTCGCTCGGCTTCTTTTCGACGCTTGTTCTCTCGAACGAAACATGATGGGGAGGAGCACCAACAATGGAGACCACAGTAGATCAAAACCAAATGAAAAATAATAAAACAGTGTTAAATCATTTTAATAGTTTAACAAGTTAGAACGTAAGAGTAAACTGAAAAAAGGTAAATCAAAATAAATTATGTAGCGTGCGTTATACAGAAGAAAACAAAAAAATATATAAAGAGACGAGCACCGGACTCGAGCTGGATCGATGCAAACAATACAATATTAAAGATGAACAACGGACCCGAGTACGGCAATAAACAAAATGTCGTCCTGAAGGCGACGGACTACGGCCCGCCGTGCAGAAATATCTTGTATATGATTTTTGTTTTTAGCTTAGCTTGATTTGTTGTTTGTGGAAATTTTGGAAATCATGAAATCCTGATTTTTGTTTGACGTCCATTCATCACACAACGTTCACAGTCAATATAATCTCGGGCTGCGCGCTTGTCTTCTTTCGTATCCATTATGTGTGTGTTTTACGGGGCATTTTACAAGTCAGAGCAAAGAAACGTAGTTCGTTACTTGTTGTGTGAAGTGAAACATAAATTAACATTTTACATATTTCACTAAAAACATTGTTACTTAAATATCAAAAAGTTTCCATTGTGTTGGTTGAAACTTCACAACCAAGTTCCACCGAATACGTTAACTTACATGAAATTTTCATATTAACGATTAATTTTTAAAATCATCGGACGTCACCACTTCAATTCTCTCCCGCCTCCTGAGTTTCATCTGCATCACCCTGCGCACACAAAGAGAGAAACATATAAGTCATACACTTGTTCGTTACAAGAGGGTGAGACAAGTGCAGGCATACCTGTGTGTCGCTGGTCCAAAGCGTAAGGTTGTCTCTGAGTAGCTGCATAATTAACGTACTGTCTTTGTACGAATCCTCGTTCAGGGTATCGAGTTCTGCTATTGCATCATCAAATGCCTACACAGAGAAACACAATTCTCAAACACATACATGGGTTGGAACAGAAAAAAAAGGGGTGAAAACACGAATTAGTGCTACAAAACTTTTGTTTGTTGGTTTGTTTTGGCTGTGAATGCAGTTAGTAGTTACCACGCAGAGTTTACATGTGGTTAGCGGCACGCCATTCAAAGTATTTACGAGAATATAAAAGTTCTTAGAAACCTGCTTGGCGAGGTGACAGGCCCGCGCCGGCGAGTTTATGATTTCGTAATAGAAAACGGAGAAATTTAGGGCGAGTCCTAGCCGAATCGGATGGGTGCTCTGCATTTTCGACTTTGCGATATCGAACGCTTCCTGATACGCCTTTTGCGAGTCTTCCACCACAGCTACACAGACAATGCAAAGAACGCTTAGCCGTCACAGTCAACACAAGGTGGTGGCGAGTAACAAGTAAATAAAATTATGTAAAACAGAGTGATATCAACAAAATCCACGAACTCCCGAGATTCAGCCCACATGTAAATCTGCACGGCACCTGAAAGAGTGGCGGTGATGTGATAGGGTCATGGTTGTTAGTGGAGGAGAGTGATCTGCTAAAGTAATGACCTGCTTGGCTAGCTGGCAAGCCTTATCGGGTGAGTTTAGGATCTCGTAGTAGAATACGGAGAAGTTGAGGGCGAGTCCTAGCCGGATCGGATGCGTCGGCGTCATCTTGGCCTTTGAGATCTCGAACGCATCTTGGTAAGCCTTCTGTGAGTCATCCACTACGGCTGCAAATCAAATACGTTACCCACCGTCTCGCTAATTGAAAGTTAAGTTGCGCATGGTGACAAGTGCAATGTTACGAAATTCAATGCGAATTCAAAGCTCTGTCGACGACTTACTGTTTCTTGTGTCTCCGGTGGCGACTTCGGCGAGATATCTGTAGTAATCGCCTTTCATTTTAAGGTAGAATACTTTCGACTCTGCGTTACTCGCTTTCGGAATGAGGTATTTGTCGAGGAGACTCTGTGGGAACAAAAACCTGGTATAAACTCCCAATTCTCAGAATGCTCATTATTTGGAAACGAAGGAGAGTAATCAGATACGAAAATAAGTAGCTTCATTATTCTTCAGAAGAACGAAAGTTAATGTAATAGCATCATGTGTACGCTTTGTGTAATTATATTGAGTGCGAATGATACCCGTCGTGCTTACCAAGACATCATAGCAAATTTCCCGTAATTCCTTTTCTACTTTTTCCCGGTACTCCTTGGCCATCTGTTGTTTACGTTCGGATCCCTCAGTCTTTTGTTCGATTGACGAAATAACTCGCCAGGAGGAGCGCCTCGCACCGACAACGTTCTTGTACGCCACCGACAGCAGGTTGCGCTCCTCGTTGCTGAGCTCGACGCCGGTCTCGGTGACGGATTTCATGGCCGATGCCATGTCATCGTACCTCTCCGCCTGTTCGGCGAGCTTGGCCCGCTGCACCAGTTCGTCCTTATCGACTGACATTTTTGATTTGATATATTTCTATCCTGTAACAACAGAAGCACACGCACGTATTAGCACCGAACGTGTTTGTCGCACAAAAAGAAAGTGCGCATTTCGCCAACACCAACACATGGCTAACACACAACTAGGCGTGTTTGTGCACGAGACACCGGTGTGATCAAAAAGTGATTGAGGGAAGCCAGACGTCCGTCTATACATTCGCATAATGATAATTTTGCATACAAATAATGTAAATGGGAGAAAATACCGAGACAGAACCGGATCCTGTTTTTGGGATTGGTAACCCTATACGCAATTCGATTATTGACAAATCGATGATGTACCGCCGATTGACTGGTCTGGACTGGCAATCGGAAGCCCCGAGCGCCACGCGGACTATAAATAGACCAGGGATGTCCTCCAGGAGCGCGCGGCGGCGGCCACCCCTCCCAGTGATAACACCCGCGTGGGCTGCGCTGCGCGAGTGTGAACAGGACCGAGCAACATGGCGTCCGCCGCACCGCGCCGCCAGCCACACCTTTCCTGACGACGAAATGCGTAGTAAATAAAATTGGCGGCGACGGCGTGATTTGTCTCCGCGCAATCGATATCCCCGCGCGCGGCACGGCCGATGGCTTCGCAGGAATTTCGTAAAAGCGTGCGACTTACGTCAATGACACCCGACGCGACGTCTTACAAGGCGTCGTCCGACGTCGCAATTAGACGTCGTGCGCGCAAAAAATCGATCCAATATCCCGTCTGCCGACGTAGTACACAGCGTGCAATGAATTCATATTGAAGGTCAACCGTACGCACACCCAGAGCACGCCGCCGAGCGACACGCGCCCGCCACCGGGTTTTCGCCGAAATTGCACCAGGAGCAGCCGGCAAAGTCCAGCCAAGGCGTAAACGCTCGGGGGGTGATTTACTTACGGTTAAAATGGAAAAACGAGTAGAGCGGAGCGAACGACAGAGCACTAACACATGCGGCAGCGACTAGAACACGACTACGGCCGTGATGGTGCGGATCAATGTGGGGTCCACGCGCGACACCGCAAGGGCAACGACAAAATGGCGGCGAGCGCGGTCTATGCTTTCGCATGCCGATCACCACGAATTTGCGTGCTGTAGCGGACGCCGCTTGCAATTGCATCGGCGGGGTTAATGAGGGCGACATGCTGGCCAGGCGGGTTAATGGAATAATTGCAAAGTTACACTCACGTTTCGTGAAAAAAGCGAGAATTGCTCGCAGGTAGGCGGTTGACGGACACAGAGCACACTCTGCCGGCTTCTAATCGCGACGCACTCGGGCTCGAAATGGTACGCATGCGCAATACGCGCGCTCTTTCATGGGGAACAACTTGAGAGTGCTAAAAGTCACCAGAAAGCGGCGCGATGCACCGGCGCACCGCACTGGTGTGTCGCATTGAATTGGAATCTTTGCGAGAGACCGCTGTGAATTCCTCGGCGGTTTATGCATCATCGATGAAAATGAGTGTGACTACAGATGAGTCATTGCTTCCGGTACATGCTAAAGTGCGGCGAAACAATCGCCGAAAAAACCAAGCCTTATTGCGTAATCAGATTGCATTTGCGAATGAGATAAGCCGCAATTTTTGGGACAAACAAAGCTCTTATCTATTAGATTAGTGGGAAGCAGGTGGAATGAGAGCTATTCGAACGTTGTTACGTGTTGAAGTTTTCCATAGCAACGCGCGGGAACTAAAAAATCTCGACTGAGTTGGCGCGACGCGCGTGGGCGTGAAATTCTCGCAGGGAGACTCACTTTCAAGACAATTTTTCGGCTATGATTAGATCACAATTTACCCAAGGAATAGCGAATAAAAATAAAATCCGCACGTTAAGATCTATTAAACTGATATAGATAAGAGGATACTTCATTATAAGTTAATTAATTTTATCAAATAATCAATAATTTAAATTCGGCAATAAAATAAAAAAGGTTTTAATGTTCAAATCTTGACTTTTGATCGATAACCCGGCGCGCAGCACAAATTCCGTCATAATATTTCAAATAGGAGACAGCGAACGTGTTTTCATTAAATAATAATTAATAATTAGTAAATTATTAACACTTCGCACATGCGTAGGACCATGTATACAGTTGGCAGTATAAAATTCTGGTTATGTTCCTAGACAAGACAACCATCTGCAGTGGTTGGTACCACTGACAACAATTGCTTTTGCTAAATTCGTTTATTGTTTGTTCTGTTGTACATTGCTTCAAAAGATTGCGGACAACCTGTGGATGATATACAATCGCTACATGAATAGTTAAATTCGTTGCGTAGAAACGCCGGATTTAGCTATTTATAGCTACGGTAAGTTTTATTATATTTTAGGGTTATATTACAGTTGACCATTTAAAAGTCGTACGTGTTTGGTGTATACTTGTCATTACTATCTCACTGATTGGTTGTAGTAATAGCCAAACAGTTAAACGTCATATATTTTCAAATTTCAATTTAAGATTTGTTTAATTTGAAATGATTGCAGTTACGGGGAGTGAACCATATAATGGACAATTGTAAACGTCCATTTGGTGTATCAAAAAGTGCATTAAATCGAACAATTTTAAAGAAGATGGAAGAAGCTGCTTCGGAAGTCCCAATGCCTGAGATTGGTGATGCAGAATCTCCAAATGGGGTGTGCACAACCATGCAATTTCCTATTGTTCACCATGCTGAACTACAAGAAGTGTTACCAAAGTACACATCCAGTAGGTCTTTGATATTGTTGTTTTTGGAGTAAATTAATGCAAAACTTTTGTTTTTTCATTTACAGTTCTGTCAAGAACACCTGCTGATGGTGTAATAATGGCAGATTTAGATAAATTACAGCATGAACTTGAACATTTACTCTCTGCATGCGCGGTGCGTCAACGTGCATTAAGATCCGACGTTGAATCAATTGACAAAGTTGAAGAAAAGAAGGAAAGAAGAGGAAAATCATATGAAAAGGTTGATAAATTATTAATTAAATAATTATTTGTTGCTAATTGTTTGTTGTGCATACATAGCCATCATCTGTGAAGAAAAGAAAAGTTGAGGAGAAGCCAAGACCCAAAAACAATCGCAGTTTGCAGCGTATTTTAAAAGCAAAGCCTTCTTTACCAAGCGCCGGCAGTACAAGTAGTTTGAATATGGAAGTAATAGAACCATTACCGCCTATTCAGAAAAACGACACTTCAGACAGGTTCTGGTTGTCTGTAGATTCATATTGCCAGGATGTTACGAAAGATAACTTAGTTGTAAGTTAATTATTTTATCATATTAACCATAAAAATAATAATTTTTTGTTTAGTTTCTTGATGACTTGATAAAGGAATGCTCTCAAGACATAGACATGAAAATTCCTGCTCTCGGCGAACACTACGCCACCGAATGGTCTGAACACGGCATGCAAGACGAACAAAACAACGGCTGCATCCTTGTAGACAGTCTTCTGGAAGAGAAAGCGATGGCATCATTGCTTTTCACATCAGTTTTAGACAAATTCAAATCTGCTGATTATATTAAAGGCGTGCATGGAATTCGCCATGGTTTATGCCTTGAAAAACGACTGCGTAGAGAAGGAATAGACATTGATGTTGATTTTTCCAAGTCTATATCACGCGAGGATGAAATCCTGCAAGAGATTAAAAAGTGCCAGAAAGAGCTGGAGACAGTGAATCAACACAACATCACCGAATTGAATAAACTGCGCGAAGTTGTCTGCAAGGATTTGAAAAAGCAAGAGGTAAAAACCGCCCTGGAGAAAGTCGATCGTGAAATATTAAATATGGCTCAGAAAGTATTGGTGGCCAAGGAGAAGTCGCAGGATCTGAATGTTTTCAAAGAGGAGACAAACGCGTTGATTCAGCAACAAGTGCGTTTGAATGCCGAGCTGCAAAACTTCAACAACACAGCGCTTTTGCAATAGTTTGAATCACTGAAATTGTGGATTTTTAATTATAATTGCATTCGTTTTAACATTTAAGATGGATACATTTGGTTAGCATTATGATCATGATAATTTATTGCAAGTTACATTGATGTGGCGATACAAAACAAAAGAATTGTTGAAATGTAGTTTTATTGCATTTTTTAAATTAAAGTTTAGTGTTTCATTCGTGGGTTGTGACATTGAAGCGTTGTTAACGCGAAAAGTCCTAAAATAATGCATGTTCCACTTGCGTAAGCCAAAACATTCTGATAGAAGTTCGGACATAAAGTTCTGTCTTCACATTCCCTGTAAATTTAATATTTTTTATATTAATTAACACAAAAGTTTACATTTATACATACATATGTTGTATTAGAAGCACCACCGCGCCAGAAACCAATTTATCTGTGAATGTAACAGTGCTGTACACTGAACCACCCTTAAAATTATTAGTATTAACAAACGTGGCAGTCAAACATAAACTTGTAATCATTGTTCCGGAACTTCCAGCGCCTAAAAGTCAAATTTACGTTAATGGTGTATGTATGGTTGCATAGTTGCATTGAGGTTACCTATAATCGCCGCCATTAAATAAACATTTGACATATTTCCGTTCGAGATGCCCAACGCTAACCACATGCATCCGATCAACGAAATACAGCTTCCAATTGCAAAAATTACCTAAGTAAAATATTAGTTTAGTAATTAAACAGTGTAAAGATGAGTATAACACCTTGTCGGTGACAAAATTAGGTCTATTGTTGATCGCCAGTGAAGTGGCAAAAGAAGCCAAGAAACACATAAGAGGTACGCTTGCGATGGCTCCACGAATAGAATTATCATTATCATTTGTTTGCAGCCGCTCCTCCAAGTACAACGGCATGTAGATGAGATTCAGGATGGTGTAAAGACGCGACGACATGTACCTGCGATGGTAATTGACAAATTTAACCGTTATTTTATGCACAACCTCAAACATACTTTCTGCGAGTTATAAAAACTAGCAGGTAAAAATTAAGTGTGAAACATGTCTTAGTAAATTAATAGTGGGTCTGCATTGTGCTGCCCTCAATAGAAAACATTTCAAGTTTTAAGTTTTTGTGATAAGCAAGATAAGCAATAGTTGTTTTCGTTATTTTCGTGCCGCCAGTAAACAAAACACGAAATTGAAGTAAAGTGCCTGTTGCAGTAATGTCTACACTGGTGAGTTTTTAACTTTAAACATTTTATTATTTCTATCTGGACTCACATAATTGAAACCTGATAAGTAACAATCGATCGGAGGAAACTCCTCGTGCGCATCCCGGATGCATTATTCGCACCATCATCACATGTTTGATTGTTTTCCTCCTCCACTATCCGGTCGCGATGCGTTCGGTGTGTTGGCGGCGCGCCGGCTGCGGCTGCACTCATGCCGCAATAAAATATCAGCGAGCTGACGATGCCCACGCAGGTAATAATTAGGATGATTTCCTGAAACGCACCATTACCATTCAAGTTTACAACAGCATGTGTTGCGCGTGGATGGCAACAAGCGCGATTTGATTGCGATTTATTCGAAATTTATAGCACATTGTGCCTGCAAATTGAAACACGGTGCAATTTGCGAGCGAGCAAAATTCAAAGACTCGTGTATACGTTGTACCTTGAACTTGTAGAAGTCCGCCGGGCCCAATTGAGTCACCATTGTGCTTCCGTTTCGTAATATTGCCCAGGTTATCATGTAGACAAAGATGTTACAGCACACAGAGGCTGTGTATCTAGAATATTATTTATTTTTAGTGTAAAGTTAGGTTAAGTTGCATGTTAAGATGGCGCTTTTGACGCAAACATAACCTTTAACCACACAAACATTTTTTGAGATAAAATAAACATTTTTGAGCTTATAACTTTTAAATTAAAAATAATTTACAAACAGATATATAATAAGATTATAGGTAATGTTAATCTCTTTCATTTGATACCAAATACGGTAAAATTGAATGAATAATTCAGGAGTAATCAAAGAAAATGTGAAATTATATTATGTGTAATCTGTTGTTGTTGTTAGCAGCGTGTTGTAAGTAAGTGCAGGTATAAATTTATGCGTGGATTTGTGTGGCAATCGTTCCGCGACACCGCGCACCGGCTGCAAAGAGTCAAAGTGTCAAGATGATTAGATAATTGCAAATTGAAGAGAAAATCTCTTTATCTCTTTATATTGCAAATCACAAAAAGTAACTGTATACCGTGCACTGTGCACCGTGAAGTACGTGCCGAATTATATAATTCGCCGTGCTGTTGGATGTTAATTGAAACATTACAAAATGTCAAAATGTCACCACTCTACACACAATAGAGCATACTCGACAATATACTACCAACTATTCTCATAATAACTTTCAATTTTTGATAAAAATATGAAAAATAATTTCATCCAGGAAGTATTTCGCAGTATCATCATCGATATCATCAATATCCTTGTTGCCCGCGGCACCCTCAGCTAGTTGAAGTTAATTTTTGTAAAATTAAATTCACTACAGGAAAACATACAGCCGCAGTCAACGTGTAGTTAATTCTGTTTTGATTAATTGCACATAAACGTCTCGCATTTATAATTACTTAAGTTAAGTACCTTATGGAAGTTAAGTTGGCACTGTGTTGATTATCTTTGGAGATGGTTGTAATGATAGATAAATGAGATATTTGCACTATGGCCCAGCCGATTTGGAAAAAGACCACCAGAAAACCGTAGTATAACAGCGTCCACCATGAATTTGGGGGTTTTCGGGAGCGTAAGAAAACATTGTTGTAAAACCCAGCGCTACTAAACCAGTACCTGTAATGTAAAGGTTAGTAAAGATAAAAATAATAATTTCCACTTCTGCTGTTTTACAGAATAGCTGAGTTTAGTTTGCGAGATATTCGCGACTGAAAAAATTCTGAAAAATGAAAAATACGCTCTTATTAGCACTTTTAATTATTTTTTCAGAAGTTAAACCCAGCGAAATTAATTTTTTAATAATCTTATCTTATAAAGATTTTTCAAAGTTTCAATTCCTATAATCCGTTCTTTTCTATCACTTTTAGTTTACAAGATATTCGCGATTGAATGAACTAAAAAAATAAAAAAGTTCTCAAATTGGCACTTTAGTCACGATTTCCGAACGTCTACCCCACGAAATTTATATATGTATTTACTTTGCCTTGTAAAAATTTTCCAAACTTCCATATTCTTTAATCCGTTGACCGCAATCGTTTTTCGTTGACAAAATATTACCGAAAATACTCGAAAAACATGATCAAAATCATAAGCGAGACATGTGCATTTATCCTTGTACGGTGCCCTGAACACGAGTCACTTCTACCGCTACCCTCGTACGGTGCCCTGAATGTGAGTCACTTTTACCGTCACCCCCTACGGTGCTCTGAACACCAGTCACTTGTACCGTCGCCCTTCTATGGTGCATCGAATTAGAGTCACCTGCGCTCAGCATTTTTAATTATGAATTATTTTTCATTCCTCTTATTTTACCAATTTTAAAATTAAAAGTCTTTTATCAATTAGTCTTTACCGCGTTTCGTTTTCAAGATAGTAACATAAAATTAATAATAACCTCCTCTGCCCTACTGGTTTTGCCCTTTTTCTTGACAAAGAGAGGTCAACGCGTGTGGTAGAAAAATGAAAACATTGCTAACGAGTAGGCAGTGCATGAACGGCAGTCTTTCTTTGCCTTCGTTTCGCCACTTTGCACACGCACGCCAACCTCTACCTACCAGTTTGCAGTTTGTAGATGTAGGATAGCGAAAAAGAGTAAAATATGCTGATAGACGCACCTGTCAAGTGCCACACCCGCGGGGTACTAATCCAGTCCACCGCCCAGCCGGCGGACGGCGTCGCCAGCGAGTCTGCGACTTGCCCTGCGAAACGAAACGAGTACCAATTATTTGTTTGCGATGATGGCGTGTGCGACATGGACATGGACATGCAAAGTGCACCAAGCTCCACCTCAAAAGATTAAAAAGTTGAAAATGCGTGGTCGTGTTAACTATAAACATACACACAACAGTTAATTAATTTTAAAAGCAATTAAACATAAATTACAGCAGAAATTCACGTAAAAATATAAAAAACACAAACAAAATTGATTTTTAAATACTTTGTACCAATTTTTTTCGTATTACAAAACATGACACAACAGATACACGCACACACGCAAGATATAAATTTATGAATCTAATTCTATCACACGTGTATAAATAAAAATCAACAAGTGAAACTGTTTTCGTTCCTAATTGAAGCACATTCGTGTTATTCGAGGTTCCAACTCAAGAGACGCCAAATGAACTTTAGATTGTATCTCAGCCGGGAGATGCAGCGATGAAGAAGTAAACCTTTGATTGTCGTAAAATAACATTGAATAAATTTCGAATTAAGGTTAATTGCCTGATGTATTGCCATCGCAGGCAGAGATTTCGGATTCTAAGAATCATTAATGAAAAAATACGACAATTTAATTTTACATTGAATTTTTAAGGCTTTTCTTTTTATTTTAATATTTTTAATATTTTTGTTGCGTGTATTTAATTTAATGACATATAATCTCTTAAAAATGATTAGGAAATGTGTTATAGTTACCTCGAAACGAGCAATAATAAACTAAATGGTCATATAGTTAAATTTTAACTATGAATGTACGTTAGATGCGGTTGCATAATAGATATTTACATATCTTTTACGTGTCCGTACGCTTTAAGCGTTTTGAGGTAACGCATTGCAATGAAATGGCAATAAACAAATATGTACGAGCACGTTAATAGAAATAAACTTTGACAGCTTTCAACTGAGCAGAAATATATTCCCTAGAAGCATTAAATTAAAAATTATGCACAGCTATTGCTAATTTGATGTTTTTATTGAAACACTTTGTATATTATTTGCGTACGAGTGCGGTAATAAACTCAGTTCGTTTTGTGGCTGGGCTGTGCCCAATTTTTTACAATTTGCGTATCACAATCACAATCGTTAAACGCGTGTCGTACGCATAGGTGAATGCGTACCGCAACATTTATTTCGAGTTCACTTATGCTCATTGCGCATTACACGCACTCGAAATGCGAAAATTATCGAAGCATATTTACGAGCCACAACTAAAATTTAAAGGGTTTTCGTAGATATGATGTAATATTCATGTAAATATTTTTATGCGCTTTAAATTATTATTAAATATTCATGTTTAACAACAATCTGGACCTGTGTGAAAGTGCGTATGTGATTTTTCGGTTACCGAATGCATGCACCTGTAAATTTAACGCACGCAAACCGAAAAAATAACTAGTATTGCGCGAACTGCGATTGCAAACGACTGAAAAACTCGCGTAACGAGCACTCTATGTGGATAATGAGATTACGCGAGAGTAAAATACTCGGTTTATTACCGCCGAGATCAATTTACGTGCATGGATACAGATAAAAAGCGAGCACGCAAAGTGCACGCCGAAATAAAACAATAATGGCGACATTTATAATAATTTGCGTATTGTGAAACACGTCCCCGAAGAGTATAAACTGGTTTTTATTACTTGTAGTATTGTTAATGAGCATGATTGCATAATTATAATTATTATTTACGTGAAAAACGAATGGAAAAATCAGGTTAGGTTACATCATGGTAGGCAACCAATCTTGCACAGAAAGAAAACACTCACTTGTATGCTGGACGTTAAAATTTAATTTCACAGTGGCATTAAAAGAATAATTTATTGCTGCTTCTTTGATTGATTGCACAAATGTAAATTATTCGACCACCGCCAAGCTGGTTTTCGAAAAAAATATACATGGAAAGCAAGAAAGTGCAATTAATTGCTGCGCTTGGGTTCGACTGGAGCAAACGCGGCGTGAAATTGGGCGACATCACAAGATGTCGTCGTCGGACGAGTTTTCGAACAAGTTTTCGGTATAAACAGCGATTTTTTACGATTATGTATGCTTACAGACTGCAGTTTAAAGCTTTAAAGCGCCAAAGCTTAAAAAATTACAACTTTTCTGTTTTTATGTCTGCACCAACCTTAAATTCTCGAAAAGTTAATGTTTATGATGAAATTACTTGTTTAAAAATAAAATTGTGAGTCAACAATTCTTACCTTTCACTTTTTATGAACAAAACGATGAGTATAATAAACAATTGACACATTTTCTGATGTCTTTGTTGAATATTGCACATTACACATTAATTAAACGCCGTTTTGCTATTACCTAATTAGGAACAAACTGCATGCTACGCCTAAGAATAATTAAAATTTTAATTATTCGTATTTAGTTAGCATTTAGCGGCGGTTTTGGAGGCCGGGCGTTTTATTGTTTACCACACACGTCCCAGGTGATTAAATTATAGTTAATTACTCTATTGAAAATGAAGAGAAGTGAAGCAACAAGAAAATCATATTAATTGATGCAAAAGACAACAAAAACATGAGAATAATGCATGTGATTAATAGGCAACCAAGAATACACGACGTGAGTTACCATAACCTATACTATGGATTAGGTGTAAATATTTTGAGTCATAAAATGAGCGATAAAATTTCGCCGAAGACGAGAATCACATTTAGGTAATTTTTATGCCTCATTAAGTGAAATCACAACAACAAAACATGTTTCACACCGGTGAGACCTCAACGTAAACCACAGGCAATTAATTATCTTCAATCCAATCACATACAAGTAAATTCAGCGACGAAAAATCTTTTGAATCGATTAACCAGATTCGATCCAGATACGCAATCATGGCGATCGTTAATTAACAACAAAATAAATGCCAGCGATCATTATCCATGTTAAATATGTCAATAAAATACGATCAATTCATCATTTTGGCCTGCGCACCGCAATAAATCAAAATTCAATCGTGAATAAATCGTGAATCAAAACCGTCTAATTACTGTATTACTCAATCACATCTGCGCATGCGCAAAAGTTGCTAGAATATAGTAGTAAGCTTAAATTGACTTAAGTGGAGTCTCGGAAAGATGTTGCGATACAATCCTCGAGAGATAATTGTACCATGCGGCCGTTTGTCGTCCTGTCGTCTCGCTGATTATTTAAATTGAGTCGCCATTCATTTCGACGACGATTACGGCGACGCCTTGAAGTCTAGCTCGATTCCATTTTCAATCGGCGATCATCATTTGCATAAATGCTTCGAAACGTAACTAGTTTTCTCAACCGAGCGCAATAAAATCGTTGGCAATCTTGTGTTCTTGAGTTCGCGTTTTCAGCGTCGAATGTTTATGTATGGCGCGCGACGTGAAATAATAGTTAGCCGAGTTGATGGTTATAATCTTCGGCGAGGATATATTTTATGCCACAACACATAAAACTAGTATCTCGCGGTGTGTATGTGAGTGTATAACACCTGCAATGGAGGCTCTGATGCTGCAAACACGCATGTGATGTGGTTTTTTTGCGCTGCGCGCCGATACAACGATTGGTTCAAGGCGAACTCATGCAAATTTGCGTTTAATACACGTAACGAGCGCAACGCGCTCGAGTTATTCATCAATCTTCGTTTGGAGCGAGAATTTTTCATTAAATCTTTAGATATGTGCAATAATAACTCATGTCTAAAACATGGTGAATAATTTACTTTAAATTTTATTATAGGCAACCAAATATTCAAACTAGAACAAATTTTAGGTTAGATTTTACTGAATTTATGAGTAATATTAATTACTGTGTACTTGTATTGTAACAAAAGCAATGTAAATCAGAACAATCGACGATCGTGTTCCAAGGTTAAGATAAACGATGCTGAGAGAGTTGTTTTTTGTAATTTTATTGTCGATTAACGTTTGCCCGCAATCTCCATCTCGCAAAAGGCTTATAAATCGATTTAAAGTACCGCGATACACCAAACGGCCATAAAATCTTGTTACAACTTAAGCTCTGCATAGACTTAAACATAATTCAATAACATTTTCAGAAAAAACACATCGTATAAGTATATTTTTGCCTCCTTTGGTCTTTAGTTTATTATTATATGAATGTAGTTACACATAGTTTTTTTTTCGGAATTAAAGTTCTTTCATAACGGTCAGTAAACTTAAACTTTGAACATTGAAATCTTTTCAGATTGAATTTAAAGCTCAATGGAATGATAAATGAATTCACAACATCAAAACACGAAATAAATGGCATTGTAATAAAATAATTACTTTAATGATTGGGTTGAATGCTGAAATTATTTCAAATGTGACTTGTAACATCTCAATATTAATTGGGATATTTTTTATTGCCTGCGATTATAATTAAATCATAAAAAAATTATTCGTGTATTACTCAGCGTAGTTTAATTTGATTTTTTTGGTTTAAGATTAATTGCGTTCTATTACTTTCTTTTTAAGTTTTAAAAACAGTTTGGAATTGATTTATTTATTTAAATATTTAGATGTTTTATTATTTCTGGTAGTGGGGGATAAATGTGCACCAATTGGGTGGCTGAGTACGTTGCGCATGCGCGTTGAACCTATTCCAGGACCGTATCACGCAAATGCATTCATTTTGAAGCCATTTAAACATAATAATCAAATATAAATTATATTCTATTGCAGCCGATGCCTTGGAGGCCGGTAAATGATACTTAATCGGTCTATGGGCTGTTTTTTTCTGCCTGCCTCGAAATTACCTTGTTTATTTTCTCGCCTCACGGGCACACGCGGCCCGCAATAAAAACGATTAACGTTTTTCGAATCTTTCAAGTTTACGAGTATAGCGACGTAATTTCCTGGGTTTAATTTCAAATTTATTTCGGGTGCTTGAATAAACTTTGAAATTAAATCCCAGCATAACCTAAAAAGCATACACACGCCAATATTTGAACAGTGTAATGAGGTTATGCGCTTGTGCTGGCATTACGAGACAAACAATCACAGCCATTACAATCACTTGTAACTTGTTGTTGTTTAGCTGTTTGTGTTTGGTGGCTTTTCTAAACGCTTGAGACTCGAGCGCTTTAAGTGCTCGACGTCAATGCGGTGGCTGAACTGGAGCAACATTATAGGCCACCGAACAATAAATGTTTATTATATAAGCACAAAGCAAGCAGTGCTAATGCAATAGCAAGTTTATATCGAATAATATCGAGCAATGCGTAATAAAACCGACACATTACACATGCCAGCCGCTCAAACTTTAAATTTCGCACCATTATTATACATACATTAACATTTATACCACATTGATATCATTTTATTGGAGTAATCGGCTATAATTAATTTTATTCTCGCGCTAGCGTCAAAGATTAAAATTTTCAGATTAAATAAATGCATTTATTACATAATTCCCTAGTGTATTATAGAATTTTTCGAATTTTTTGCATAAAATGTGATTTAGTAAATATATTTCTTGTTAAGAAGAAAATTTCGCATGTTTGCACGTTTTCTCGCCTCAGAAAAGTGTAAAAAAAGTATTGTTAGCTTTAGAATCACTACGTGCCAGGTGAATTATTTTCTAAAATTTTATTACCCCTGTGTCGTTGTATTTACGTACCTATCATGATGAGCGCCCCTGCAGTGGTCGACTGCATGCGCAGCACGATCTGGAAGTAGAACAGCGTGTACGAAAACCAAACCGCTGCGCACAGGTCGTTGTAGACGTGACCCAGACCGTAGCAGATTTTCTCCATCGGCAGCGCGCACGATCTCATCACTTCGACCTCGTTTTCATCATCATCATCGTCGTCTTGGGTGACAAACTTCACATTTCGATTTTTAGCGCTACTAAAATGCCCGCCGTTGTGTGAGCTGCCATTTTGTGTCCTACTAACGCCATCTGGTGGTGTAGTTTCTAATAGTCTTGCTTTTTCACTCATTGTAACACTATGAGACGACTATAAATAAGATTTAATGTCGTATAGACGTTGCGAAGTTAAGTAGCAGTCGGTCGCGTAAAATTATCCGTAAATCTGTAAATAAAGCGATAAATAATAATAACTTGTACAAAACGTACACAATGCGGTTGACGGGAGTTATGTCGGTCGTAAATTGTCGCCTTGGTAGCAATGTAGAATAAATATGAGAGTTATTAAGTGAAAATCATGTTGCATTTTGTTGCATTTTGCAACATTTTAGAGAAAATAATTAATATCTTTAAGAAATTTAATATTATAATAATTATTCAATTAAAAACTTATTCGGAATTAAAATATCTATGTAATTATAATTAATTTTAATTGATATAAAATTTATATACAGAGTAATAACGAAAAACGTGATTTTTTATGCAAAAAATTACAGTTTTTTATTGATTACTCAGAATATAATTAAATTTATCGATATATTATTTAACTATTAGTTGTAAAATTTAATCGCGAATGTTTGGTGTCTTTTGGATTTTTTATTGCTAAATGCAAATTAATTTCAGCGACTTTTTTGCATTCTGCACAAATCGTTTCTTGCGCGCGTGTTATTTATAGCACTGATATCATGCGAGTCATTAGCGTGCATATATTTGCCGTAACATTCATAATTACCACCTAAATTAATAGCGCTCGACCGCTGCCAGCATATTGTACCGGCTTGTGTACAGGAAATAATTAACGCGAATATTAAACGAACAACAACAGAAAAAAGCAACAACACGTTCTTTAAATATAATAAATATTTTATCGTGCGTGGGTGTGGACGGCATAAAAAATGCAACTGATAGTTGTTTAGATAAAAATAATAAATATTTATGAGCATAGATAATAAAAATAAAAATGTCGTATAGATGGCGTTAGTGTACTATAGGCAACTTTTATACACTGGTGGCAACACCGACATACCACCACTATATTTTTTATTACATAAAATGTTAAATCGTTAAAAGTATCATAATTACCACACAATCATTGTGCCACGCCGGCGTGATAATTATTATAATACGCTACAATCACGAAACGGGTGCATTAAGCGCTTTTAAAATGTGTAAATTCTTGGGGGGCATGACTGATGGAGATTTCAAGAAATCAACCTGACCACCGACCACCTTAAAAGGGTAGATAAAATAGAGTGCGTGTGTGCGTGACACGAGCTGTGCGTGCGCGGACAATACACGACAATGATTAATTCTTCTATTTTGAATTTTTCTGAAAATACCGCTTGCAAAACCGGTTAACCGAGGGTGTTTTTTAAATTTATTGAACTTGCAACGTGCAGAGAGAGATTATAATTATAATTATATTCTGCATTATTTAGTTTTGCTCGTTTTGCTCCGGCATTACTTTGATAGCACTCGTTGTTATAATATTCTAGATTGTAGAAAAAATCTAGTTGTACCTGTATAGCCTTCAACGCTTCAACTTGAAGAAAATACGTTTGTACCCTCTGGCACTCTGGTAGAGTTTACTACAAAGTGCTGACTTGGTGTTTTATAAAACATGATGGCGGCGTCATATATTATCCCGGTGAACGAGCACACGAACAGCTCGATTGACTCAACTAGGGACCCGCGTGGCTTTCGAGCATTTTACGGAAACGTAGCGCTCCAAGGCGCACAAACTAGTCGTAGTCATGCAGAAGGTGTGTGTATGCATCTAGTCCTTCTATTTGCGGTTAATATTAATAGTTTGTGTTGTGAGTATAGAGTAGAAACACTAAGCAAAACGGAAAACTTGCTGACTAACTCCCGAAGTTGGATGACTCACCCTCTTATTGTAATTATAGTAATTTTTTCCTTTCTGAAGTCACACTGGACAAGGTTAGGAAGATGTGACACAAGTGACACAACAATTTATTTATCACTAATTTTATCTTTCTATTGACTTGTCTAGGAAGCAAATGGCGTCTGTTGACTGTTTATACTCATCTAACTTACGTCCATATCACTCCACAAGGTAGAGAATGTTTTTTCTTTTTCTTTTTCAAAACTAAGGTTTCTCAATATATAATACACAATATACAATATGACCAGATAAGGTATAAGATTATTTAACTCCTGACGTTGCCGCTTATGCTTGGTTCTGCTGACGACAGTTGGTAGCGCTTATTTGAGGTTAGGTTACAAGCCTGCTGCACGAAACTCGATTAGCGTGGCTCGCGTTCATTGCCACTGAGTAATACAATACTTTTAGACTACCAAGACCCACATATATCCAATGTCTACACGAAATAATCATGTAGACATTCGTATTAGTCAATTTTGGTTATGTTATCAATTAATTGCGTTGCCCAATCATTTATTTCGGATGTTGATTGAGAAGTAAATGTTTTACACATGTTTGGCGTTTCGGTTGACCGAATCGAGATCACTTGCGTTATGAAATTTTGGATTTACAAAATTTAAGGCCCGAAAGTTAAAACAAGGAGACCGAATGCCTTGTATGTGTCACCTGTTATGGACACATTGTTATTGGATCATTAGTCATTCGATAATTTGGTTATTAGATACCTTTTTTAGGATATTTGGGGTACAAGTCAGGATATCACCTATCAAACAATGAAAACTGATTCAATGGAGTGTAATTCCTTTTTAAAGTGTAAGACTTCAAATATTTGAGGTTAGATTACAATATCTAAGTTTATATACACTTATAGCATGCATATTTGCAATAAAATGAATTTGATTACAGCTCAATCATAATTAATTCTATTATTTGTTTAATAACTCACGCAGCTCTTGCATATGCATATCAAATGAAAATGAAAATGAAAATGTCAACATTGAGCTTGTTTACTTTACACTGCACTTAGCAATTTCTCAATTAGTTTCTCGGTAATATAAACAAAAAAATGTTTCCAGGTGTAGATAATATAATTTATTCCAACACATTTATTATTATTTTATTGTGAATATTGTGCGTTAACATGTGAAATGATAATTAATCAAGTGCTAGTCGAGTCGAGTTGAATAATCACCTTAAAGTTGATTAATAATGCATATTCTACTGCCTTATTATTAACCAATTAACAACCACAAACTAGCAAGTGTAATTTGATAGTCTCTTATGCAATACATATAAATTTGGTTATATTATATCAAATTCATTGAAAGTAGGCAGCCAATTATACATGTTTTATGTGTTTACACTGTCTAGACACTCCTATAACCTATAAATACTTGAAAGAACGGTTAGAATGTGAGTAACGCACACAAAAAACAACAAATATGTAATTATCATAATCTAATAAAGTTAAGTAAGCTCTAAACTTTCGGCCACACGAACCACACGTATTGTGTTTTGTTTGGATCATTGTCTATTGTTGTTTTTTTCGGTAGCGGCGACTCGCAGTCACATTTGAAGGTTAATTTGCTTGCCATTCACCTACCAACACATATCATACGCTTACACGTAATAAATTATAACAAATTGTTGTGGGTATCTTAAATTTTCACAATGTGTGTAATTCAATGTCAAACACAGCGCTGGTATGTGAGATTGTTGTAATGAACTCATAATTCATATTAGATTCTGCAGGTTATGGTAAAAAAGGAGTTAAAATATCGAAAACACAATTGATTTATTAATTGCGCCACGGACATTGTGATTCGTGATATTAATCGCGTGATAGGTAGCTTATTTGACTCGTACGTCGACTTCCTTATTAATCACATCTAATTTTACACCTAGCATTTACTTTTGGATAAATAATACAAAATATATTGAGATATTGCTAGTCATCCATCAATTCCAATCAATTTCAATCAAAATATTAATTTTATTATAGTAATAATATAGTTTTTCTACTTCAACCTTTAAAGCGGCAGTTCTTTCTTGGTTTTGAGAGACAAAAAGTGGTATTTTAAACCCGGACCGTCAAGGGCGTGATTAAAGTACTTTAGTCACGGGTATTAGTCACGGAGTGGTGCTTGCGCCTGCGCATTTGTCTGCGATGCAGCACAAGACCATATGAATTGTCATTAAACGCTCGCTACCCTCTCTCTTAATCAATCTCATGACTAAAACTCCCTTTCGCCCACTTGATACATAATATACTATTAGTAAATTACTTATGATTACAACATTTGTTCTTTTTTAATGACTATTACGGTAATCATTTTATTTCCTGCTTTGCACTCCACTGTCTATTAAATTATTGTCATTTTGTTGACAATGTGAAAATTTCTAATTTATATAACTCCTAACTCTAACTCAACAAAAGGTAAAAAGAAGTAATAAAAGTTTCACCCGCTAGGAACAATGAAACCGCGCGCGGACAACAAATAACACGAGTGAAGACAAAACCCGGCAATTGAAGTTTTAATTTGAATAACTAATAGCGTTCATAATCTTTAATTTCGTCCGCAACTGTTTATTTCAAAGAGTTTATAAGTTTTACTACATTTTTATGTCCATTGAGGGCGCTACTTATAGTAATGTTGATTAGTATTTTAATTGTCGTGTAGTAAAGATGGTAATTTAATAAATTATGTGGGAGAGTAGAATTGTAATGAAATACAATTAAAGTGTCTCGCGAAACAAACATGTAATGAGATTGCGATGCTTGCGACTTGATAATTGATAGGAAAGCATTTTCTATGCCGAGGGAAATGTTTCTCATGCGTGCACGACGCAGAAAACAAGGTATAATAAACTTATATTGTCAATTAATACGAAAAAAGTATAAATAATGCTTATTTTAAATAAACTCTTATAATTTATAGCTGAGTACTTAAATATTCACACTTTTAAAGCTTTAATTACTTAATTTATTTTGCAATTATTTTTTTACCCGCGAATTTTATTTCTTTATATCCATACGCGTTAAAAGCACAATAAATTTGTGAAAAAAAGGTTTACGACCCGTCTGTGCGGTGCTTTTTACTACTGGTAGTCAGGTTTCGTAGGTCACGATGAAATGTTTGCTTGTAATGTTTGTAGTGTTCGTAAAGGCTGTGTTAAGGTGTTTAATAATACACTTAGATCATGCTGCGTGTGTAACAACGCATCGTATTAAAATGCGAACGCAAAGGCTACGAATACAAAAAGTTGGTTATAGCTTTGCCGCTACTCTAACGCGCAGTGTAAGAAGGGTTGCGGTGCGCTTCAGCACGTTGCGTTGACATAACGAAGGTACAAGTGAACGCAGTTCGCCATGCTTGTTTAGTTTGTTAGTTGGTTAGTTATATTGCGTATGTGTGCAGTGTGCGGGTGTAAAAATAAATTTATTGCGTGCGTCGAGCGTCGTACGTTCCCTCGACTAGCGACTAGCGATAAGTCAAGGTTATTTTTCCAAGCGCACAAAGCTCTCACAACTACTAGTTACAAACTACAGCAAAATATATATTATACAGTAGTTGAATGTTGTTTAAATTTTTAATTTTGTTTTTGACCGCTGGCGAAAACTTTCGAATTTTTTCAAAATCTGAATTTACAATCTTAAATCTTCTTATTCTTATTCGGTATCGACTAGAAATTGAAACTGCATACATCATCACCAAAGTTGTAAAGTTGTAATTCGTTTCGTAATCAATTTATTCCGCAACACGTAGGTAACAATGTAGGCAACTAATTTTTATTTGTTTTCGATAATTTCGATGAGATTTATGTATTTTTCGATTTATTATTTATTCTTGGCATTTTTTCATCGAAAAACTCGAACAGGTGTTTGTCTATTACTATTATTATCCCGCTTGAGCAATTTTTAATTCATTCATGATGCGAGCGGTGCTTTTATCACCGCCATTTGTGCGTTGGCAGCGTGTAACACACATTGTGTGGTAGACTTTGCACAAGAAGTTTTATCGCTCGCCGCCATTGGGCAATTATTTGCCTATTCGTCCATATTCTTCTATTGATCACTGAACGCGTATGCAAATCAAGCCAGCGACTATCGAGCGACTGGTGGGTTGTGGGGCACGCATCGACGAAATCAATGACAAGCTATGATCACGATCACAACCAACGTAAAACCTGTAAGACGTAATAGGTCGTGGAGACTGCGTGTGTATATGTTAATCACGATGAAATATATCGTATACACAACCGTCGGAGGCGGAGGCGACGAATCTAATTCACTGCGAGGTGACAAAATACAAATCGCGACAGCGGAAACTGCGCGTAGTGTAAAAATCGAGAGCGTTCGGGTTTTAAAGCGACAAATCTGCTTGCTGTTGCTTTTTAGTTGAGAAACAGGTGGCATGTAATAAATATTAATTTAAAACGGACCGGTTGTAAAGCATTCGATTAAATTCTCGGGCGTGTGTGGATTAAATTATTAAAATTAGAGTTACGACGGCACAATAAAATTGTAGTTTAGATTTTAAATTTTTTGACTATGACTTCCTGTTTCGAATAAATCTCACTTAGGAATTTAAAGAAATAATAAATAAATCAAAGATTTTTAAAGAAAAATGTTTAAAACTACGAAAAAATTTAATTTTTGTTATTTTAGGTTATTTTAACCAATTTTACAAAAAAAATTATAGCATATATTCTAGATAATTAGTTTATCTACATAATTCGCTTCAAATTTTTAAAATATTTCAATTAGTTCCTGAGATATTTGATTTTCTTTGAAAGAAAAATATTTATAATTCCTCTGAACAATGTACAATCAGCAAAGTAATTTTCCCCATGCCATTTATTTAAATTACCATACACTGCATTTAATTCCGATTGGTAACACCAATAATCATCTGATAAGCATTTAATCACTGCGTATTTGTTGTTTGCTTGTTGCTACATTGCCAGCCTTGTCAATAATATTATTATTTATATCAATAACATCGTGCGGCGCAAATTAGCATTAACATTAATAACTAGAACAATTAATAATTCATTGAAAACAACAGCGTGCACAAATTAAAACAAATGCACGTCGATAGAAAGTGAAATTAAATTATTCGCGTCGA